GTTTCCTGTTCATTACATATCTATGCTGATGATGCTCAGTTTTACCGTTTGCATTTGAGACCTCCCTGAGAGCACCTTGTCTCTTCGAACTCTTGGGCTGATAAACGCATTTCGGCAGCTGCCATTCTTTGAAGACAAATTGCCTCCTTGGTCCTTCGCTCGAAGATTGCCGATGTAAACATCTGCAGAAATTTGGCTCAGAAATCCCAACCTTTCTGAAAGTCGTCGCATCGCGGTGTCGTGTACCCCAGCACTTCAGCGCAGTTCATTGTATCATCTCCCCGTGGACATGACACAGGACGCCGGGGCCAGGGGAAAGGCTAATCCTCTTTAAGATAGACCCAGCAGGCCCAGCAGCTGGATTTTTTTTTGAGGCCGCATTGATTCATGATGGCAAGCAAGTATAGAAACACTCGAAAAATGCATCATCATGGTTTTGCCCACATATGTTTGCGGAGTTTGATGGGGCAATACGGGTTATCTTTTTCCAACAGGGTACCATCCCAAAATTCAATGCTTGATCACATTTTTTCCCAGCCAGTAAACCATGGTTTGCCCCTTTCTTTAGGCACACCCGACCCATATCCATTTTTACCTGGTTACATCATGTTACATCCTTATGTTTGATGGTGAAATGGTCGTACCCCCATATGTACTGTAGCCATAATATATATATATATCCATCACATCGCCATCATATCCGCATCATATCACCACAACCATGGTTTACATTGGACAGTTTGAGCATGTCTTAAGCAGATGATTGTTTCAATGGATTGGTTCAAAAATGGTTTATACTGACGGACACTAAGTTAGAACCTTATTTTTTTCCAACATGTTCACCCCTCGCAGTTAGAACCTCAAAAACCTCCACAGTTAGAACCTTTTTTTGGCAAAAGGTTCTACCTCAAGGAGTAACACCAACCAACTATGAGGGCCGCGCCATTTTCCTTCACACATCAAATCTATTGTCATTTCAACTTTACATGTAAGTATATATGTATACAAAGAGGTTTTAAGTCTTAGGGTGTGAGCACTCGCACGGGCACAGACATATGTGAGTTCGCACAACACGGAGTCATTCTCAAAAGTATCTGTAATGTGAAATATGTATACTTGTGAGCATATTTATGTGTACAAAGAGATTCCAAGTGTGAGAACTCGCAAGGGCACAACCAACTGTGAGTTCGCATCACATCGGTTCATATACAAGAGTATTTGTGATAGAACATATGTATGCTTGTGAGTATATGCATGTATACAAAGAGAAAGCGTGAGCACTCGCAAGGGCACAAACATATGTGAGTTCGCACAGCATGGGTTCATATACAAGACTATCCATGATACAACAAATGTATACTAATACTTGTCAATCTATGTATACAGAGGTTCTAACTGTGAGCACTCGCAATGGCAGGTACAAGTGTGAGAGTGCACAGCACGGGTTGATATACAAAGGTATATGTAATGAATTTATGTATATTTGTGACACATGTAAGTATGCAAAGAGGTTCTAAGTGTGAGCACTCGCAAGGGCACAGACATATGTGAGTTCAGACAACACGGAGTCATATACAAGAGTATCTGTAATATGAAATATGTCTACTTGTGAGCATATGTGAGAACACGAAGAAGTTCCAAGTGTGAGCACCTGCAAGGGCACAAACCATTTGTGAGTTTGCACAACATCGGTTCATATACAAGAGTCTATATGATATAATATGAGTATGTTTATGAGTATTTGCATGTATACAAGGAAAAAGTGCGAGCACTTGCAATGGCACAAACATATGTGAGTTCGCACAGCATGGGTTCATATACAAAACTAACCATGATACGATATATGTGTACTAATACATGTCAATATATGTGTACAAAGAGGTTCTATTTGTGAACACTCGCAATGGCACAAACAAGTGTGAGAGTGCACAGCACGGGTTGATATACCAACGTATCCGTGATATGATTCTTGATATGTATACTTGTTAGTACATGTATGTATACAAAGACGTTCTGAGTGTGAGCACTCGCAAGGCTACAAACATATGTCAGCTTGCACAACATGGATTCACATATAAAAGTATCTTTGATATGATATGTATACTTGTGAGTATATGCATGTATACAGAGAGGTTCTAAGTGTGAGCACTCGCAAGAGAACAGACATATGTGAGTTCGCACAACACGGAGTCATACACGAAAGTACAGTATCTGTAATAGCAAATATGTATACTTGTGAGCATATGTATGTATACAAAGAGGTTCTAAGTGTGAGCACTCGCAAGGGCACAGACGTTTGTGAGTTCGCACAACATGGGCTCATATACAAATCAGTCTGTGATGTGATTTATGTATTCTTGCAAGTATATGCATGTATACAAAGAGGTTCTAAGTATGAGCACTCGCAAGGGCACAGACATATGTGAGTTCGCACAACACGGAGTTATACACAAAAGTTCAAAATCTGTAATATCAAATATGTATACTTGTGAGCATATGTATGTATGCAAAGAGGTTCTAAGTGCGAGCACTGGCAAGGGCACAGGCATATTTGAGTTCGCACAACAGCGGTACACACATAAAAGTTTCTTTGATATGATATATGTATACTTGTGAGTATATGCATGTATACAGAGAGGTTCTAAGTGTGAGCACTCGCAAGGGCACAGACATAGGTGAGTTTGCACATTACGGAGTCATACACAAAAGTATCTGTAATATGAAATATGCACTTGTGAGCATATGTATGTATATAAAGAGGTTCTAAGTGTGAGCACTCGCAAGGGCAAAACCATCTGTGAGTTTAAACAAAATCGGTTTAATCTATTAATACAAGAGTATTTATGATATAGTTAAAATGTGTTTGTGAGTATATGCATGTATACAAAGAGCTTCAAAGTGTGGGCACTCGCAAGGGCACAGACATATGTGAGTTCGCACAACATGGGTTTATATAAACAAATATCTGTGATATGATATATGTATACTTGTGATTATATGCATGTATACAAAGAGGTTCTAAGTGTGAGCACTGGCAAGGGCACAAGCAAGTGTGAGAGTGCACAGAACGGGTTGATATACCAACGTATCCGTGATATGATTCTTGATATATGTATACTTGTGAGTATAGGTATGTATAAAAAGAGATTCTGAGTGTGAGCATTCGCAAGGGCACAAACATATGTGAGCTTGCACAACATGAGCTTATATACAAAAATATCTGTGATGGAATATGTACAGTATACTTGTGAGCATATGTATGTATGCAAAGAGGTTCTAAGTGCGAGCACTCGCAAGGGCACAGACATATGTGAGTTCGCACAACATGGGTTCATATATAAAGGTATTTGTGATATGACATATGTATGCTTGTGAGTATATGGATGTATACAAAGAGGTTCTAAGTGTGAGCACTCGCAAGGGTACAGACATATGTGAGTTCGCACAACATGGGTTCACATATAAAATTATCTTTGATATGATGTATGTGTACTTGAGAGTATATGCATGTATACAGAGAGGTTCTAACTGTGAGCACTCGCAAGGGCACAGACATATGTGAGTTCGCACAACACGGAGTTATACACAAAAGTTCAAAATCTGTAATATCAAATATGTATACTTGTGAGCATATGTATGTATGCAAAGAGGTTCTAAGTGCGAGCACTGGCAAGGGCACAGGCATATTTGAGTTCGCACAACAGCGGTACACATATAAAAGTTTCTTTGATATGATATATGTATACTTGTGAGTATATGCATGTATACAGAGAGGTTCTAAGTGTGAGCACTCGCAAGGGCACAGACATAGGTGAGTTTGCACATTACGGAGTCATACACAAAAGTATCTGTAATATGAAATATGCACTTGTGAGCATATGTATGTATATAAAGAGGTTCTAAGTGTGAGCACTCGCAAGGGCAAAACCATCTGTGAGTTTAAACAAAATCGGTTTAATCTATTAATACAAGAGTATTTATGATATAGTTAAAATGTGTTTGTGAGTATATGCATGTATACAAAGAGCTTCAAAGTGTGGGCACTCGCAAGGGCACAGACATATGTGAGTTCGCACAACATGGGTTTATATAAACAAATATCTGTGATATGATATATGTATACTTGTGATTATACGCATGTATACAAAGAGGTTCTAAGTGTGAGCACTGGCAAGGGCACAAGCAAGTGTGAGAGTGCACAGAACGGGTTGATATACCAACGTATCCGTGATATGATTCTTGATATATGTATACTTGTGAGTATAGGTATGTATAAAAAGAGATTCTGAGTGTGAGCATTCGCAAGGGCACAAACATATGTGAGCTTGCACAACATGAGCTTATATACAAAAATATCTGTGATGGAATATGTACAGTATACTTGTGAGCATATGTATGTATGCAAAGAGGTTCTAAGTGCGAGCACTCGCAAGGGCACAGACATATGTGAGTTCGCACAACATGGGTTCATATATAAAGGTATTTGTGATATGACATATGTATGCTTGTGAGTATATGGATGTATACAAAGAGGTTCTAAGTGTGAGCACTCGCAAGGGTACAGACATATGTGAGTTCGCACAACATGGGTTCACATATAAAATTATCTTTGATATGATGTATGTGTACTTGAGAGTATATGCATGTATACAGAGAGGTTCTAACTGTGAGCACTCGCAATGGCACGTATAAGTGTAAGATTGCACAGCACGGGTTGATATACAAAGGTATCTGTGATGGAATATATGTACATTTGTGACATATGTATGTATGCAAAGAGGTTCTAAGTGTGAGCACTCGCAAGGGCACAGACATATGTGTGGAAACGAGCACATCCCATCGTGACCCTAAGGACAATTCATCTGACGTGAAGCCGTTTTGGCTTCCACCTAGGCCAGGGTGAAAACATGGTGCAGCGTCCGTGCACTTCGAGTGGTACGCGGAGCATCTGGTGATCCAGGGCAACTTCGAGGGAGGCTTGAGCGTACCTAGGTGGAACCATGCCCTCCTATGCAGCGATGTACGCTGGTGTGGCAACGGATGGAAATGATGATGAGGAGCTGATGGGTACTCCAGCTCCTAGAAATGGTGGTGATGGCGGCGTCCATGGTGTTAGCAGTGGTCCTAGCGGAGGTAGTGCGAGTGACTCTATGGGGACAGGAAAAGGCAAGGGCTATGGCAATAGCGACAGCTCGGGTGCGAACCGAGGAGGCCGAGGCGGTGAAAATTGGTCAGGTTCTGATGGCCAAGGCAGTGTGGAGCACTATCAGATGTTTTCTGATAGCGGTTCGGGAGGTTCTCATGGTGGTTGGGATGCTTCATCACATGCTTCATGGAACGAGAACTGGTCCTGGGGTAGTCGAAGAAGCTTTCCCAATTATTATAGTAATTGGGGGTGGGTGCAATCTCCTGATCCCTGGGCAGATTGGTATGAAAGCCAAGCACATCGAGCGCAAGGTGGCGATCATGGACATCGAGAAGGTGCTGCAGTTTGGCCTGCAGGCGATGGAGATGGACCCAGACGAGTCCGAGAACTTTGTGAAGGAGTTCCTGCAAAACATCATGGAGGTGAACATCTGCGTGGGGACGTAGGTGCCCGCCCAGCATCACCGGTGTCACCGGCTGCTGCGAGGGACGTCTCCGGATCGTTACCATCCGGAGAGATGGGAAAGGCCGGTGATTTGAAAGAGCCCAATACTGTGGGGGATCGCAAGGGGAAGCTTTCATCCTCTTACCCTCCTATCTTCCGTGCCAAGCCTGGCGAGAGCTACAAGGAATGGAGAAGGTCGGTAGATTTCTGGCTGGGTGGTGAAGGAAATGCGATCCCGGCAGAGCTCATCAGGCCTCGCATTATGTTCCAACTTCGTGATCGTGCTGGACAACTTGTGCATCACCTCACCAATGCGGACGTGAACAAGGAGAACGGCATGACTGTCATCACGCGGGAACTTGAGAAGAGCCCCATAATCAGACAGCTGGACAGGCACAAGGTGGACCAGCATCGAAAGAAGCTCATGCAGCTGCGCAGATATCCCCAGGAGAGTATGGAATCCTATATCACCAGGGGCAGCATCTACCGGACGCAGCTTCATGCTTTGGACCAGGCGATGGAGATGGGCGAGTTCTTTTACACTGGACTTCTTGTTGATGGAGCCCGCCTGACACGTCGTGATCGAGCAATGGTCAAGACAAGGGCGGGCACGGACATGGAGGAAGATGTGACCAATGCGATGATCGAACTTGCACCAGAGCTGGAGGGAGAACCAGGTTGTCCCATAGGCTACTCTGAGCCCAACGCTGCAGCTCGCCAAGGAGATGAGTTCCTGGTGCAACGAGGTGAATCTACAGCCTTGAAGTATGGGAAAAAGGAGGTCAATGCAGTGGAGGCGGAATTGCCCCCTTGGGAGGAGGTTGAGAATGAGTTGGATGATGACTACATGGCTGAGGAGGAGGCAGACCAGCTTCCACCCGAATTGGTGGAGGCCTCACACGAGGCCTATGCCATGCACTTCAAGGCCAAGCAGAAGATTGCGGAGGTGAAAAAGCTTCGCCAGTATTTCAGGCGACCGGAGCAGATGCTGGAGGAGCGCAAGAAGATCATCGCCGAGAAGATGAAAACGGCACCGTGCCACAAGTGCGGGGAGCTGGGGCATTGGAGCCGTGAATGCCCTCAGAGAGGACATGCCACGGGAGCTGCTTCCTGGCGCAGCTCAAAACAATCCCAGACCAAAGGGTCGGCTTCCGAAGACAGGGCAACGTTGGTAGCTTTGTGTCATAGAGACTCTTCAGAGCGCGTTCAGTCCGAGTCGAGCTACAAGGGGCGTCATGGTGTCACGGTGGCGTTCAAGGGCAACAAGAATAAACACATTGTTGGGTCTCATGAAACGTTTTGGTGTCAAAGGGAGTTGAAGTATCAAGTCATTTTGGATCTGGGTTGTGTTCGATCGGTTGTGGGTCTCAAGTGGATGACAGAGCTGTTGCATGAGTGGAAGAATCAGCAACGCTGGGTACGTATTTTTCCAGAGAAGGAACAATTTCAGTTTGGAAACATGCAGACCCCCACCAGCAAGTTCCGAGTTCATTTTGAGGTAGTTCTAGCAGGTGTGCATGTGGCAATACCTATGTCGGTCGTTCCTGGTGATTGTCCTCCACTTTTATCACGACATGCATGTAGTCAATTGGGTCTCAGCATCGATTGCGGCAGTCACAGTGTCAGTTCTAGCAAGATGAATGTCAAGAACTTTGGAATGTCTCAGGCTGGCAATGGTCATTACATCCTATCACTTCATGAGTTTTCATCAGCATCGCTCACCGACATTCCTTCAGATTTCATGGTCCCATCTGGTTTTGAAGCTCACATTCTTCTGCCGCGTTCTTTGGTAGTGACGCGCAGGCGTCACCAGTTTCGAGGTGTTGAACTTCCGCCTCATGTTGGCCTCGTCCACTTCCATCTCGCCCTTCACCTCGTCCTCCAGCACCAGGTCCGGGCACTCTTGAGCATGGTGACCGGCTTCTCCGCAGAGCTGGCATACTAGGTCCTCCACTGCAGGCTCTTCCTTCTTCGTCTCCTTCTTCGCCTCGCGCTTCGTTGATGTCGGCGCTGTGGACGACCTCGAAGCCATGTGCCGATTGAGAGGCACGAGATCGGGCTTGCTGATGACCAGCACCGTGCTCGAGGATCACGCGCCAGCTGTTCAAGACCGAGGAGGAAAGTCCAGACGGATCGACTGGATGGGACGTGGTTTCCAGCCTGACGGCAGAGGAGCTCAACATGATCCACAAGAAGCGCGAGCGAGCGGCGAAGGCCCTCTCCAAGAAGAAGACCATGCTGGCACTGACTGGCCAGGCGGCGGACTATCCGAGCCTATCACAGGTTTGGTCGATGGAGGTCGCCTACAACATGGTTCATTCGATGGCATCGCGCATGAGGACTTTCCTATGGAAGAAGCTGCTGTGGCAACTTCGTGTGAAAAAGGCAGTGGAAGACACGCTGGGCTCCAAGACGCAGGTAGTTCGCTGGAAGCGCAACCATCGCTGGCTGGCGATGCTTCTGGCCAAGGAAGTCGGGACTCTATGGGGGCACTACGGAGCAATGCGGCAGAAGATGAACGACCCGCAGGTGTTCCCTATGATGTGAGACTGCAACGGGGCTTGATGCAGAAGCTCAAACAAGGGGTGGCGTCTAGAGGTCTGACATTGGGAAACTATGTGGCGCGACTCCTCAAGAAGCGGGAGAAGTGCGTGGTGCTGGAGATCTTTGCCGGAACCGCCAGGCTCACAAGCATGGCAAGGGGCCTCCGAGGTCGATGGTGGCATGCTATGAGTCCTGTAGACATTTTGTCGGGACAGGACATGCGAAAAAGGGAGGACCAGCAGAATGAAGGTTTGGCAAATGATCCATCGAGAAGAACCAGATCTCATCACCCTCTCTATGCCGTGCGGACCGTGGTGTCAATGGATGTTTCTATGCCATCCGGATGATGTGGCAGCCAAGCGCAAGGAGGACATGCCACTTTAGCGCTTTGCTCGAGAAGTTTGGGATTGTCAGGTGGAGAAGAAGCGCTTGGTGCTGACAGAGCAGCCTCTGGGATCAGAGGGCCTCAAGTTGTCCATCATGGAGCTTCGCCCGCAGCTTCACCGGGCGAAAGTGGCTCAATGTATGTTCGGCTCCGGGGATGTGGAGAATGGCAAGCCCCATCGGAAGCTCACTGCTCTGGACGTCAATGATGAGTACTTCGCGCAGTGTCTCGAACGAGATGCAGTATGTCTTCATCAACCTGAAGAACATCAAGTCCTGGAAGGAAAGGTCTTCTATGAGGGCAAGTGGGTGAATCGATCACACTTAGCAGCTGCGTGGCCTCTCCCGCTATGTACGTGAACACATCTTGAAGAGCGCGGAGGAGACCATGAAGCGAGTTCAACCTGTGCCACATTGAATTGTGCTTTGGCACAGGAGGTGGAGCAACCCGAGTTGTGGGAGACTGGACCGGTGGCAAGCGGTGTCGTCCCTGAAGAACAACTACGGCAACGCTTGGGAGAAATGGGAGTAGCGGCAGACCGCTATGGCTACATCACCTTCGAAGGCTATGGTCAACAAGTCCCGCGACGAATCAGGGCGGTGGTAGCACATCTACACGCTACCCTTGGCCATCCGGCCAATGATCGCTTGGTCCGCATGCTGACAATGAGCGGTGCCGGACAACAGGTGCTGACAGCTGCTTCGAACCTGAGATGCCAGGTCTGTGCAATGGTTCGACCCCCTCGTGATGCTCCACAAGTTTCAGGATCAAAGTCGACCAACTTCAACGAGCGTGTCTCTGGTGACACCTTTTTCATGTGGGACTTGGAGGGGGAGAAGTACGGCGTTGTGCACTTTGTGGACGGCCTCACGGACTACCACATTGCGGACTGCACTTTGAATCCGGATTCATCCTTTGCAGCTGAACTTTTGCGGGATCGCTGGTACAGTGTGTTTGGAACCCCGGACGTATTGATCACGGATGGTGGCTCAGAGTTTGCGGGCACGAGTTGATCCCGGAGGGAGCAAAGTGGCGCCTTGGCCATGCAGAGCGCCATGGTGCCATCTTGAATCTGATGCTCATGAAGATGGTGCGTGCACACAACTTGGTCGGCTATGAGGACGTGCGCATGGCGACAGTGGCGGCCTGTATTGCAAAGAACAGGCTCTCCAACCATGGTGGCGTCAGCCCCCTACAGGCAGTGACCGGCAAGAACAATGTCTTGCCCGCATCCATCATGAACCAGCTCTGCTCTGGCAAGGTCAAGTGCATCCTGAATGACACCATCACCAGGACGGCTTGCCTGCAAAGAGCAGAACGAATTCGATCAGCAGCAGTGGAGTCATTCATTTGGCTGGACTCCCATCAATCTCTTCGCAAGGCACTGGCTTCGAAATCCAGGCCACCACAATTGGAACTTCTTCGAGAAGGTGCCACAGTATATGTATATGATCCTCCTCCCAATCGACAAGGTTTGGCGAGACGGTTGCAGGACAACTCTTCATGGTCGGGACCGGGCACGGTCATTTGCGTGGAGAAGGACAAGGAGGTGCCAACACGAGTGTGGGTGCGTCTTCGAGGTCGAGTGCGAGGAGTTCCCTTGGAGCGATTGCGACTGGCCACGACTGAAGAGGTGGTGAGCAATCAGTTCATCACTGAAGCTTTGGAGGAGGTGCAGAAGGAGTTGACATCAGGGCAGCTTCGCATAGCAGGTGAGGAGGGTGACCAACAACCGGCTCCTGCTGGATCATCTTTGGCGATTGCAGATGAGCCAGCGCAACCTATGGAGGATGAAGAGCAAGAGACAGAGCAGATGCGACTGGAGCGCCGCTTGCTGACGGATGTCCCTTTGCAGATGACTCGCAAGGTTCCAGGCGAAGGAGACCCCTCCAACCTGCCATTTGCCAAGAAACAGAAGGTCTTTGAGCAGCTCTCCAAACAAATGGGAGCACCGACCACCATGCAGGAGGCGTCAATTCGAGAGCGTTTGGAGGATGCCTACCAGAGGTCTCGGAGCATTCGCAAGGACGTCGAGAGGCACAAGAGTCGGTCGAGAGCAAGAGCTTCGGCACAGCATGACACGGACTTCGGCATTGTGGAGGTCGACGTGACGGAGAATGAGGCGGCTTCAAGGAATGACATGGCGTCTGAAGAGGAAGTCGCCCTTGAGAATGCACCGGTCCTTGACTCGTCCCAGGCTTTTGTGATTGCGGCGAAAGCGCTCAAGTATGAACTCTTCGTCGTGGAGGCCTACAAGAAGGACACCTACGATGTCATGGCGGAGTTGAAGTTCCACGGGGCCTTGTGGTCGGAACCAGGCAAGTATGCAGGTGTTCAACAGTTGGAAGCGTATGCCCAACAACAGGCACAAGATGGGGCACAGGCAGCTCAACAGGGTGGCTTAGTGACAGGCAAGGATCGCCTGGAGTATGCTTGGTCAAAGCTGGACGACAGATGGCGTCAAGCTTACATCCCGGCACTTCGCAAAGCCTTCAAGGTCTACATAGATCATGCAGCCATCAAAGGAGTCCCTGAAGGCAAGGTCATTGATCCAAAAAGGATTTTGCCATCACGCATGGTGCTCACCAACAAGGGGAAGCCACAGCTGGAGGCTGCAGAACTGAAGGCACGATGGGTGTTTGGTGGACACCGTGATCCAGATGCCGGTGCCTATCCTACAGCCTCTCCCACGGTGAGCTTGGTGGGACACAATCTCCTCAACTTCCTGGCGGTGCAGTTCAGATGGGAGATCTTCTATGAGGACGTGTCGGCGGCCTTCCTTCAGGGTAAGGAGTTGCCACCACAGCGGGAGATCTACGTCAAGATCCCTTACGGGTATACCGCCTCAGATCTTGCAGGAATCCTTTGGCATGGGCTGCCGAGATGATTTGGCGCAGCTTACCAAGGGTGGTTTTGGATTGCCTGAGTCGCCGAGGTTGTGGTATCTTGAGTACCGCAACACCTTGATTGACATCGGTGGCCGAGAGCTCAAGTTGATCCCAGGCTTCTTCTGCTTCTACCATCCTGACGGTCGTCTACGTGCAATGGCTTGCATACATGTGGATGACACAAGGTATGCCGGTGACGTCACAGCCCACGAGATCTGGACAGAATTACATGACCGTCTGGACTTTGGAAAGGTGATGGCTGGCAGAAGTTCTGTGGTCGTTTTGAACATCAAGATCCAAACACCTTTGAGGTGTACTACACCATGGACGAGTACTGCGCAGACATCAAGCTCGTGGATGAGAGGAAGCCGGACGACATGGCACGGCCGCTCACGGAGCATGAGAAAAAGGTGATCAGCTCAGCCATTGGGCAGGTCAATTGGGCAGCAAGACAGTGTCGCTTCGACCTGAGCTACGGCGCGTCCTATGTGCAACAGCTGGCCAGCACCAATGATCCGTTGGCCCTGCAGTTTCTGAACAAGGTGATTCGGAGGGCGCATCAGGACTTCGTGATGAAGGTCCCGTGCATTGGGTGCCCTTTGGAAGAGATGATTGTGCTCTCCAATGCTCTCCATCAGTGATGGAGGAGGAAGTCAGGGTGGTCTGATTGTCGCCATCGCCCATCCCGACATTCAGAAGGGTGAAGCAACGTTGGCGGTCATTGAGGCCCAGAGTGCCAAGCTGCAACGAGTGGTGAGGTGCAGTATGGCGGCGGAATTGACAACTTCCGCCACGGCATTCGAGCACGGCGACTACATGCGAGCTGCGCTTGCAGAAATGACACAGGAGAAGTTCTGCCTGCGAGCCTGGAAGGTTCATGCAAGCATGTGGAAACACATCTTGGTGTTGGACGCCAAGGTTGCCTTCGACGCCATCGTCTCCGAGATGGCGCCGACAGATCGCAAGTTGATTGTGGACATCGCAGTCTTGCGTGAAACGTTGGAGGACCCTCAGGGGAACAGCTTCCTGAGGTGGGTTCCGGGTAGTGAGATACCCTCCGATGGCCTGACCAAATGGCATGGCAACGGCTCATTAGAGAAGATTTTGATTCAATGCTACTGGTCTCTGTGTGACACCGCTCTCGCAGCAGAGCTGCGACGAAGGGTGGCAGACCGTAAGCGAATGCTTAAGGGTCACGGTACCAAGGGGGTTTGTGTGGAAACGAGCACATCCCATCGTGACCCTAAGGACAATTCACCTGACGTGAAGCCGTTTTGGCTTCCACCTAGGCCAGGGTGAAAACATGGTGCAGCGTCCGTGCACTTCAAGTATATGTTAGTTCGCACAACACGGAGTCATACACAAAAGTATCTGTAATATGAAATATATATATATATACATATATACTTGTGAGTAGATGCATGTATATAAGGAGGTTCTAAGTGTGAGCACTTGCAAGGGCACAAACATATGTGAGTTCGCAGAACATGGATTCATATACAAAAAGTATCTATGACATGATATGTGTTTTCTTGTCAAAGTATGTACGCATAGAAACAGGGCTTCAAAGTGTGAGCACTTGCCAGGGAAGAGGCATATGTGAGTTCGCAGAACATGGGCTCATATATAAAAGTACCTGTGATATGATCTATATATGCTTGTGAGTATATGCGTGTATACAAAGAGGTTCTGAGTGTGAGCACTCGCAAGGGCACAGACATATGTGAGTTCGCACAGCACGGAGTCATATACAAAAGTTTTTGTAACATGAAATATGTGCACCTGTGAATATATGTATGTATACAAAGAGGTTCTGAGTGTGAGCATTCGCAAGGTCACACACATATGCACAACATCGGTTCGTATACAAATAAATCTATGATATGATATATGTACACTTCTGAAAATGTCGATGTATACAAAAAGGTTCAAAGTTTGAGCACTCGCAAGGGGCACAAACATATGTGAGTTTGTACGGCATGGGTTTATTATATATGTATACTTGTGTGTGCTTCAAAGTGTGCACTGGCAAGGCAGCGACATATGTGATTTCGCACAACTTTATTTCATATACAAAAGTATCTACTATACGCTACATGTATACTTGTGGATGAATGTATATATACAAAGAGATTCTAAGTGTGTGGGTTCGCGAGGGCAGAGACATATGTGAGTTTGCACAACATCAGTTCATATACAAGAGTAGCGATGATATTATACATGTATACTTGTGAATATATGTATGCGTACAAGATCATACAAGAGGTTCTAAGTGTGAGTGTGTACGAGGGCAGGAGCATACGCGGTATATGAAATGTTGCATAGAAATGTTATATATTTGGGTTCTAACTGTGGTTAATTTTAGAGCTTCTAACTCATATGAGTAAGAACCCGGCCAGATGTACAAATCTCGTTTTGTTTTTCCAAAAAAGGTTCTAACTTTGTGTCCGTCAATATACAGGACATCTCCCATATGTCATGGGACAATCATGGAAAATCCCATGGTGTCCGGGTAAGATTTTCCCAAGAAAACCAATCGTTAGCCAACGGAGGAACAACGAGAAGAAACTCAGATGCAGCCGGACGCCAAAGTCGGGCGGGTGTCACATGATGTCATATGTGTTTTAGGTTTAGACTGTACCATACTGTGGATGGAAGAAATCCTGCACCACCTTGGATGGTTGAAACCCACAGTAGAGCAATCTTATTTGGTCTTGTTTTTCATCATTGTGGTGATATTTATTAAAAACAAATTATTTAGATAGACTCGATCTATTTTTTGAGCGGGTTGAATTCAACCAGAACTGGGATGGGTCGCTCAACCACAGAACCCGTCAGGGTCAATATTTTTAGCGGCTTTGGATTGTTTGGTGTGTCTCTACCCTTTGGTAAACTAATTAATATAACTATGGAAAATCACCATTTTTAATGGAAAAACTCACTATAAATTGCCATTTTCAATAGCTATGTTAGTTTACCAGAGGGTATATCCTTTGAAATTTGATTTGGTTCCATGGAGGGTGAAGTTTGGGAAGCTGATCTCAATGTTCAAGATAGAATGAAACGTTTTGTGATTCTTTGAGCCCTGTCTCAGGTAAGGAGTCACACGGCTGCATGTCTAGTAGTGACAGAAACAAGTTTTGTTTTTTCTGTCCCCGGACTTAACATGACATGCACATTCAGTGCCTATGTGAACAACATGCAAATAAATACATGTACATATATATATATATTTATATGTGTATTGTATATATACATTTGCAGGTACACATAGCGCCTTTTTGTCGCATATCATTTCACTAAGCGGGAACTGCACTTCCCAACATCACCTGTGGTGTACACCTCCAACAGTTGGTCGGCCCAGGGAAGCTTTAGCTAAGTTGGTTTATAAGTAGGTGAACTGAGGTAGAGATACCCTTTGGTAAACTAAAATAACTATGGAACACCACCATTTTGAATTGGGTACATCCACTATAAGTGGCCACCTTCAATAGCCATGGTGGTTTTTTCCAAAGGGTACGTTATATCTACTTAGACCCTGCAAGAACCCATGAACATGGCTACACATTTTAAAAGTCTCAAGTCAGAATGGCTATACGAACCCCAAAAACTGTTCAAGGTACTAAGGGTCTAGGTATTGTTTTTCATGGAGGGTCATAATCATCTGTAATCGAACAAATAACAAGGTAAGGCCCCCTAGATAGCAAAGTTGACTTATTAGAACTAGGTCAACTATTGTATAAAGGGCAAAGGGGTAATTTAACTATACAATTATATAATATAATATTCATGGGCTTCATAAACCAACAAAGATGACTTGGGATACTGGGGTCTCTACATGTTTTTTAAAACGTCCCTCACCTTGGTTTCCTGCACTTGCTCTACGTCTTCCCAGCGCAGGAGGAAGATCAGGTGTCTGCCGCGGAGGACATGAGTGACGCTCCGATCTCCGAGTTTGAAGCTTCGCCTACAGAGTCGGCCAACAAATCAGGCCATGGCATGGATGGGGAGGAGCCACTTTATTAAAGCTACAGTTTGGTAAGCCCCTTAGCAGCTATAATTATAACAATTTATAACCCCAATTTATGGAATTATAACCCCATTTGGAATCAATCTTACGACCAGTTGCAATTGGTAAAGGGCTTTACAACTGTAAAGCCTAGTTGTTTTTGGGGGTTTGGAAATCTTTGATTGGAACATGCTGGAATCAAAACCACATCATTCGCTGAAAAGCAAGCAAAACGCTCTGCAGTCTGCAGTTTTTGTTCGTCAACCTCACCTTGGACGAAGTGGAAGATGATCCCATTTCGCTCGCTAAAAGCCGCTGCTTTAGTGTCCTCACCATGATCAATATCAATACAAGGTGGTGCCCCATAGGTAACTAGGTTGGTTAATGGCTCCAGTAACTTGGGTTTATGGTAGATATTGATGTAACTATACTTAATGGGGGTTATCAACTAACTTATAACTGGGGGGGCACCACCTTGTATGATCATTTTGGCTCAAGATACAAAATTCTGGCTCAAGGCTCAAGGGCTCAAGCCAACCGCGCCGGCCACCCCTCCCCTGCCCCCTTCACCCACAACCCCCTGCGGTGACCCCCCCCGGCTCGCGGCCCCGAGTGCGCCATCACTTTCAAGGCTGCTTCGGGCCCCAATCCCAAGCGAGGCGCGCCGCCCCCTTTAAAGGCGAGCCCGCCCCGTACCCTTTCGTTGCCCCTACGAAGCCCCATCCCAGCCTGCCCCCTTGGCGGCTGACACCCTTTACCACCCCCCACCACCCCCAATCCCCGGCACACACAAACCCATGAGGAGGTGCAACAAAGCGGCGCCGCATACTAACAGCGCCACACCCCCGGGGGGGGACCGCACATGGCGCCACTGCAGCACCTTCCGCGCCCCCGTCTCACCCGCAGTTGTTTCACCCGTTTCTTTTGCTACGCGGCCGCTGCAGTCACCCTGCTTTAACCCCAAAGCGGCCCACCGCCACTTCGGCCAGTGAGGTTCCTCGTCCCCTGAACCGTCACGCGCGCCGCAGGCTCACCCACATCCTCAATCCCGCCCTCCCCCCGACCCCGCACCCGGCACCAAGCCCGCTGCCGCCTCCCAGGCAGCAACTGCGCCAGCCCACGCTCGTCCGGGTGGCCGCTTCGCGCACACCGGGTCGGCGAAGCTGCCAACCCCGGCCCCCCTTCCCCACCACCCCCTGCCCCCGCTACCGAACCCCACCCCACCCAACACACGTTCGCAGACACCATCCTGCTTAGCGAGCGCTTTTTACCACCCTCCCCGACCCCGAGCGCGCACTTCTCCTGTCGCAAGCGGGCCCGCACGCCGCCACCACTTTCACCACCATCCCCACTTGACCCGAATTCCATTTCGACAACCCCCACTATCGCACCCTAGTCCTCCGACGGCTCCGCCTGCCGTTGGGGTTTGCCCCCGCCCGCTGTCGCTGCGGCCGCCCCCTAGACGCGTTCGGCGACCACCGCGCCGCATGCGCAACTAGCGGGGCCTTGCGCACCAAAGAACCTTGGCCCGCATCCTCCGCGAGGCCGGGGCCGTCCCCCTGGCCCACATGAACCTGGACCCGGCCCCCCGCGGATGGACGCGCCATCGAAATCCTGGCACAAGGCCTCCCCCTTTGGCACGGCGCGCAACTTGCGGTTGACGCAACCCTTGTTAGCCCCGTTGGCCGGGATGGCGCGGCACACCCCCATGCTGCCACCACCCCCGCAACCGCCATCACCCAGGCTACGCGGCGCAAACGCATCTCGGTCTACCTTGCACCCCAACGCCGCTGCCGTCTTGTCGTTGTGGGGCTGGAAATCGGCGGGCGCTGGGGCATTGAGGCCCAGTCCCTTGTCCACAGCCTCGCCGCGGCCAAGGCGCAAGCCACCCCCCTGGCCTCCAAGCGGCCGCGGTTGGCGCTTACACACGCCGCTGGGCAGCTCTTTTGAGCTGCACAGCCCAGCGGGCCTTCAGCGCGAGCCTGCTGGAGCTACCCTTGGGCGCCACCGACCACACCGATGGTGACTTCGCCGAAGCGCGAGGAGACGACCCCCCCCACTCCAGCCGCCTCCCTCTAAGACAGGGGATCTGACCATGTGACCAATGGCGGTGGAAAAGGTGTCGCAGAAAAAAAAATAATCAATATCCTCCAGTTGTCCCCAAATTGGACACTGCCCGCCTTGATTCGGGGATTCAACATCACCATGCTGCGAAAATCGGCATGGAAAATCACAATGCGGTGCCAGTGGCAGAAACGTCCATCGCGATGTTTGCTTATACAGGTGTTGGCCATGCACCATGCTGTCATCTTATGTCATATTATGGCATAGTCCCTTCCCCCTAATATTAAACACCCCCAAACGAAACCTTTGAAAAACGTGGGTGGTGTTTAATATTATGGGGGATGGGATTATGTCGCATTATATCATATATTATAAGTCAAACTAAATATATCCCTAGCATTCCCTAGCTCCGTTGCTCCAGGTGAACATGCCGCATCATTCGGGGAGACCATGAATGTCTTGAAGTTGTTTGGTGGCCCAGTGGAGTATGCCAACTAAAGGCTAGTTTCTAGTAATTTGATATTTGCAAAATTATATATAATTATACAATAAATATATAGATGTACTGTAGTTGAAAATATGTTTAATATAATATGTATACTTAGACTTAATATATGTATGTATATATATATATATATATACATCCGTGTGTGTGTGCGTGCGCGTGTGCGTGTGTGTGTGTGTGTGCGTGTTTGTGTGGCAAATATATATATATATATATACACATGTTTTCAATATTAGTATCCCAGAACTGAATTGGTTTAACGAAAAATCTACAGGAACACCATATATTTACTGGATTACTGGGGAAATAAAAACTATGGATTCCTGCAGATGTTCCATGACTTTCCCTTGAACCAATCCATTGATACTAGAGAATCATCTAAAATCATAGCCATTTCGATGGTGGTACGAATGGCCAGCTTAAAGTAACAACATGCAGGGCCGCTCCAAAGATTGGATCGAGCCGCTCCAGGAATGTCATGAGATATGGGGAAATCCTGTCACACCTCTATCGGCAGACATATAAACCATCTTAAATCATCGAACTATATAAATTGCTACGTTAAATAACCAGAGGGGAACATATTTATAGCTAGTTTAAGTTGACAATAATTCATATGCGTTTAAATGCTGTTCTATGCATATTAGTTCAAATGGGTACTTATATTATACACATATATACAGTAATTTAATGTAATATATATATTTTTTTAAATGTGACATGTGTGTGTGTGTGTTAGCCATTTGGCTGCGGTGTGGGCTGAATATTGCGGATCCGATCTGGGAATCCTTGGATGACTTGAAGAATGGCCATACCATATACCCTCTGGTTATTTAAGATAGCCATGGGAAATGGCCCATAGAAATAGATGGTTTACCGAACTGAAAAATTGTGATTTCTCCATGGCGAACTGTTAAATAACCAGATGGTACTAACCAGCTATTCTATGCAGATAACCTATGATCATCTGGTTGCTTTCCTATCCCAGCATCCCCATCTGTCAAGGAGTCCCACTGAAGTGACTCTGCTGCGGAAGTCCTTTGATATGCTGCTGCTTGCACTGGGCAATGATCGTGAAGCGGTGGCTTGGAGGGCTGGGCGTGTTGGGTCGGGCTGCAGTGCCTTCTGTTGGGAGGATCTTCTAGTTGAATTGGAGAAAACAATGCGTAAACAGGCGCTCACTATATCATACTGTAACCAATAGTAGATATAGTAGTAACACACAACAAAATTACTCGAATAACAATAGAGATTATCATCACAATCATCATCGTCGTCGTCATCATCGTCGTCGTCGTCATAATCAGCAGCAGCAGCCTCATCCTCATCCGGAATGCTGACAGGGGCCAGTGACTATATGGCTCACAGGAGCTCGGGAATCCCAAATTTGTAGAGCACCACGGGCCGCCACCAGATGCAAGCGGCGTTGTTTGTTCTTCTGAGCTCAGCACTTGCTGTCAATTTCCGCCTTCATCGAACCAATCAAGACCTAATTGTTCATGATGGAACAAAGGGCAGATCAGTTGAAGTAATTCAGATATTGTTCAGACCATCACGAGAGCAATTTTAAATCCCCATGTCATCATGCCCCTTGGAATTGTGGAACTGAAAATGCTGGAATCCGAATTTCGCCTAAAATGATCTTAAAACATCCTGAACCGAATCAGACATTCATTTTTCTGTCCACGTCCAAGCGCTTTTGCGCTTCTTGTTGCTTTTGTTGTTCCTTCGGGTATGCATCGGGATCACTAGGCATTTTTCTCCGTTGCAATCCGTTGTGGTTTTCCCTGGATCCAGTGGAGGTGGCATCCCTTCCCGGTCACCGCAAGTCTCGACAGGTAGGTGATGCTATCTATGGTTTGAAGATTCATGCGCTGGTTGCCATCAAGGCAAAGGGGGGGGACCCAGGGGACCCCACTGGGACCGAGGGGGCCCAGGCCACCCAGGCAGTTGCAGTAGATTTAGGACAACGCACATAAGAGTCGCCGTTTGGGCCACTAAATTTTGAGCTTCAATGTCCGGTATAATTATCAGCTCCAAAAAAAGATGGAACATACAAATCTTAGCAAAATTATGCTAAATTACATTAAATTCCTCTTCTTTCTTGTCGGTTGTTATAATTCCCAGGGTTTTTTTGGTTCGAAAAACCAACGCCTGGCAGAGGACAACTTCACAACGCCAAGGGCGGTGGTATCGCTGCGTTTCTTCAACTGTTTCCGCTTGTTGCTGGAGAAGGCAGAAGATCCCGACGACGCTCAGCTAATCTCAGCTACAACTCCACGGGAAGTGAGCCATCGATAATTCCCACATGCCAGTGTTTGGTTATGAAATAGGCATAAAAAGATTAAAAATGATGTTTTGTTTTTTTAACTACATTATACTAGCTGGTTGTTGTTTGTTGATTAACTAGCCAACGATGTCATGATTCAGGTGGAAGGAGTTGCATAAGTGGTTTGTGGCTTTGTCATGGTTTGCTTCAACTAACTGGTGCCAATTTCTGGCCCATGATCTATTAATGTCTATTAATTAGGGGTGGTACTCCCCAAATAGTGGTGATTTGGTAATTCAATGGTACCCTCCAATTAAGCAGCTGCTTGGTGCTTATTAATCCAGGGTTGACATTAATGAAGATACCGTATTTTCAAAGAAACCCATACCAATGTCAAGTTGTTTTTCCACCTTTTTGTTGTAGGTTACCCTCTGGTAAACGTTTACATAGCTACTGAAAATGGCCATAGAAATAGTTGATTTACCTATTGTTTCAATAGTGATTTTCCGTAGCCTTGTTAGTTTACCCGAGGGTATATAGTATAATTATGTATAATTAGTATATATATATAAATCATCATGATCCAAGAACTTTGTTGTAGCCTTGAAGTCAGATCCTCAAGTGGTGGATCCAAAAAAGTTACCAGAGGTCATCCAACTGAACAGTGGCGCCCAGGAACTGAAGATCTATGTGGAGACCTTGGCGTTCAAGCCACCTGGATGGCTTTTTTCTCGGTCAAATGTGAGGAGTTTGTTTAAAGGGCAGATTATGGGAACCTCTTGGGATTTTTTATTATTTTTGTTGGGGAAATCCAGAAATGAATGGCCGCTTAATGGCAAGATCATCATAGCTGGGGGGATTTTCCAGGGAGCAATGGAGCTAACTGTTCGCCCAATTTCGAACCACACGTTTCCATTTTTTTTCCGTGCCATGCTGTAGACACTGTAGACATTCATAAGTTGGAATAATGATGTTTCTCACTGAAAGTAGGCAGGATGGACGTGCTATTTGTAACCTGCTCATGATGATTGAGCAAACTTTGGAAGACAAGAAACCTCTGGAAACCTTCTGATTCATTCAACGCATCGCGTGAAGTCACTGAAAGCAGAATGGACCATATCCGCACCAGTGGATTCCCAAGTCCCTCTGGTTTTCTGCTGGAGAAGAAGTTTCATGAAAAAACAGTAATAATTAACTTACCATTTTGAGATATTCTTTCCTACAGGCGGTTTATGGTCATTTGTATACAAATGTGCGTGTTTGTGTGTGTGTGTGCGTGTGCATTGGGTTTAACAAATTAAACATGACGATATAAGATAGATATGAATCATGCCTTTTACTCTACTGATATGTATGATATGAATGCTCTCCTTCGTTGCCGCAAAACTGTGGAGAGAGTCTAGCCACTCCCCCTTCTGTGAGTCTAGTTAACCACCCAGTGGGCTTGCAAAAAGACACTAATTTATACAAATCCCTGGTTTCTGGATGTTTTAGATGTTTTAATGCTTACTTTATGATACTTATGTCTTTCTGTTCCCATTTCCCCATATGGTTGGGTGAATTCCCCATGTCTTCTCTGGTGATGTCATCAATCAAAACAAGGCATTTGCAGAACGACGTGACCGAACTGCGTGTCGACAAAGTCATTGCTGCTGGGCCTGGAAAAGCCTGGGATGTTTTGCTGGTGGGATGGTAAAGCAATGAAACACCAGCCCCATTCCATCAGCATCTGGTTGGTGGTTTGGAACGTGAATTTTATGACTTTCCATATATTGGCAATGTCATCATCCCAACTGACTAGTAGAGGGGTAGGCTCAACCACCAATCAGTTTCTATGGGTGTTATAAACATCTATAAACCATCAACACATAGAGTTGTGCTTGATAGTATTGCTTTACGAACATGAAGTTTGTTGCGTTTTCAGCGTATGTTGGACCCCAAAAAATTGTGTTCTTCGTGGGTGATTGGAAGTTCTTGGATCATGATGCTACATTTATACCCTTTGGTAGCCCAACATAGCTATGGAAAATCACCATGTTATATGGGTACAAACCAACTATAAATCTCCAATTTTCCCTGGCTATGTTAGTTTACCAGAGGGTAGATGGAAATTGGTGCAGGCTGGGCGCTGGGTGTTCAAAAGATCTTAGAGGTATAAGATGTTATCAGTAATGTGGTAAACCGCAGGGTGGTAAAACAAATCCTTAGTTAGGCTTTATTGTTGGGAAAGATGTGAGATAATTACGGGTTAATATGAAAAAACAAGAGATTCTCAAAAACAATGCCTGAGGTTGTTATGACATGTTATGTTAACAAATACCACCCAAAAAAGGTGCGTTTTTTTTCACCATCGATCGTTGATCCTAGGGATGGTTTCCATAGTGGGGTACCCCAATAGCTGGATGGTTTATAGTTGAAAATCTTGTTAAAATGGATGGTAACTAGGGGTTTCAGGCATTTGAGCCATTTCAGGAAAGCTCCATATATATTCCTCCATGTTTGGTATCTGGCATTTGGGTCATTGGAGTAAATGGAGCAATCTGGGCTTGGACCCAGCTCTGGGAAGATCAATCGCCTTCTTTGCGTGTGGCAATGGACACGTGCTTAGCTCTATGGCTTATATCATTTTTTATCTACTCACTCAGTGACGATCTGATTGACTAGTGGGCTTACTGGATATGTTACATCACCAACTATATAATATAGCTTATGATAACCTATAATAACCTAATCATACAAATGGGATGTATCCCCTGGTGGTTATTGTAATTATGCCACGAACCGCATGGTCCTAGAACCCATGCATGAAATCGCTTGCACATGAGATCAGATTCGCGCCCCTAGGATGCATTCAATGAACTGCTCACGAACAACGTGTCCCTTGGCACAGGGCGGAATCTGAATGCATCCTCACTGGGATTCAAGACACATTGAGTTTATAGTTTATAATATATAGACATGTTTAAAACCAATAATAAACCATCCCTAGTAGTTGGACCACGGCTTATAGACGGCCGTGGGTTTTCGGGGGTTTTGGGGGGTTTTGGGGGGGTTGATAACGTTCTTGGCTGCCCGCCTTACAAGATATTCTCTTGGACTTGCTGCTACGCTATTGAATGTCAACAGGTCACCCATCAGGTCAAGCAATTCACCCGTCCTGTGATGAGAAAACCGTCATCTGTACTCAGTTCGGTTGCCGGTACTCAGAGTATTGACAGGGCATGGCGTACACTCAAAGCTTGGCTACCCAAAAAATTGAAGACATACGAAAAGAGAAATGGCCATCACAAAATGAGTCAAGGTGTGCATTCAATGATCCAGCAATGGATGTGGCGTCAAACAATTTTGCCGTGTTCTCCCAAAGAGTTGATGTCATGCCTTGTCGATCTGCTGAAGAAATATCATGACTTTCAATGACGGCTTCATCCACTGAAACAAATAGTTTGACTGCATTGCAAGATGACTAAAAAACATATTTTCCCCATCTAATTCCGAGATGAAGCCGCTTTAACCAATGGCACGGCTGCGTGAAAGATCCAAAATGGACTGGAATGCTCTGACCACTGTAAATCAGCAGAAAAACAAATGCTCAGCATTGCTGGTGTGCTGAATTCCTCACGGCCGCCTGTGAGCCGTGTACCTAGTTCCATAGATGGGTGGTAAACACCATCCCCAAATGGTAGGTTGTTTATTAGGTTTACCTCATTAGCCTGCTTAAATTAAAACGACACAGGCTGTCTAAGATCAGCCTCGGTTCGTCTCTTTTTCACCAAGCCTCACACGAAAATTCCAAGTATAGGAAGCGGTGAATATATCTATCTATGGGCCGAGAGCCGTCTGTAAATCGACATAAGAAAATCACAAGAAATCACAAGATAAGTAGAGTTGTTCGTAAATCTCAAGAGAAGTCCAATCTGTTTTTTCCCTGCCTTGAGAGAAGCACAATCATAAGATGAGTATAGTTTGCAAGTAAAATCCCTATTTTGGACAACCGTCATGAATTACAGTGATTATCCAATATTACATTCACTTATATATATAATTATATAATATTAACATGTTTTGAGCCGTTTTTGGACTGTATCCCACAGAGAAAGCAAAAAAAATCATGTAAGCGTGGTATAATTATAAGTTAGATCATATAATATGCCATATGTTCCACATCATGTAAGATGTATCCCACATACCCTCCCGTATATTCCTGTAATTCAACACTATGGAACATCACCATGCTTAATGGCTAGGTAATTCATCGAAATAAATGCGGCCCACAGCTACGTCAAATTAATGTAATATATATATATAACAAGGTCAGGCCCCCCAGCCCCCAGTTATGTTTGATGCTTTATAAAACCATGAATAGCGTAGTTGTCCATACAAGGTGGTGCCCCATAGTTGGCTATAGAATTTATAACTCCAATTTCACTAAGGTTTAATGGTGCTTATGGTACTGTAGATAGGTATAATATATATATATTTATATATATATATATCTCATATATTCTATACTGAAGGCTAATTTCACTAAAATTTATGGTAGATATACTGTATTATCTATGCCTCTAAGGCGTTTTAGAGACCAACAAACAAATAACAGGTGGGGCATCACCTTGCCCAAACGGTAATGCTCCAGGCCTGACCTTCCTCCTGGAACTTGGGCGGCATGGCGAACGCTGCTCAGTCACACCGGATCTTGCTACAGGCCGACGCGGCGTCCGTTGAAAAGAAAAAACACATGGTGGCTTGATACAGTATGGTTTACTGCAAAAGAATTAGTGTAAAAAAACAAACATGTGTTTATCAACTAATTAAAGTGCTAAAAAAAACATCAATAATTGGTGATTTCATGGGGATTATTGGAAGTTATTGGCAAATTTCTGTGTGCCGTTTGCTAATCAAACAGGTTGCGATGGAACTCATTCCAATCCTCTCGATGGCAAGGGGCCCCCCATGGATCCACGTTGGTTTTTAACGATCATTCTAATAGAGTTTTATACTTGATTAATATAAGATGATCTACAAATATTTAACCGTGATTTAGAATGTTTTAACATGTTTTAATGTTGTTTAACATAGTTAACATGTTCAAATGCGAAAATTCCAGCTGAACCATTTAGATTGCTGCTGAGCCATGGCAGGTTTGTGGGTGAGACTTATGGAGAACGTCTTCGGATCATCAAGGCCGAGTTTCATGTAAAAACTTCAAATGTTTTCCTATGTTTTCCATTGATGTTCATGATTTTTCGATATGTTTTTCATCAAACCTATATATATATTAATATATATATATATATTAATATATATATATATGTTTATTTTCCATATGACATGGCAATCTGGGGGTTCATTTTTTCATTTTCAGGCAACTGTCCGTCTACTAGTATGTTCTTCCTTGGGCGGTAGGGTTTGTTGTTGGCCGGGAATCCAAGAATTGCATAGAAAGGCTGGGAATCCGACTGGAAAATGTCTAGTTTTGGCACCATTTGTTTGTTGTACCTGATGGTAAGGGGAAAAGGGTAGGATCTATCCATTACATCAATTCGCGGAAAACACGCCCCTTATCAGTGATTTCTCAGCTTGGCCCCCGCCTCCAGGACTCCTGGCAGATACTGTTGGGGGATTGATTGGGCCGCTTCTACTTTGCAATGGAAGTCTATTTATTTATTCTTATGTTTAAGGTTTAGGGTTGTTTTGCTTCTGTTTTGTTTTTGTTTTGACTTTTGTTTCCTGCTTCTCTGTTTGCTTTTCTGGTTTTCCTGCTCTGCTAAGAAACAGTATATAAATAAACTCTAAACCAACCCTCAATCAACCCTAAAAAAACAAACCAACACCCAAAGAATATTACAGCAACCCTAAATAAATCCTAAACCATCCCTAAATCAATCTGAAACTAACCCCACATAAACCCTATACCAACCCTAAATAAACCTTAAACCATCCCTAAGTAGATCCAAAGCCAACCCCAAATAGATCTTAAACAAGCCTTAGTAAGGCCTAAACCAAGAATAAACAAAACTTAGGCTTAAACCATTCCTAAGTTGATCCCTAACCAACCCTAAATATATCTTAAACCAAGGCTACGTAAACCTTAAACCAGCCCTTGATAAGCCCTAAACTTTTTGCATCCGTTTGCAATTTCCAGCCCTATTCAGAAAAATGCTCCCGAAAAAATATTTTGAGAAGTGGTTGAAGCAATCAATCAGAAAATTGTTTGCTGAAAGAAAATCGGGAACCGATGCTACTTTTTGGAGCTAGAGGTGTGATGTTTAGCTGTGTTCGGGATCTTGAGACTTCACTGCAGTTATGGCCTTTGAATGCCCTCACCCCCTGAAAATGGAAGATATGATGGGCCCATTTTTGGAATGATAAGCCCATTCATAAACCACCCATATCATTTCTCATAGGTAAAAGGGGACCATTCGGATGGCATTGTTCATGGCTACAGGAAGACTGGGCAGTGGTCCAGCGAGCGACAAAGGATGAGGCGAAAGATGAACGAGTCGAAGACAAAGAAGAGAAGGAGGAGAACAAAGACCGTTCCCATTGGGACGTTTTTCAAACATGGGACAGATCCGGAAATCATAGGGAGATCATGGGATCAATTTATGATGAACCATGGGGCTGTTTTAGGAGATATCATGACTGGGATATGACCAGGAAAATATGTGGATATCATGGGATATGTCTGTGGATGCTGGATGCCATTGGTGCTATTAGCCTTGGCCGCGTTATCTGACTGTCGCTACCGAACTTTGTCAAAGCGTCGAATTTCTATCGGTAGAATATGTATGATTATCAGATTGAATATGTAGAAATCCCATGAAATCCCATGAAACCCCATGAAATCCCGATGTCTGCATCTTAACATCCTTTTTTCTTGTGAAGCTCCTAGGACTTGGCCGGTCAAGTCCTGTGCTTGTTGAAACTGTTTGCTGATGGCCTTGCTGGCAACCGTTTTTTTTTATTACTTATATACTCGTAGTGGTTTGTTGAATATTTACGTTGGCCTGCTAAATCCCGAGATTCTGAAATATTCTCGCGTGTTTGCGAGTTAGTGTCTTCTGTTACACCCCCATCTTTGCTTAACTCCAGAGTCTTGAACTGGTTTAAGCCTTGGACAAGACATCACCCCTCAGGAGGAGGATGGCGAGGCTCAAGATGAAGAGCTTGCGCGGGAGGCACCTCGGCCCAATGATAAAATTGGGGGTGGGTCATGGCAGCTTTACCATCATTGATGTGGGTTTCATCCCCAACCAACTGGATAGTTCAATCAAGTTCAATCCTTATATAATATATTTTGTTTAGTGCTATAAACATTTAGAAATGGAAAACCACAAGCCGACCAGCAAACGTTTTTTTGTACCAAAGATTGACGGTGGCATGAGATTTTTTGGGGGATCATGCCGATGGTAAGTGGTGTGAGCCAATAATAAACCATCCCCAAGATAGGTTTCTATGAGATTGAATAATATTGATTATACCACCTGCAATATTCCGGATGATATAAAATTTGAAGCCATTTTATGATTGGCAAATGGGATTATATATTATTGCTTTTACCTCATTAACCAAAGCTAAGATATCTATGTACCATCAAAGTGGTCCCTTGGGCTCTGTCGACATTCAAAACATGGTGTTTGGCTCCATGGGCTCTTTTTAACCCATTATATGTCAATTAAACCCAACTATTCCTTTGATTTAAGAAACCAACAGGGGATGAAATAGGGGACTAAACCAACTATACTATCGTAATGGTTGGTTCTCTGCCCACCGTTGGTTCCATGAGATTCATCAGTTGAATCGATTATTGGTTTCGTCCAAGGATGGGGCCGAAACTTTCAGCTTCGGAAGGATGTGTGCCTTCAGTGACTGGGCTTTGGTGATGTCGTGGGGCCTTGATAGGGGCTTCATGGGACTTACTGTACCCTCTGGTAAACTAACGTAACGATGGAAAATAACAATTTTTAATGGGTAAATCCACTATAAATGGCAATTTTCCATAGCTATGTTAGTTTACCAGAGGGCATGGTGCGACTTCATTAGAATGGATTTGACATGGCTTCAGCCATGACTAACAAAAACAAATAGGCTGGTACTTGAATTTTGAACGTTATTTACCACTATCTTAGAGACATCTCTAACCTGGAAAGGTTTATGGACTACCCGACTACCCGACTAGGTAATCAACCCATGGCTAGCCGGGAAATCTCCAAACACTAAATTGAGGTTTAACTGGATAGCTGCGAAAATGAAGTACTGTTGGCCAAGAGATCATGAGCGCACAGTGATTCCAGTGACAACATTGGTTTTGCAGATCCTTCTGATTTGGAAGTTTCAACCTCAAAATTTGAAGCATCACCATCTTTTCTCAGCGGAACTACATGGAGTGGAGTTCTTCTCACAGGAACTCCCGCACCTGAACCCCGGGTTTCCTGTGGCGCTGTCGCTGCCAAGGCAATGAGGTGATGGGCCAGAAGACCGAAGGTTGGAGACGGGACATAAGTGATGCAGTGAACTCCCCAACGAGAGATGTTCTATTGGCCGTATAGGCCTTGAAACATGTGATGTTGGTGGTGGTTGGGCAGCCTTATTTATAAAACATGATAAACCCTTCGAATTGGTGGGGTACCGGTACAATCTCATATCAAAGGGGTGGACTGGTTCGGTTCCCCATAAGGGGTCCCGTGTATAATATAGGGCCTGTTTAAAATCGGGGCCATGAGGGGATGTTGGGGAAGTGCTGGCCCGTGGTTTTGCCAACTCGAATGCGTTTTTTTTTTTTTTTAATACGCAAACTTGCACGAAGACAGGCCATCAAAGATTTCCTATCTTAAAATACAAGTTCAACATTTTAACCCCCTTGTTTTGCATTGAATTCGATGCAACTCTGTCAACATTCTCTAACAGTTGATCCCAATGCTGTCACCGCCGCAGCTTGGATGTTGGAGCTCCTACAAGTCTTCCATGTGGCTCGGTGAAGGAAGGCTGTATAATTATTTGTAATCAATGAAGGATGGGGCGAAACCACCAGGCAGTGATGTATATATGTACATACATATAATATATATATATATACAGTATATGTATATATATATATTGTAGGTAAAACAGTACAACACCATCCCCCAAATCAGCTTGAATTGGTGGTACAAACCATTCCATCTTACTCGCCTTTAGCTCTGCTGAACTCCTTGAGAAGGCGATGGAGAGGGAGAGAGAAACCATTCCCAAATGGGTGGTTTATTGTTTTACCCACATTATATAATTATTTGTGTTTTACTTATCATGACTTATTATGTAATAATTGATATTAATTGATGATCACTGCTTATGACATTCGGTTTCCCCAAGGGACACCTGGTGGCTTCGGGCTTCAAGGATGGATATGACATATATTGCCATGGCAAAGATATTGCATAAGTGACACTGCAGTAATATCCATATGTTTTTTTGGGATCCAGTTGGGTGTAAATGTGGTAACTTCATGTAACTTCGACATCCACCAACTTGGGAGCACATTTGGATTGAACTCAATAAGAGACCATCTCAATAGCATCAGACATGGGTGGTATACACTGTAATCTATGAAAATTGAAGGGTTTTTGCCTTTGGTTTTGCCCCATTATGCATAATATAATATAATCACTATTATCGCTGTATTTCATTAATATGAATTAATTACTGATTATCATTGCTATCAAGCCCGTACTGTACATGGTCGTGCCCATTTTTATTTCCTTGGAGTTGCCAACCCTGACTCGGGGATGCTTGCGCATGCTTGCGCACTATTTGGCTCTTCATTTTGGTTGAAAGGAGCAGTTGCATCCTGCTGTGTATGAGAACATGCTAAGACACATATAGCAATATCAAAAAGATCGAAAAGTAGAATCCTTACTAAGTGATAAATTACTGTTCTATCTTTTGGGCGTTAATTACCACTCAAACGTATATTTATAAGTCTTCCGATGGTCATGCCCCATCCGAAGCCCCATAAAACAAGGCTATTACCACGAGAACAACCTCAGATTAGAGGTGCACCATGCCATTCTTCACCAAGAGGTGCACCATCCCATTTGTTTGGGGCATATTCCCATCATATTCCCTTAGGCCCTAAGTTAGGATAGTTAGGCTAGCTTAGCCTTACAGAGATTGGCTTCGACATGGTTCGACATGGCTGAGGTGCTGGTGGACATGATTTCAAGCCCTGTTCACTTGCAAGAGGCCTGCGAGTCGGTGTGGATAGAATTACCTGGGTCCAGGTAAGAATTAGGTTGCACTAGTTTAGCATGATTGGGATTGGGACACTTTCCAGCGACCTCCTAGTACTTCACCAGAAAAGTTAGGTAATGGCATGGTAAGGAAACCGTGATAAGGATTGATAAGGTGGAAGAAAAAAATATCAATAATCCCCCAAGTTTAGCAGAAATAGAAATGGCTGGATATATTATAATTAGCCATCAAAACTTGGGGTGGACACAGGTGGTATTACTGGGTTTACACTGATGTTTATACCAGGAACCCGTCCTGGGGACCCTGGGGTTGCCAGGTGGGAATGAAGCCTGGCGACAACATGAGAACAGTGCGTCGGACATATCCAAAGTCATATATAGGATAGTTCTATCTTAAACACACATTTAAAAACAATATATATATATATAAACCGGCGTCGTTTTTTTTCTCTTTTCTATGTGTTTTTTTGGACATTTTGATGCATGTGAATGTCGTAAACCCGATGATAAATTATGTTTGTTGCCATCTCACTGCCATGGGTTGTTCACCTTCTCCAATAAGATAGGCCTAAAACATGACATGGCAGGAGTGTGATTTGCTTGCCATCAATCTCATCACCAAGTCCAACGTGCCTCGTTGAGAAATGGGCCCAGCGGACACCCAGGTTGAGAAATATGGTTGTTGCACCATTTTGACAGAGCGGCATTGTATCAAAGAGTAGAGCAGTGAACAATTGAAAGCCTCAAACAGCGGCAGAAAGGAGCTCGTGCAAACGGGTTTGTTGAAACTAGGGCCCAGTCTTTTTTACCCAGTGGTTTATCATGGTTTATCATCATGTTCCCATATGTTCCCTATTTAAGTGCCACTTTGGTATGCTCCATGTTCAACGGATACTATTGGGTCACACTGTGCTTTCGAGACGGCACAAGTCGACCCGAGTGTGTGGCATACAATACCAACCAAATGGTGGATACACAAAAATGGCCCAATGAATGGCAAACCGTGATGATCATCATAATAGTTCTGGTTATATCAAGATGATAATACCCTCCCGAAAACCAACGTAGATGTGGAAAACCCGCCATGTGTAGATCATTTTCCTCGGGGAAACATGAGTTTTCCACATCTCTGAATCTTTATGTTACTTCACTCCCGGGCATTTCTCACTTGTTTGGCATCTTTGGGTCGTGCGGGATGGTTAGAAGCTAATAGACTTGGGGAGCACCATTTTTTCTGGCGGAAAGCATGAGCTGCAATTGCTGCATGCACATGCATGCACCACATCCATTCACATTCTAGTTTTCTCAACGGATTGTAGCCAATATACGCTTAGGTTTAGATGGTTGTGAACTTACCGTATTTCACATGTTGAAATGCAGGGGATCAACGCATCACCATATACTAACTTTCAGGCATTTTCCCGGGGAAATGCGTCGTATTTCGCCAAGTCCATCAACTTTGAGCGATTCAAACCTGTGATGTTGGCGGCCCTGCGGTCCTTGTGCCTTGGCGCGTGGACCAGTGGACCTTGGAAGATCCGGCTGGGTCTTTTTTTGAAGGGACCCGTGGCTGCGCTTAAGATGCTGTACTTAGTTAAGTTATGTTAAATTCATTGTATCTATAGAATATACTTAGTTAAGTTCTTTCTATATATCTATAGATCTATTATAGATCTACTTGTATCCATTCGTGTCGATTCGTATTTGATACATAGTTGGTGGTGAAAAAAAGTCCCGGAATACCAACAAATCATCTGCCACCGACATGGGGCGTTGTGGAGTTGTCCTGTATCCTTCGGCGCCCCCAACTCCGAATCACTCCAAAAGGTGGGTTGTCACCACCATTATTGTGCAACCAAGTGTTGTCCGCAGTAAGATATTTGAAACAACGAAGACCACATGTCTACTTTTTGAAGTATCCGATCAAAAATCATCAAATAATTGCTCAAATCATGCTACAGTACGATATTCATTATCGAAGGAAGTTTAGAAGTCAAACTTCCAACAATATGGAACATGGACAGATGAAAAGCAGAGCAGGGAAGAGGCAGAGAGAAGAGAAAGATTAGAAGAAAGAAGAGTAGAAGAGAAAGAGTAAGAAGAAAGAAGATGCAGATGCGAGAAAAGGTAGAATAGTAGGCTCGCTGAAGCGGCGGGTGCGGAGCCAGCTGGCCAGATGAGAGATGAAAAATTGCACGCCGTTGTGGCGCGAAGCACATTTGCAAGTCAAAATGTACAAAACACCTGTGTCTCGGAGCACTTTTGGAAGTTGACATGTCGAAAAAGTGCACGCCGTTGTGGCGCGAAGCACACTTGCAAGTCAAAATGTACAAAACACACCAGGTGCGGACCACTTTTGGCAGTTGAGATGTCGCAAAAGTGCACGCGGTTGTGGCGCGAAGCACATTTGCAAGTCAAAACGTGCAAAGCACACCAGGTGCGGACCACTTTTGGCAGTTGAGATGTCGAAAAAGTGCACGCCGTTGTGGCGCGAAGCACATTTCGAAGTGAAAATGTACAAAACACCACATGTTCGTGCCACTTTTGGAAGTTCCGATGTGGAAAAAGTGCACGCCGTTGTGGCGCGAAGCACATGTCGAAGTGAAAATGTACAAAACACCACATGTTCGCGGCACTTTTGGAGGTTCAGATGTCGTTTCGCGTGGCAGGCGCAAGGGATTGTGCACTATGTCAAGAATGAGCAAAACGTGAGGGTTTTGTCGCATTTCCAAAAACCATGGTAGGCGTGGGGCATTTGAAGAGGATCTGCAAAGATGCATTTTCCGTGGTTTCTTAGCTTGGGATTTTGCAGATAGATAGATAGATAGATAGACAGATAGATAGATGGATAGGTAGATAGATAGATAGATAGACAGAGAGATAAAGAAATAGAGAGAGCGATAGATAGATACATAGATAGATCGATAGATAGATGGATAGATAGATAGATAGATGCATGGACAGATAGATAGATAGATAGAGAGATAGATGGACAGATAGATAGATAGATAGTTAGATAGATAGATAGATAGAGAGATGGAGAGATAGAGAGAAAGAGAGATAGAGAGATAGAGAGATAGACAGACAAATACATAGGTTTAGAGACGGATAGTTAGATACCACGATAGATAGATAAAGAGGTAAATAGATACATAGACAGATAGATAGATAGATTCATAGATAGATAGATAGATAGATAGACAGACAGACAGACAGACAGATAGATAGAGAGAATAGATAGTTGAAGAGATAGACAGATAGATAGAGAGATGGATGGACAGATAGAGAGATAGACAGACAGATAGATAGATGGAAAGAAAGACAGATAGACAGATAGACAAATACAAACATAGACAGCTAGATAGATAGGTAGATAGATAGATAACGATTGATAGATAGATAGATAGATGGATAGATAGATAGATAGATAGACAGACTGACAAATAGACACATAGTGAGACAGTGAGATACCAAGATAGATAGATAAATAGATAGACAGACAGAGAGATAGAGAAATAGAGAGAGAGAGAGAGAAAGAGATAGATAGATAGATAGATAGATAAATAGATAGATAGATAGACAGACAGATAGATAGATAGATAGGTGGATAGGTAGGTAGATAGATAGATAGATAGACAGGCAGATAGATAGATACAGAAATAGATCCGTAGGTAGGTAGGTAAGAGGAGAAGAGGCGCGCCACACCCCACGGGACAACGGGACAACGGGACAACGGGACACCGGTGCCAACGGGACAACGGGACAACGGGACACCGGGCCAACGGGACACCGGGCCAACGGGACAACGGGCCAACGGGACGCCGGGAAACGGCCAAGCCAACCGGGAGAGCCAACGGGACAATGACCAAGGGCAGGAAAAACTCCAAGGGAAACACGCATGGGATCAACAAGCGCGCCAGCCAAGCAACAAAACTAGACGACGGATGGCCCGAGAGCGTAGAAGAGCATGTTACTCTGTTGTAAGCAGTATCAAAAACATTCAAAAACATTGTAGTATCAAAGATGCGGATGACCAGCAGAAAGGAGATTGAAATGCCATGTCAGATTTTAAGCAGAAGTAGACAAAGATAGACACAACATTTGAGAGACCGACGGAAACAGACAGCAAAGAAACACATACACACACAGACGCACAAACAAAGACACAGACACAAACGCACACACACACACAGTACACAGACAGACACCACACGCACACATACAAACATACAAACAGAACATAAAGAGGAAGACACATACACGCGCACACAAACACACACAGGCACAGACATACACGCACACAAAGACGAAGACTCGCACACGCACACACACACACAGTCTCCGCTGCAGTGGCAGATGCTTTTACACGCAGACGCTTTTACACACAAGCATGTACACACAGACGCTTTACACACAGACGCCTTACACAAAAGCTTTTTACACACAGAAGCTTTTACACACAGAAGCTTTTTACACACAGGCACTTTTACACACAGAACCTTTTACACACAGAAGCTTTTTACACGCAGACGCTTTTGCACACAGAAGCTTTTACGCATAGGAGCTTTTACACAAAGAAGCTTTTGCACACAGAAGCTTTTACACACATACGCTTTTACACAAAGACACTTTTACACACAGACGCTTTTACACGCAGACGCTTTTACACACAGAAGCTTTTACACACAGAAGCTTTTACACACAGACGCTTTTACACAGAAGCTTTTAACACGCAGACACTTTTACACACAGAACCTTTTACACACAGAAGCTTTTTACACGCAGACGCTTTTGCACACAGAAGCTTTTACACACAGACGCTTTTACACACACACGCAAGTTATTGCACACAGAAGCTTTTTACACGCAGACGCTTTTGCACACGGAAACCTTTACACACAGGAGCTTTTACACACAGCATCTTTTTACACACAGGCACCTTTACACATTACACAAAGACACTTTTACCCAAAGAAGATTCTACACACGGAAGCTTTTACACACAGACGCTTTTACACACAGGAGCTTTTACACACAGAAGCTTTTACACGCAGAAGCTTTTACACACAGAACCTGTTACACACAGAAGCTTTTACACACAGAAGCTTTTTACACGCAGACGCTTTTACACACAGACACTTTTACCCACAGGAGATTTTACACGCAGAAGCTTTTACACACCGACGCTCATACACGCAGAAGCTTTTACACACAGAAGCTTTTTACACGCAGACGCTTTTACACACAGACACTTTTACCCAAAGAAGATTCTACACACAGAAGCTTTTACACACCGACGCTTTTACAACCAGAAGCTTTTACACACAGAAGCTTTTTACACACAGACACTTTTACACACAGACACTTTTACCCACAGAAGATTCTACACACAGAAGCTTTTACCCACAGAAGATTCTACACACAGAAGCTTTTACACACAGAAGCTTGTACACACAGAAGCTTTTACACACAGATGCTTTTACACACAGAAGCTTTTTACGCACAGACACTTTTACACACAGACACTTTTACCCACAGAAGATTCTACACACAGGAGCTTTTACACACAGACGCTTTTACACACAGAAAATTTTACACACAGAAGCTTTTACACACAGAAGCTTTTACACACAGAAGCATTTCCACACAGAAGCTTACACACAGGAGCTTTTACACACAGAAGCTTTTACACACAGGAGCTTTTACACAGACGCTTTTACGCACAGACGCTTTTACACACAGAAGCCTGTACACACAAAAACTTCTACAATCTTCTACACGCAGAAGCTTTTACACACAGAAGCTTTTGACACTTTTATCCACAGAAGATTCTACACACAGAAGCTTTTACACAAAGACGTTTTTACACACAGACGCTTTTACACAAAGAACTTTTACACACAGAAGCTTTTCATACGCAGACGCTTTTGCACACAGGAGCCTTTACACACAGGAGCTTTTACACACAGAAGCTTTTGCACACAGAAGCTTTTACACACAGGAGCTTTTACACACAGAAGCTTTTTTTACACAGACGCTTTTACACACAGACACTGCACTATTACCCACAGAAGCTTTTACACACAGAAACCTTGACGCTTTTACACACAGGAGCCTTTACACGCAGACACTTTTACACACAGACACTTTTACACACAGACACTTTTGCCCACAGAAGCTTTTACACACAGAACCTTTTACCCACAGAAGATTCTACACACAGAAGCTTTTACACACAGAAGCTTGTACACACAGAAGCTTTTACACACAGATGCTTTTACACACAGAAGCTTTTTACGCACAGACACTTTTACACACAGGCACTTTTACCCACAGAAGATTCTACACACAGGAGCTTTTACACACAGACGCTTTTACACACAGAAAATTTTACACACAGAAGCTTTTACACAAAGAAGCTTTTGCACACAGAAGCTTTTACACACAGGAGCTTTTACACAGACGCTTTTACACACAGATGCTTTTACACACAGAAGCCTGTACACACAAAAACTTTTACACGCAGAAGCTTTTACACACAGAAGCTTTTGACACTTTTACCCACAGAAGATTCTACACACAGAAGCTTTTACACAAAGACGCTTTTACACACAGACGCTTTTACACACAGACGCTTTTGCACACAGAAGCTTTTCACACGCAGACGCTTTTGCAGACAGGAGCCTTTACACACAGGAGCTTTTACACACAGAAGCTTTTGCACACAGAAGCTTTTACACACAGGAGCTTTTACACACAGAAGTTTTTTTTTACACAGAAGCTTTTACACACAGAAGCATTTACACACAGAAGCTTTTACACACAGAAGCTTTGACGCTTTTACACACAGGAGCTTTTACATGCAGACACTTTTACACACAGAAAATTTTACACACAGACACTTTTGCACACAGAAGCTTTTACACACAGGAGCTTTTACGCACAGAAGTTTTTTTCACGCAGCCGCTTTTGCACACAGACGCTTTTACACACAGACGCTTCTACACACAGAAGCTTTTACACGCAGAAACTTTTACACACAGAAGCTTTTACACACAGACGCTTTTACACACACACACAAGTTATTGCACACAGAAGCTTTTTACACGCAGACGCTTTTGCACACAGAAGCGCTTACACACAGGAACTTTTACACAAACAAACTTTTGCGCACAGAAGCTTTTACACACAGGAGCTTTTACGCACAGACACTTTTACACAGACTTTTCTACACACAGAAGTACCAGGTACCATTTTACCCGAGTTTTGTACCATCAAACCTCATTTCGTGCGAAAGGGTTGCGCCGGACGCGTGCAAATCGCAATTTTTGGCTATCGAACCTCATTTTTACCAAAATGCCTGCGAAATGCAAAGCTTCTCCAAGCTGCAGCTCTCTGACTGCCAACGGCAACGGCCAACGGGACAACGGGACAACGGGAACGGGACAACGGGACAACGGGACAACGGGAACGGGACAACGGGACAACGGGACAACGGGACGGGCAGTACCGAACCCATCCTCAGAAAGAGAGGAGACCTCAACGACCTGTCGATCCATCAGTGGCTTCGCTCTGCCATCTCTGATTCGCAACAACCAACCTCTCCTATAGGTTTTCTATTTTTGAAACTTCCGCCACCGCCTTGTGCGGTACTACTGGTAAACTTAGAATATCTTAGAATATACTTGTTTTATATAATTTTTTTAAAGTATCCTACGTGACATGGACTGGATGTTCTCCTATCACCATCGCTAAATCCACACCCCGTCCCCAGGCTGCCCAAACAGTGGAGCACCAGCCACGAAGGGGCCTGGGAGTGGCTTTGGCTCACGGTGTCACGGAACCTCAACGAGTCCACCATGAAGGTCACCCAGCAGGGCCCGAAACTCTATGGAAAACAACGAGAAAAACATGAGGAAAATCATAGCATATCCGTGGGAATTTCAGGATCCTAAAATGGAGGCTGTACCATATTTTGGCAATATTTTGTTGGGATATTCCCTTACATATAGGCCTTATATATATGGTAGGTACCTCCAATTTAGGTTCCTGAAATGGCCATTGAGCATAGGAAAATACAGGAAAATAATGGACATTCATTGGGTTATCATATAATTTAATGGGAAAACATAGAAAATTATAGGAAAATCCCGGACCAAAATGGAGGTTTATTTATAGCTGGGAAAATTATCGAACAAAATGATGGACATACAGATATACACAATAATTTTGAATTTGTTGACGGATTTTCTTCCTTTTTGCCTATTCGACATCCACCAGAAATGGGGTCATCAACTCCAAGAATATGAAATCAGGTGCCCCAAGGGGACAAACAAAACCAGTCCATTGAGCCAGAGATAAATCACAGAAAACCAGATGGAAGACCATCAAACATTGAAGGTTGGGATTTCAGCAACAAACATGGGCATCTTTGGTGAACATATCTAGGGTGACTTTTTTCACCCGTACGTAAGTAAGCGGGGGGGCACAACCAGACGTAACTACGGGGATACAAATCGCCATTTGATAACAACAGCGACATGGTACCTTTGTGGGTTCACGCCAGTTAGTAAGTGGATTATACACCCAATTATAACTGGACGAATCCTACTTACCCTACTTATAACTTGGGTTATAACCCACTTAATTACTGAGGCGAACCACCAAGTACCAATGTTTGGTGATCCAAAATGAATCCGATTGATCATTAAAATCCACGGTTTGAACGCAATTTAAGGGTGTTTCTAGCGGTTACCTAGGGGAAAGGGATTCTGTTGTTTGCATTTCAAGGGAACTCACTTGGAAGATCATAATGATAGATTTCTAGGTCTTATCAAGGAGCACGGCATAAAAATGCAAGGTGGATGGTGGTGATTTCAGGACGATGTTGCAATGTTTTCCAGAGATTTTCACCAACGGAAGCTTGGAGGTCAGGGCATTCAAGCCGTTCAACGTGAAAATGTTCTCCACTTTGCAGGAAGAGCGGCTCAACTGAAACCGGCTCCGTTGACACCTGCATGTTGAAAAATCATGGCAAGATATCCATTGCTTGGGATAACATTTGTCAAAAGTATCACAAATCTACTGCCCTTTACTAAGGAGTCCGAGACTCTGAGTCTCTGTTTTTACATGGATTTTAAGGGTCCCAAAAAGTATATTATTATTAATTAGGTCCAAGTTTGAAAGGTACCCCCCATGTTGTGCTAAACTGGCTGCCTGTGACTCCTAGGCTACTCGTAAGTAACATTATATAAATCCATATATACATATATTATATATATATATACATGTCTAGATCCACATCAAACATGTTTTACATGTTATAACTCTCCTTGTCCATACAGGAGTGGAAGACTGGTGAAATGAAAAAGAACCTCACCCCAAAGTTGATAGGTAAAGACCGACCATGGTGTCCTGTAGTTATTTCATGTTGTTTTTTTCCCTTGAACTAATCCATTATAATTTCCCAAATTGGTTATAATATATATATATATACATGTGTATATCCGGACTTTAGTTTGCTTATACCACCACTATATTTATCTTAAACAAATGTATTAAGAAAGTGGTTGATGTCCTATGTAACCCACATGAATATCATTTCATTGAGGGTATTCCAGATGTAACTTATGCATTGAAACAACATCGGTATGGATGCATCAAAGTTGTTTGCCAGGAACAAAATCCCATGGCAAAAATCAGAAACAAAAATACAGAGTTGTTTGATGCCAGCAAGTTTGTTTCATCCAATCCAATCATTTTTTGCCACCAATAAGTTTTATCCACTCCAACATTTTTTTATCGTTGGATTGTTTTAAGATGTTTTAAGTTTATCAACCATACAGGACACCTTTTTTGTTGGTCGTGGTTAGACACATTCGCCTGGTGACCAAAGATATTCCCGCGATCGCGGTGGTAGCACTGGAATGCTACCAGGCAGCTGGACCGCTTTCGGGCCAACATCTTCACCGAGTTCTTCGCACGAAGCCAAGCTTCACAGGACCTTTTCAAGCAGCACCTCGTTTAACGAACGTCCCACGTGGATATGGTAAAGGTGGTGGTTTATTGAATATGCAAAAAATGGCCATGGCTGCAAAGTGAATGATATACATGCATAATATCGTTTTGGGGGATGTCTTATGTATGTATAGTATACGTGTTTTTATTTATTTGGCACCCACGGATGGTGATATCATGGTGCTCTACTATGCCATGCAGTTTTTACCATTTTTTTACCACACTAGATGGACCTAAATAGCAAGACAGAGAAGCATCAAAAGTTGAATCTCATGGCCAACAACATGGAATCCGTGCAACAATTCCCTGGTTTTGTTAGACAAGTAGAGTTATATAATGCACTTACAATCACTTACAACTGGTTTTTTTTCTGACCTACCAATACCAACCACATCCACCAGTTGTTTTTTTTTTCTGCATACAAACACTTGCCGGTCACCCGGTCACCCGACGGCGATCGAGAATGAAATCGATCTGCAGGTCCCAGACTCGACTGCGGTACATCGCGGACAGGGTCTTGCAATCCTCCTCCGATATGTTCCAAAAGAACAAAGATGAAACTCGGCATTCAACAACTTTTTGGGGCTCAGAAAGTAAGGGGCTCAGAAAGGAAGTAAGTTGAATCGGCATTGTTCATGTATGTTAATGGGCAAAGATGTATACTAATATATTATATATATATGTGTGTGTGCAACCAACTATATGATGGTGGAGCATTGATGATGATCCAACTGAATCAACTTTGTTTTTTTCGTAGGCCATCTATATAGTTTGTGTCAACACAGATCGTAGCTACATGTAGCTACAAATTGTTTTCAAATATGTCTCCAAGAAACAAACTAGTGAAGATCCAACTGAAGTGTCTGTCGTGATTACATGATTGGTAATTAAACAGTACAGCTAGACATCGAAAGATGGGTTACGGAAAGTTAAGGGAACAGTATGGACAAGCGCATTTGATGATGCAATTGAAATTAGACACACATGGATTGAAATCGTTTGGTTTGGAAACGTTTGTCTATTCAGAGACTGGATGGCGGGCAAACTTAATGGTCGTCCCATTCACATGAATGATTTTTTATGGCCTGCAGCTAGGGCCTAGGGCTATACCCAATTTATCCCAATTTCATAAAGTGGAGATTGTTGATACATGTTTATTCATGTTTATTTAGCACATTTGAAATCAAATGGAAGTGAACCATTGAGGCTTCATGCAACACAAACAGAAGTGCGATATTCGATGATTTTAAGGTATCGAGAACATGTGTGAACATGTGCCACCCCCAACTAACATAAACATCCCGTCGGGGGGAAAACCGCGCCAGCGGTTGTGAGCGTTTCGAAAAGACAATGTCGTTTTCGCCATAGCGAAACTATTGATTCATTCCACACAATAGGCATAAAATTCCCCGGGAACTTTAAGTGCATTTTTGATGATATCCTGGATAATTTACAGGGAATTTGCTCTTGAAAACGCGCACGATGTTTTCCTCCTCTCACATCGCCATGCGCTTCTTCAAAGAGCGACCAGTGACCTCCAAAAGGTTTTTGGATTTTGGAGTTCATCCAACGCCATTGCCACACCCTGATGTTTCGCATCAGTTTGGGGTTCACATGGCTGTTGACTCTGGTCGCAAGACTACATGGTATGGCCGATTTTTTGAAACATAGCACTCTGGTTGTATGAAAAGCAAATCACAACATGAAGCTTAGTGTCGGCAGGTTACAAGGTCTTGTTCCTGTTTTACATCTGTATCAACATCCGTGCGCATTCTACAATCATGATGCCAGCAAGGGGGAACCCAGACGTGACGTAGCATGTGCATGCGACGCAAGTTAACATGAACGTTAACACACCCCACCCCCCCGACCCAGTAACATATGCGTGTTTTCAAAAACGTGCACGACTACTGGCGCGGTTTTCCCCCTGCTGGCATAAACATCCATAGAGAACTCCCTCTTTTTTGGGGTCTTAGTTGGAAGAATTGGTAAACCTTGGTATCTTTCGCGGCTCCGCGGCTCGACGGGAAATGATTTCAGGAAACGCTGGACGACCTCTCTGCTTTGGGTTTGCGCCATGTAGGCGGCCGGATACGATTGAGATCACCTTGTGGCATGGGAAAAGCCAGGGAATTGTTAGATTCCAAAGTGGGGATAAGTTTGTGAATTACTTGTGCAATCCTTATGGTATACAAGTTAGGTGATATTATGTGTTGATTCAAAAGTTGTACACTGATGGTTTTAACAATTGTTACAATCCTTGCTTTCCTTTGCCTAGTTCCTTAAGCGACCTCACAGTGAGTGCTTTACAAATGGACATCGCCCCAGATCTTATTTCACGGTAGTTCCTTTGCGGTCATTGTGCTGGACAACGCTAGACCCAATAATAAAGCTTCCAGTCTTGGAGGTTTATATGACGCATCTCTGGTGAATTTGGGCATTGTCATGGATTGCTTGTTATTGGGCCATGCCGCTTACCACATTGCTAGTGGAATGGTCTTCGCGGCACTTCTTCAGCGAGCATGCTCAAAGAAACCCCAACATTGGTTGGGACCAGCATGGTCAGGCTCAGGCTTGCCGTGCAATTGCAAGTTTTGTGACCACGGCAATGTGGTGTCCTGCCAGTAGGAGTCCCCGTTTTCGGCTTGGTTTTGATGAACATAGCCAGTATAGCTTACAATGTGGGGCCCCAAAGATGGCACATGTAGATATATTATATATATGTGTGTGTGTGCGTTTTTTAACACTAGCAACAGCTATAGCCTTTGTTGGGGATATATCATGATTAATAAATGTATATCTATCTATCTAATCTAATCTCATCTCATCTAATCTACTCTACTGTAATCTAATCCAATCTAATCTAATGTTATCCTATTTTATCTTATCTGATCTTATCTGATCTTATCTGATCTGATCTTATCTTATCTTTATTTTATCTTATCTTATCTTTTCTTACCGTTTCTTCTCTCATCTTATCTTATCTTATCTTGACTTATCTATTCTTATCTTATCTTATCTTATATTATCTTGACTTATCTACCTATCTATCTATCTATCGATCGATCTATCTACCTCTCTATCTTTCTATCTATCTATCTATCTATCTATCTATCTATCTATCTATCTATTCCTACCCTATCTATTCCTATTTCTATCCCGTCCTATCCTATCCTATCCTATCCTACCCGATCCTATCTATCTATCTTATTTCATTTTATCTTATCTTATCTTGTCTTGTCTTATCTTATCTTATCTTAAGTATCTATCTATCTACCTGTCTGTCTGTCTGCCTTTCTATCTATCTTATCTATCTTATCTTATCTTATCTATCTTAATCTATCTAATCTATCTATCGATCTATCTATCTATCGATCGATCGATCTATCTAATCTTATCTTATCTTATCTTATCTTATCTTATCTTATCTATCTATCTATCTACCTATCTATCTATCTATCTATCTACCTCTCTATCTTTCTATCTATCTATCTATCGATCTATCTATCTATCTATCTACCTATCTATCTTTCTATCTTTCTATCTTTCTATCTTTCTATCTTTCTATCTATCTACCTATCTATCTATCTATCTTTCTTTCTTTCTTTCTATCTTTCTATCTTTCTATCTTTCTATCTTTTTATCTTATCTATCTCTCTCTCTCTATAAGTGGTTTATAACCAGGGGCCCAGCACGGCCCGTATCCCGGCGTGGGATGTGGCGAGGCTATGGCATTCCCATTGAGCTCTTTGGGCCCTTCGTGGAGGTTTGTGTGGAGGTGATGCGACCATTGATTGCCGAGTTCCCGAACAGTATCGTGCCCCGGCAGCCTATGGAAATGTCTGGATAAATGGGGAGAGATCCGAAATGGCACATAACATTTTCATACGGAAAATGAAGGAAAATATCGGAAAACCAACAATGGATTATGAGAGGATACCTTTCAGACTAACCCATGTTAGATTAATATGAATTGAGGATCCTACATGTTTTTTTGTTTGTTCCAATTGGCGAGGATGGATCACAAGTTGTGAATAGGCCACAGTTGGGTTTGATCACTGCCTTTTGGGATGATGTGTTAATTCCTCACCTGGCAGCAGTTGATGAATTATATCAATCGTGAACGGTCGCTTAACGCTGAAGTTTAACAGAATTTCACTCTATTTCATGGGTAAACCACTGTCATACTTACAAATGATCCATTGTCCACAGCTATATGTTGAATTCCAGCCCGAGTGCTGTATAAGAATCCGAAAGGTGGTAGTCCAGGGTCCCTCAAATTCTTCATTTCAATTGTCAAGATATCCGGGGTAATTGTGAGGGTCCCTCCTTTTTCTAGCACGTTCTGAATTTATTTAGTATTCAGTTTAGTGCCAACCTTCAGCAGAAAGATCTGCGATCAGTGAATCAGCAAGAGCCAAAGAAGAGGAAGACAAGTCAAGGCAGGGAGATTGGGCATGGTTTGATGTGCCTTTAAGGGTCCCCAGGGTCCCCAGGGTCCGGGTTACTTGGAACAATGTGGTGGTCGGACACCTCAACCAGTGGTGACGACCTGTTGGTCACCATGTCAGGTCCTAAAAGTTCATGTTGGTTCAGTTGAAACAATAATTTTCGGCCCCAAAGAGTTCAGGTTTGGCGTGGTAATAGAATGTGTTTTGGGGTCCGAAAGAGGTTGAAAAAAAAAAGGTTTCGATTGTCTATACTTTGTGATGTCAAACAGCTTTGGCAGCCCCATATTCCACCGCATCAGGCCCTGAAAGTTCATTTGGGTAAAGTTTGCAGCACAGCCATTTGCCTGTGATTGGTAATTGTAACCCCGTCGGGGGTTCGAGCCCCGCTGGCAAGATATCACAATATGAATCAATATGATATTTAGCATTCGGGGATGTTGTTCAGTAGCCATGTATCGTTACATAGGGAGTGATTGATGAGGGAATTGATCGCATTTTTGGGTTTTGGACTCATCGAAGGATGCCTCTGTGTGTTGAGCCACGGCCCTGGCCAGGTGGAAGAGAAGCTGAGCCAGAAGCAGCAACGTATGATTTATGAATATTTATGGTGGACAATATAGACATATATAGACAATAATGAGGGTCCTTCAAATTCTTAAGGTAGTAGGCGACATTATTATGCTTTCTTGTACAGTGCTTGCACTGTACCAGTCCTTGAATTTTTAAGTTTTCACCCGGCTACCCCGGCACCAAGGAGAGCAAGAAGATTGTTCTTTGGTCCCCAAAACTAAACCCTCTGGTAATTCAACGTTTTAAGCGTAAATTCACGATGTACCATCAATCACTAATTACCAGAGGGGTACTCCATCATTTCCCAATCCTTGAATTTTTGGTCTTCACACGGCTACAGTGGCCCCAAGGAGAGCACGAAGATGGTTTGGTGCCCAAAGGACCGGGCGCATCAACTGCCGGTCACTGGGCAGCGGATCTGCGGGATGTTCACGCCCCAGAAAGATGCCGAAGAATTTGAAATGTGGAATATATGGCGAACACTTCATCGAACATAACCCATCCTGGAAACACTTCTTCGGCATTTGTGTGGGGGTTGCTATATAGAAAGAACATGATACAACCAGATACCAATCTTCTAACATATTGTAGCAACAGGTTGCACTTGTTTGTAACTTTATAACTATGGGTGAAACATATGAAACATATGAAACATGTTAAAGTCCTAGATCAAGATCGTGTGATTTGTTTTTTGCGACCATGGCTGATTGGGAAATCCTCATCAATGAGTATCAATGGGCATTTTTCCATGGGTAATCATCCACAAAATTCAATACATGGGGAGCCTCCAGACATCACATGAAATGCGGCTACATGGCTTCCCTTGGGCCAATGTCAACCATTGTAAGCAGTGGATTTATGATGGTTTATGTTGATATCTTTATGGGAATATGATGGGCAATACATATGTCAACCCCGGGCAATACCCCCGGACTGTTTTCATTAGGGAGGGTGCCATTTCACAGCGGATTATCATTATATATTTGTGGGTGCCCTTAAAGCGTGGTTGACACTATTAATTTAGTCACTACCGGTTTCACTTGTTTGTCACTATCGGTTAAGATTGCTTAAAAGTTTTGCAGCTCCAGATGTTACCACAATTTTGCGATTGGTAATTGGGATTTATCATACAACAAACTTGAGATCTTCCGTATCAACTGGATATAACTGGGGATATCTCTTGGTTTTGAATTCAACTATCCCCTTCCCCCGAACAGCAAATCCCCCTTGGAAGACCTGGTTTACACAGTATTTGTTCATTCTCTATGACCCGTACTACTGTCGTTTGTTTGGGAAGGAATCCATTAATGGTAGTTGTGATTCACTTCAACAAGTTCTTAGGATGCAAGCTTGCGTCTTTAAGTTCAATCTTTTGGGGGTTACGGCGGTTACGGTAGTAGGGGTGAAATGCACACCCCATTAACACGACAAGGCACACCCATGAACCAGATGTATACCAGGCATTTGCATACTTGTCATCCCTTCTGTTTTATGTTGATTGCCATGTGTTTCTTTTGGGCAGCCTCTGCACAAGATGTTTGTTGTTGAATACCTCCATTCTCCTTCACTTAGTTCCTCAGTTACATGTCAACTCGCAAACGATGATCATGAAGCCATTCTCGCAGGTTTGTTCACCATGGACATGATTTTGTGTCAACAACCTGCCCTCATGGATATCCACATCCCAAGTTTTGTCGCTTAACACAGTGTTTTGTTGTTGTTGTTGTCGTTGTATTGTTTTGTTATGTTTTCATGTTCTCCAATCACAAAAATAATACATCTCTCCCTGATTGGCCTTGCCAAGGAGAATGAAATTCCAGAGCACATGATGATCGAAGGCTTCCGCTGGTCCATCGGTCACTGGACTCATGTGGGAAAACCGAACATGGACCGTCCAATAAATATGGCCATACATGGCAATCGCAACAAAGAAAAAGCAGCAGCAGCAACAACAACAGCAACAACAACAGCAACAACAACAACAACCAAAAAAACAAAAACATCATCGTCGTCATCATCATCGCCATCATCATCATCATCATCATCAACAACAACAACAACAACTCCCACATGTTTGGTTTATGATTGGAGATTTGCATCTCAACTGTGCCAAGCTTTTCACGTGCACCGGACGGACGGCCAAGGTTTGACGGCGAGGGTCTTGGTGCGCACCATCATGGATGGCTCAACTGCCGTGATGTTGCTCGGATGTGGGGCATGTCTGCGAAACCATAAAAGTTTCATCAATGGATCAATATTATCAATGATTATCAAAAAAACTATGTTGTGCTTCATGAAATTAGCAACCCACTTTTTGAACATGTGTTTTTTTCTTTTGCTTTTGCTACAAGAAATTTGAGATGGGAAGTTGCGCCGAATGCATCCTTGCATTTTTTCTGACAATCAAAGGGGCCCGTCGTAATATTGAGACCTTTTGGGACTAGAGCCCTACTCGAAAGAACGGCTCCGCAAGGCACCCAATCGGCAATTTCCTGCATGAACCTATGGCTGGCATAATATAATTTTCAAAGGCATGGTTGGGATGCCATAGATCTCCGGCCTCAACTGAGGCAAGCCATTCACTTTGATGATTCCAAGCGTTTGCGTCGTGCGTTGCAAGATGCACCCAGGGCTCCTCGGCGTCCCTTTTCGGGCTACACTCAAGTCCAAAAGATCATCGAACCATATCAAACCATGATGTCTCCTATGAAATTTAAAAAACAATAAGGTCACCTACCTTCGGATCAAGGGATATCAGGCATACTGGGCATACTGGGCATACTGGGCATACTGGGCATACTGCCCCACTGAGCCATCTGAGCCATGGGGAGGGTCTAGGTTCAACGTGCAACCTCAATTCAATGGCTGGATTTCTAGGGAAAAAAACTACAGGAAACCGTCATGGCCCATGGCCCTTTTTCACATCATCCAATTCTTGTTGAATTGGTGTAGAAGAGATTTATGTCATTTTATGACCATGCTAAAACAGGTCCAAAGTTGAACATTGTGCCATACCCTCTGGTAAATCAACATGGACATTGAAACTGGCAAGTGAAAGATGATATACCTGATAGATCCTGTTAGTATGGCTATTTTCCATGGCAAACTGTGAGATTACAACAGGGTATCCGCCCCACATAGATTTGAAGTAGATACATTTGGGAGAGGAAGCCGCTGCAAGGTGGAACGCTTTGTGTGGCAACTGGCAGTGGAAGTGGGCAGCCAGTCCATTTCACCTCTCTTCTGGGCTCTAAGGATGGGCATGGGCTCAGGTTGTCAGAGGTACGTAGCGGACCTAGGGAATTAATGGGGATCAGGGTACACCTCGCGGTACATGGGGATGCCTCGGGTACCGAGACGCGACCTGCCAGGAGCGGCGCACATGATACGGCCAAGACGATGATCCAAGACATTTTGACCATTCGTGCAGCGCCTGGGGTCGAAATGAACGAGAAAAAGGATCAGGATGAGAAAAATGATAAGGATGATGATGATGATGATGACGATGTAATGATGATGATGATTATGATGATGATGATGATGACGATGTAATGATGATGATGATGATTATGATGATGATGATGATGATGATGACGAGGATGATGAGGATGATGATGATGATGAGGATGATGATGATGATGATGATGACGATGTAATGATGATGATGATTATGATGATGATGATGACGAGGATGATGAGGATGATGATGATGAGGATGATGATGATGATGACGAGGATGATGAGGATGATGATGATGACGATGTAATGATGATGATGATTATGATGATGATGATGATGATGATGACGAGGATGATGAGGATGATGATGATGAGGATGATGATGATGATGATGACGATGTAATGATGATGATGATTATGATGATGATGATGATGATGATGATGACGAGGATGATGAGGATGATGATGATGAGGATGATGAGGATGATGATGATGACGAGGATGACGACGACAAAGATGATGATGGTGATGATGTTGATGATGACGATGATGATGATGATGACGAGGATGATGATGATGATGATGATGATGACGAGGATGATGATGATGATGATGATGATGATAATGACGAGGATGATGATGATGATGATGATGATGAATGATGAGGGTGATGATGATGATAATGACGAGGATGATGATGATGATGATCATGATGATGACGCGGATGATGATGATGATGACGACGACAAAGATGATGATGGTGATGATTATGATGATGTTGATGATGATGATGACGATGAATATGATGATGATGATCATGATGATGATAATGATGATGCTGATGATGATACCAATGATGATCATTATGATGATGATGATGATGATGACGATGGTGATGATGATGATGATGATGCTGATGATGATGATGATGTTAACTATGATGATAATGATGATGATGATGACGACCATGATGATGATTATGGTGATGATGATGATGACGATGATAATGATGATGATGCTGACAATGATAACAGTGACAATCAAACCAATGATAATAATGATTATGATGCGGATGATGTTAGATGCATAGCAATGATGGTGATCATGATAACAGTCATGATGATGATGATGCTGATGGTGGCAACCATGATGATGGTGATGATGACGATGATGATGATGATGATGTTGATGACGATGGTGATGGTGATGATGATGATGATCATGATGATGATGATGATGCTGATGATGATGATGATGATAACATTGCTGATGAAGCTGATGATGATAGCATCGATGATGATGATGATGAAAACAATGCTGCTGATGATGACAGTGATGATGATGATGATGACGATGGTGCTGATGATGATGCTGATGATGACAACAATGTTGATGATGAAGACGACGACGGTGACAACAGTGATGATGTCGATGCTGGTGATGATAACAATGATGATGATGATGCTGTGATGATGACAGTGATGATGATGATGACGATGATGATGGTGATGATGATGTTGATGATGATAAAAAATGATTGAAATGATGATTATTATTACAATGATGTTTTCATGTTGATGATGGCAATGATGATGATGATGATTACGATGCTTATGGTGAAACCAAAGATGATGAAGACAATTATGATGATAACAATGATGATGATGTTGCTCATGATAATGCTGATGATTATGATGATGATGGTGATGCTGATGATGATGATAACGATGATGATGATCACATTGATGATGATGATGATAATGATTATGATGATGATGCTGTTGATGATGATAATTTTCATAATGATGATGATGATGCTGATGCTGATGACAATGATGATGATGATGATGATGATGATGATAACATTGATGATGATTATTAAGGTGATGATGATGCTGCTGATGATGATGATGACCATGGTGACAACAGTGATGCTGATGATGCTGATGAAAATCGCAATGATGATGATGATGAAGATGATGATTATGCTGATGATGTTGACTGTGATGATGATGATGATGATGAGGATATTTCACTAGATAATGATGATGATGACGATGATGATTGTGATGATGATGATGATGATGATGACACTGATATGATTATGTTTCTGATGGTGATAACAATGACAAAACAACGATGATGATGATGATACAAGTGATGGTGATGGCGATGATGATGATGATGATGACGATGATGTTGATGGCGATGGCGATGATGATGATGATGATGATGCTGATGATGCTGATGATGACAGTGATGATGGTGATGATGACGATGGTGATGATGATGATGATGACGATAATGATGATGTTGATGATGACAACAATGATTGTGATGATGATGGTTATGACAATGATGTTATGATGTTGATGATGGCGATGATGATGGTTATGATGCTTATGATGAGACCAATGTTGATGAAGACAATGAGGATGATAACAGTGATGATGATGATGATGATGATGCTGATGATGATGCTGATGAATATGATGATGATGTTGATGATGATGATGATGTTGGTGATGCTGATGATGATAACAACGATGGTGATGATAAGATTGATGATGATGATGCTGTTGATGATAACGTTCATAATGATGATGATACTGTTGATGTTAACAGTGATGATGATGACGATGATGTTCATGATGACACTGATAATGATGATGCTGACGATAGAAGTGAAGATGATGACGATGTTGATGCTGATGATGTTAACAATGATGATTAAGATGATGATGACGATGTTGATGCTGGTGATGATGATGATGATAACTAGATGTTGATGATGATGATTGTGATTATGATGATGATGACAATGATTTGGTGATGTTTCTGATGATGAAATCAATGAAAACAATGATGATGATGATGCTGATGATGATGCTGACGATAACAGTGATGATGATGATGGTGATGCTGCTGATTATGCTGCTTGTGAGGACAATGATGATGATGCTGATGATGCTGATGATGTTAAATATGATGATAAAAATGACGATGGTGACGATGATGATAAGGATGATGATGCTGACAATGATAACAAGGACAACCAAACCAATGAGGATGATGATGGTGATGCTGATGATAATATATAGATAGCAATGATGATGATCATGGCAACAGTGATGATGATGATGCTGGGCATTTTGAAGATAACAGATGATGATGATGCTGATGATGATAACAGTGATGATGATGCTGATGAAGATAGCAAAGATGATGATTTTGCTGATTATGACAGTGATGATGATGAGGATGAGGATGATGATGATGACGATTGTGATGATGATGATAATGATGATGATGAAGATGACGACGATGACAACAGTGATGATGATGATGCTGGTGATGATAACAATGATGATGATGCTGATGATGATGACGGTGATGATGATTTTGATGATGATGATGACGATAATGATGATGTTGATGGTGACAACAATGATTGTGATGATGATGATTTTAGCAATCATGTTATGATGTTGATGATGGCGATGCTGATGGTAATGATGCTTATGATGAGACCAATGATGATGAATACAATTATGATGATTACGGTGATGATAATGTTGCTGATGAGGATGCTGTTGATAATGACGATGATGATGATGATGGTGATGCTGATGATGATAACAACGATGATGATGATAACATTGATGGTGATGATGATTATGAAGATGATCACAGTGATGGTGATGATGATAACAATGATGATGACGATGCTCATGATGATGCGGATAGCAGTGATGATGATAATGATTGTGATGCTGATAATGAGGCTGATGGTGATAACAATGATGATGATGATGATGACAATGGTCATGGTGATGATGATGATGCTGACTGATGTTGATAACAAAGATGGTGATGATGATTACGATGATGATCATGATTCTGTTGATTAAAGCAGTGATGATGATGATGCTGATGATGATAGCGATGATTGTGATGATGATGCTGATGATGATGACTGTGATGATGGTGATGGTGGTGATGCTGATGATGCTGACAATGCTGATGATGCTGATGATGGTAACAATCATGATGATGAAGAAGACGACGACGATCATAACAGTGATGATGATGATAGTGATGCTGATGATGATGATGTTGATGGCGATGGTGATGATGATGATGATGATGCCGACTGATGATGACCACAATAATGATGATGATTATTACGATGATGATCATGATGCTGTTGATGTTGACTGTGATGATGATGATGATGAAGATGAGGATGGGGATGGTGATGATGATGCTGATGATGCTGATGATGACAGTGATGATGGTGATGATGACGATGGTGGTGATGATGATGATGATGACGATAATGATGATGTTGATGATGACAACAATGATTGTGATGATGATGGTTATGACAATGATGTTATGATGTTGATGATGGCGATGATGATGGTTATGATGCTTATGATGAGACCAATGTTGATGAAGAGAATGGTGATGATAACAGTGATGATGATGATGCTGATGATGATGCTGATGATGATGATGATGATGATGATGGGGGTGATGCTGGTGATGATAACAACGATGGTGATGATAAGATTGATGATGGTGATGATGATGATAATAATGCTGTTGATGATAACTTTCATCATGATGATGATTTTGATACTGTTGATGTTAACAGTGATGATGATGACGATGATGTTGATGATAACATTGATAATGATAATGCTGACGATAGAAGTGAAGATGATGACGATGTTGATGCTGATGATGTTAACAATGATGATTAAGATGATGATGACGATGTTGATGCTGGTGATGATGATGATGATAACTAGTTGATGATGATGATGATGACGATGATGATTGTGATTATGATGATGATGATGATGACAAAGATTTGGTGATGTTTCTGATGATGAAAACAATGAAAGCAATGATGATGATGATTCTGATGATGATCCTGACGATGACAGTGATGATGATGATGATGATGATGGTGATGCTGATGATTATGCTGATTGTGACGACAATGATGATGCTGATGATGATGATGACGATGGTGATGATGATGATGATGCTGATGAAAATAGCAATGATGATGATGATGATGATGATGATGCTGATGATGTTGACAGTGATGATGACGATGCTGATGATGATGTGGACGATAGCAGTGATGATGATAATGATTGTGATGCTGATAATGAGGCTGATGGTGATAACAATGATGATGATGCTGATGACGATGATGATGATACTGATGGTGATAACAATGGTGATGATGATGATGACGATGGTGATGATGATGGTGATGATCATGAAGCTGATGATGATAAATATGATGATAAAGCTGATGATGATTATGACGATGATGATGACTATGGTGATGATGATGATGATGCTGATGATGCTGATGATGCTGATGATGCTGATGATGTTAAATATGATAAAAATGATGATGATGACGATGATGATGATTTTGGTGATGATGATGATAATGACGATGATGATAAGGATGATGATGCTGAAAATGATAACAAGGACAACCAAACCAATGAGGATAATGATGGTGATGCTGATTATATTTAGATAGCAATGATGATGATGATGGCAACAGTGATGAGGATGATGATGATGCTGGTGATGATGCTGAAGATAACAGATGATGATGATGCTAATGATGATAACAGTGATGATGATGCTGATGATGATAACAGTTAAGATAACAGATGATAATTTTGCTGATTATGACAGTGATGATGATGATGATGATGACGATTGTGATGATGATGATAATGATGATGATGAAGATGACGACGATGACAACAGTGATGATGATGATGCTGGTGATGATAACAATGATGATGCTGATGATGATGACAGTGATGTTGATGATGATGATGAGGATGATGATGATGATGATGATGACCATAATGATGATGTTGATGGTGACAACAATGAATGTGATGATGATGGTGATTTTAACAATGATGCTATGATGTTGATGATGGCGATGCTGATGGTTATGATGCTTATGATGAGACCAATGATGATGAAGACAATTATGATGATAACAGTGATGATAATGTTGCTGATGAGGATGCTGTTGATAATGACGATGATGATGATGATGGTGATGCTGATGATGATAACAACGATGATAATAACATTGATGATGATTATTATGATGATAATGATGATGATGAAGACGACGACGATGACAACAGTGATGATGATGATGATGCTGGTGATGATGACAATGGTGGTGGTGCTGATGATGATGACAGTGATGATGACGATGATGATGATGACGATGATGCTGTTGATAATGACGATGATGATGATGGTGATTGTGATGCTGATGATGATAACAACGATGATGATGATAACATTGTTGGTGATGATGATGATGAAGATGATCACAGTGATGGTCATGATGATAACAATGATGATGACGATGCTGATGATGATGCGGACGATAGCAGTGATGATGATAATGATTGTGATGCTGATAATGAGGCTGATGGTGATAACAATGATGATGATGGTGATGATAATGACGATGGTCATGGTGATGATGATGATGCTGACTGATGTTGATAACAAAGATGGTGATGATGATTACGATGATGATCATGATTCTGTTGATTAAAGCAGTGATGATGATGCTGATGATGATAGCAATGATTGTGATGATGATGCTGATGATGATGACTGTGATGATGATGATGATGGTGGTGATGCTGATGATGCTGATGATGCTAACAATGATGATGATGATGAAGACGACGACGATCATAACAGTGATGATGATGGTGATGGTGATGGTGATGCTGATGCTGATGATGATAGCAATGATGACTATGATGATCACGAAGATGACGATGACGATGATGATGATAATGTTAACTTTGATTCATGGATATTGATTTTTAAATGTTACAATGATGGAGATGATGATGATGGTAACGATAATGATAACGATGATGATGACACTGATGATGACACTGATGATGATGTTGCTGGTGGTGATGACAATGATGATGATGCTGATGGTTGTAACAATGATGACGATGATTGTGATGCTGATGGTTGTAACAATGATGGTGATGATGATGATGATTCAAGTTATGATGATGTTAATTTATAATAATTTGTAATAAAGTGAACAACGATGATGTGGATGCTGATGATGATTACAAAGGAGATGATGACGACGATGATGATGATGCTGATGATTATTTTGAACGACAACAACAACAACACCAACAACAACAACACCAGCGGCAGCAGCAGCAACAGCAACAACAACAACAACGATGATTACTATGATGATGATGATAACAATGATGGTGACAATGATGGTAACGATGATGGTAACAATGATGATGACAATGATGATAACAATGATGATAGCAATGATGATAGCAATGGTGATGATGATGATGATGGTGATGATGATGATACCCACTTGGGGCCGTTTGAGAGTTCGAATCCCAGGGCTTATCACCAGCACAACCATCATAACAATAATCATCACCATCACCACTGGTGATGTCAGTGTTTCATGGTGAGCTGATTAGCCCAGTAGCCTCCGTGCAACTTAATTGGAAGACTCGGACAGCATTGATCAAGGACCGGGACAACTACTACTTTGGCGCAGATGAGCTCTTCAAGTGAGCCACCCTCATGGCGAAGAGGGGTTAAGTAGTTTGGGGTAGACATTACCATACATAAACACATCGTATCAGTACATGACAACATCATGAACAAATAATATATAGAACAATTATATAATATTATATATAGAAAGTTGGTCATCCACAAAAAATAGAACATTGAATGATATATAGAAATGTATTTTTTCATATTTTTGGCGGATGATACTATACATGTATTGACACAATGTATTGGGGATGTCCAGAGTTTAGATTGCCCACGACCGGATTGGGCGATGGAGCTATGGACCGTTCGTGTTGGTGGCCATAATGATATAGCTATGATATTTACTGTATGTTAATTTGTTAATCTATACTACAAGAGCCAGTTACTAAGCAGTTGGCTAATGTTGACTACCCTCCAGTAATCAAAGATAGCAACGGAAAATCCACCATTTATAGATGATTGTCCCACGAAGACGTTCATTTGTCTGGGATTTCCAATTCCCGTGTTTGATGACACCGGAGGGTAACTCCATGGGTCACCCACTGGTTTTTTCTGTGAGGTACCAACCCAACATCGCAGACAACGTCTTGCGCGAGGCGCCTTTTTTGGCCGAGACCCTACTGGATGCCCGGCACATCACCGACGTGGTGACACGCCTTGGAGTGGAGATAACCAGCAAAATATGGGAATCGTCTGGGTAAAATTTAATGACTTCACGTCCTGAGATGATTTATGAGAGAATTATATGGATTTATCTCAAATTAACCAAAACTTTTAGGTTAGTGACATATGATCATTTACCCAGAACAATGATGGAACATAAATCAAGGGAAACAGTATTCTGGATAAACTTCATCACGACCTCACGTCGCGACAGAGCGACGGACTGATGGTTAAGATTTGGCGAATCCTCTACAAATGGCTGGATTTGTTCAAGTCAGTGAATTGTCAAACCATTCTCATTGGATTGATTTAAGGAAAAATCTAAAGGAAACCATGGTTTTAGTTTTTACCATTAAATATGGAGTTTTCCTGTAGTTTTTCCCTTAAACCAATCCAATGACATTCAGATCATTGGAATTGTCCATGGCCAGCTCAGAGAAGAATCTGTAAGGTGATTCTTTACTTTCCCGTGGGAACAGCGTTCGGGGAATCTCATGGGAATATAGTTGAAATATGATGAATACTTTTTGGGGCACCGAGAGCAAACCGAAGTTAGGGTGATGGAAGGCTGACTGAGCCACCGTTGCAATAATCTCATGGTCGCCGGTGATTTCTCTTCCTAACCGTCCTAACCATGCTTTGTTTCCGGTGAAATTTGGCAAATTGCCTAGACTGATGTCGACAAGATCATTCCAATCATGTCCGTGCATGCACTTCTGGCGAGTATGAGTATTGTATTGTTCATGCAGTCAATGTTGATGTTGATGGCGAGTTCTAATCTCAATAATTCATCCTAATTTCATTTTAGATATTTTAGTTGGAAGGACATAACATGCAAAACCATGTGGTTGTTAAGACAAAATCTAAGTGGTTACCTCAGATTTTTCATGTTTTTAAACCTGGACGTTTGAGAGGTACGATCCAGAAACTAAACATATATTATAGATAAATTCCAACATGTATGCAAGGTGGGGCCCCCAAGATAGCTACCTTGGTGTCACACATGAAGAAACAGGGATAACGGGATAACTATAGGATTTATGGGAATACATATATATAATATGATATATATCTTTATAGTTCTATTATATACATATAATTATGATTATAGGAATTGTTGTTTCTAGATTGTTATATTTATAAACCAAACCATAACATTTGGGGCCCCACTTGCTGAGGACGGGCTGATTTGGCGATCGCACAAGAGTCAGGACAGTAACTCAACGGGGTGTTTTATTGTGCCGGCTCTACTTACGGTTTTGTTTGGCGTATGGAATCCAGGAAAAACATGGAAAAACTAGAGATGATTTTGCCAGCTTTCGCTTGAAGCGATCCAAACAAACCGTTACCTCTCAGTACCTGCCTTGACTACCTCGTTTCAGCATGTTTCAGCAAAGCTTTCCATCCACTGACGTGTTGAAAGTTATGTAAGAAGCCGGCCCTGCAAGGACATAGCATCAACCTCAGCAAAACCCATTTACAAGAGATGAAACGTTCGAAGAAAAAAACGGGGCGGAGGCATAGATGAGGCCTTGCATTCAGCGTGATCAGTAGGTTAGGATCACAGCCCATCATAGCCCCAAGAGCCAGTGGCCTGAGAGGCTCCAGTCCCAGGGGCGAGCCGCAGGACAACCTGCGCCCAGTGATCTACTACCTGAAGCACCTCTTACAGGACATGGATGAGGAGAAGATGCTGAGCAGGGCTTTGATCAGTTATGTGCTGATCTCAGCAGTTGGAACAACTTACATGGATGGGGAGTTAATTATTTTGATTTCTTTTTGTACCCCTAAGTTGGGAGAAGCTTTGTGGACGGTGAGCGGTTAGCGAATATATGGGTCGATTTGTTGTGATGATGGGGTCCCAACACGGCCAAGCTTTCACTTGTTTGTTGAGCCATATAAAAATCCCAGAAACTCCAGAAACTGACGATAGGTACGGTATTCAGTGCAGTATAATTCATTACCAAACTTGCCAAGGTGATCAAGGAACTCTGCTCGGGGAACATTACGAACAATGTGCAGTTGATAGATACCCCAAATCCAAGCATCGCAAAGTTTGATAGGGTTTGATAGGGTTTGCATGGTAAGACGATCCTAGTTGGTGTTTTTTGGGAGCCGAAACCAACTTTTTCGCTGGTATCCTTAGGGCAAGCCCAACCCCTGCAGACATTGAGGTGCGTTTTGACCACCCACAGACCATCATGCACCCCATCTTGGCGTTTTCGTTGGATCTGCTGTGGGACAAGCTGGTGGGGGACCCCGGGGACCCGGACCGAGGTTTGGAATCCTGAATTTGGGTCAAAACTTCAGTCAAAACACATGAAATACATGGACAAATACACCATATTTGGGGGATTTTGGGGGAAGAAACATCCATTACCTGGCGATTTCAGGGTACCAGATGGTACCAGATGGTACCAGGGTTTTGATTCATAGCCATGTGACAAAAAAAGCGGCCATCAGCAGGCCCATACTGACGCAGATGCCAGCACTGCACAATGTCAGCAATGTGATCATTTTGACGATCAGGACATACTAGACTTCTGGAGATGGCGATGGAGAGAGATACTTGAAAAAACCTATCCAAAAGTAACATCCCAGTCTGCAGGTTTTTTTTACCCCAGTGTTTCGGACAAATGCACCTGTTGGACAAACACCTAAGATTACAAGGCTTCTTAATGCTTCTAATCCTTGGATGTGCATCCAACTTAGTGTTTTTTTCCGAACGGAACCTGTACATGCCATCGTGAAAAGATGTATATAAATTATACACAGGTTGAAGAATGGTCATCAATCCATCGATAGGGATTTCCCATTTTACGGAATCCCTTTCATGATGGTGGGATGACTCAATAGACCATACACCATCAAACTTAACCATGGAACTTGATAGTCAGCAAAATGCTTGGTGATATGATGTGATATGTCATGTAGAACACCTTTTTAAAAAGGGCTTGTGACCTGGCCACGATCGGTGATTTTATCACCTGGCGCACCCCTTGAAGGATTTGTGTGGTCCTAAAGTGGGGGTACCACCACCCAAAAAAAAAAGTTTATGAATGTGTGTGATGGAACCATGTTTTTTTTTTGGATGGCATGACATGAATTGATATGGGGACAAATCGGATACTGTATCATACTGTATCCCGGATATCCCTATTTTAGGACCCCCCTACTTGGCAAAAACCCGTTGGGATATAGCCATCCTTGTCCATCCCAGAAAGCGATATTCGAGGAATTCACCTTGGGATCAATGATAAGATAAACATATTATGTATATATATAAATATATATATGTACCCTCTGGTTATTTAACATTTGTAATAGCCATGGAAAATCACAATTTTTAATAGGTAAACCATCTATAAATGGGCCATTTTCCATGACTATGTTAAATAACCAGATGGTATATTAAACATGATTAAATGCAATTGATCCTCAATATGCCCTAATAGATCCTAAATGATCCTAATATCATCTAGTATCCTATTATTCTGATACTTAGTTGCCACATATTCTTTTAAATTCATATGGCCATTTTTCTTGCTTCACAGGATCTGCGCTGGGGCCCTGCTCCTGCTAGGCATTACGCTATTTCCTCATGGACCGCGTGCTGACCGTCTTCAATTGTATCATCTTCATCCTGTCAGAATGTGCCACGGTGATGCCATAGATGGCTGGATTGGCCTGGTAAACATACAAAAAACTGATGGGAAAGATCCACCATTTTTAATGGGACAACTCACTATTTCGATTGGGCCATTTTCAATAGCAAACTGTTAGTTTACCAGAGGGTAACCCCCCCCCCTGTGTCATCAAACGTGGCTGGAAAAGGACAATCCACCATTGAGTTCGATGATTTTCATTGTCTACGCGAGGCTAGTTGATTGGATATAAAATGGTATCCTGATGTAGTAGGATCTTCTTAGAAAATAGAGTAGGGAACACATTGAAGGGGGGTAATTCATGACTATGTTGAAGGTAGATTCTCAATTAGTAGTCAAGGTTTATTGATCTAAGGTTCACATTGAAGACACATCGGGGATTGGAGATTCAACTGAAACCATGAAACGGGAAGATCAACGTAGATGACGGATCTGCAACTGCTTGGTGTCAATCACTATGTTCAATCGTAAAGATAGGATGACCCCCAGTAACTCTAATATTGTTGGAGGTTCAAACCACCAATCAGGGAACCACCTGGAAAAACAAGTTGTCCAGGTTCCAGGCATGTTTGAGGTTAGGGGATATGGATCGCCTGTGGTATGTGTTTGCTTTTTACGTTCTTGATCGCTTTGATGTAACATTGAAAGCATGCATTCGGCCAGAAATTCCAGAATCTCTTACAGATCTTTCCCGCCCCCTTGGATTCAGAGTCTTACCATGTTTTACCATGCTTGTTGGCCAGAGGCATCTTGAGCCATCCAAGCGTTTTGCAGATTTCTTCAATGTGCCTTTGCAGCACCATGATCTGCAGCTGCTGGGCATTTGTGGAAAATGATCCAAAAGAACTTCGCAAACTGTAGCTGCTGGGCATTTGTGGAAAATGATCCAAAAGAACTTCGCAAACAGTGCAGAAAGTCAGAAATAATTAACAAACATAAACATCATCATTGTATGGGATGAACATATAGTTGTGGAAAGTCCGAGAAGATAAGCATTCCACCAAGATAGTGACAAATGCGACTTTCCCACACGTTGAGGGCTGCTATATGATTACAATAACGTATTGCATATATTTCTTATATATTATTTCATACTTTATTAATCACATGTTATCACATACTTCACTTTATATATCATATATTTCACTAATGTTGTTTTCATATAACTTGAGTCCGTCCTAATAGCTGTAACAGTCAAAAATCAGCTGTAACAGTCAAAAAAGGGATTTCTTATATTTTGGGCGAACGTTGTTTTGAGTGTTTTCCTTCGTGCACAAAATCGCGCTTTTTGGTGCTTTCCCTCGTGCAAAAAAACTGTGCTCTAGATCGTGCTTTTTGGTGCTCTCCTTCGTGCACAAAATCGTGCTCTAGATCGTGCTTTTTGGTGCTCTCCTTCGTGCACAAAATCGTGCTCTAGATCGTGCTCGCTGTTACAGCTATTAGGCTTGTGTCAACATATAACTATCATCACCAGGTCCCATCCCACGCCAGCCCCCTGTGATGACAAAGGATGCCCAAAGTGGTCTTCGGGGGCCGATGCCTGGTCTACACCATGGGCTTCCTTCGCTTGGTGCCGTGGAAACAAAGATGACAAAAAACTCCAGGGGATTGGGCCTGTTGAAGCCCCGCAAGTCGGGTGAATCAGCCGTCAACCCAGAATTTGGGTGGATTAACATCCAAAAATCCTTTGGTAAATCCTGGAACCTCGTGAGTGTCGTGAGTCCTGTTTTGTTTTGCTTCAAAAAACAGCCGAATGATCCCAGGAATTGCGATGATGATTCGATGATCCCTAACCAATGGGATCGGATTACCCATTGCCTACACAATGGATGGTGATCAACATGCTTTGACGATATCATTTTTGACTTTTATTTATATAGTTCTTGGCCAGGACTGTTCACCCAAACTCCCAGGTTTATTGGCACACGCTGGAGATTTGCAATGCCTACCGTCACAAAGTGCCTGTTCTGTGATGGCGCAAATGAAGAAAAACTGGGTAAAGTGTTTCTGGGTAAATTCTGATTTTTCCCCAGATGTTTCATGATGTTTCCAGAAGCGGGTCATGTTTCTGGGTAGTTCTGGATAAATTGTAGCAATCTCATCGGACCTATGTCGCTATTGGTGATATTGGGCAAGGGGAATCATCCCAAAAGGGGCTGTGGTTTCTGGCTCGTGTTTTTTTGGGTCGCGCCGATCGCCCCAAAAAGTGCAGTTTTAAAAAAGGGCTGGTGTGGATTTTCACGAATTGACGACATCATTTGGGAAGAAGTCGTCGTTGGGCCCTCCTTTCGCCCCAGTGGATCCCCATTCGGCCTACACCCTTGCTCCGAATCAGCTTCCATGAATCTCCCTTGTTCACTAGCCAACCATGGCCAGACACATCAACATCGTCAGGAAATGTTGCTGAGCCTTCCTTTTCTGAGCCCTTTCTCTAAGGCCCTCAGCAACGTCCATGGAGTTTGGGTGTCACTGGGCAGCCAAGTCAGGATTTGAGGTCAAAATGTCTCTTGGTGCATCCCCCTGAAAAAATACAAACAATGCCTGGAAAAGGATCCCAAAATGAATAGTTTCACCATGTTTCACTATACGTTTCACTATATGTTTCATATTCCGAATCGTTCTCTTCACATTCTTGACCTGAGCTGGCGCCCGCTGGTGCCCTGACGGCGAGGCCGCAATACTTGACCCGTGGGGCAGCCATCATCAGCTTCATTTTGACCTTGGATATGCTGGCGATGATGACGGTCCAAGGGGATGGCTATGGCTGTGGGTACAGCATGGGTGACGATTAGTTTCAGCACTTCATGTTTTGTTCGCTTCGCCATAGAATTTGGGGATGGCGACATAGATTTACTGTATACATTTGTATACTAACCAGCATCTGTAACCAGCTAAGAAGGTATTTTTGGCATGGGATCCAAAATTGGCTACGATGGCTGTGGGGGCGACACTGGGTCAAGTTTGGATCTGGGGGGTGGGTACTAGCTTTACTTGGTACCAAAGATTCACCATTTAGGCATAGGACAGAATTGCAAATTCTTTGTTCGAAGTGGCTAGTCATGCAGTTGGATACATTAGGTTGTATGGTATTTTTTTCATAGTATCATTATATTTCAATATGTCATACGTCTAAGTCTGTGTATATATATATACCAGCATCTCCTCCCACACCCGAAAAAGTACGATTTTTAGAAAAAGGTACGATTCCTGGTCTTGGCCTAACTATTTTTGGTCCCGTGCAGAAATCCTGGTTGGCTCCTCAGGAAAGGTATCTTTTTCGAACAATCACAATTTTTCGGGTTTGGGAGGGGATGATTATATATTATATATAAATCATGAATGCATGCACGTGTATGGATCAAATGGATGTTCGTTGCTCGCAGCCCGTCTCTGCAGCTTTTTTGCACGCCTGCCCCAACTTCAGATGCTCTTTGTGATTTTGCAGGCTTGGTGCTGCTTGCCAATTCTGTGTGTTGCCTTGCGGGGTTGAGGCGCTGTGATCTTGCGCAGCAGTTCTTGAGCAAATCTTCCTTGAAGATAACTTGGTCTGTACTTTCACTGGCAGGTGTTTTTGCTCAAAGAGCATTTGCGGACCAAGTAGTTTGACCTGACTTGCAATGGGCACCCAGAAGGTTTACACTGAGCTTCATGGCTTAGCTGACCTCTGGGAGGGTTACAAAGTCCTCCGCTCACGTGTGAAGGAGTTGGGGTGCATCATTGTGGAATTTCCTACCGAAGGTGGTGCCGAGGTGCCTTTGGAAGGTTACATTCCCAGAACCATGCAGAACGCCCGTTACAACTCGGACGCTTTGATGCCTGTGATGCAAAAGATGAGTGGTGCTTTCGACAAGGTTCCTGAACTTGCAAGTTTGTGCCATGAGTTCAAGAAGTTGGCCTTGTCGGAGCATCGCAATCCTACGAAGGATCACATCATGGACCAGGCGTGGTCTGTCCGGTACTTGTTCGGCGTGACGAAGCATCTGCTCTACAAGCCTGCTCCTCCAAGGGCTGCTTGGCCATGTGTAGCTGAGGTGGTTTCTTACTTTTCGATTAGCTTTCGGTTTTTAGGTGCTTGGACCTGGTCATTGTCAGGATACTGTCTTCTTGGGGTTGCTACGCGCATTTGCGGTGGACATTGAGAAATGGCAAGCGGCTCAGTTGCCTTACCTTCGAAGCGCCAAGGTTGGGGGAGGCTCTCCTGGCCAGGACTGCCTTTCGGTGCTTTTAAATGTGATCAATTTCTCAATTTCTGGAATCTGCACAATATACTTTTTCCCCACAGCGCCAACATTGATGTATCCTGGATATCTTTTTCTCCGAATTCCAAGACTTCCTGAAGGAAGGTTTTGAATTTGGAAAAGAAAATCTCCAGGTGCCCAATGATGGAGTTCACTTTGTGCAGAATATGGCAAGATTTCTCCTTTTTTTCACCATATTCTGGGAACCTTTGACATATGTTGAAATTTCTTTACGAAATTTTGACATATTTTGAAGATTCCCTTTTTTGATGCGTTTTCCGCAGCACCGACCAACATTGATGTATCCTGGATATTTTCTTCTCCGAATTCCAAGACTTCCTGAAGGAAGGTTTTGAATTTGGAAAAGAAAATCTCCAGATGCCCAATGATGGACTTCACTTTGTGCAGAATATGGCAAAATTTCTCCGGATTTTTTACCATATTCTGGGACCCTTTGAAATATTTCGAAATTTCTCGAAGAAATTTTGACATATTTTGAAGATTCCTTTTTTTTATGCGCATTCCCCAGCACCAACATTCATCTATCCTGGAAATTTTCTTCTCCGAATTCCAAGACTTCCTGAAGGAAGGCTTTGAATTTGGAAAAGAAAATCTCCAGATGCCCAATGATGGACTTCACTTTGTGCAGAATGTGGCTAAATTTCTCCGGATTTTTTACCATATTCTGGGAACCTTTGACATATGTTATGTTGAAATTTCTTTACGAAATTTTGACATATTTTGAAGATTCCTTTTTTTGATGCGTTTTCCGCAGCACCGACCAACATTCATCTATCCTGGAAATTTTCTTCTCCGAATTCCAAGACTTCCTGAAGGAAGGTTTTGAATTTGGAAAAGAAAATCTCCAGATGCCCAATGATGGACTTCACTTTGTGCAGAATATGGCAAAATTTCTCCGGATTTTTTACCATATTCTGGGAACCTTTGAAATATTTCGAAATTTGTCCAAGAAATTTTGACATATTTTGAAGATTCCTTTTTTTATGCGCATTCCCCAGCACCAACATTCATCTATCCTGGAAATTTTCTTCTCCGAATTCCAAGACTTCCTGAAGGAAGGTTTTGAACTTGGAAAAGAAAATCTCCAGGTGCCCAATGATGGAGTTCACTTTGTGCAGAATATGGCAAGATTTCTCCTTTTTTTCACCATATTCTGGGAACCTTTGACATATGTCGAAATTTCTCGAAGAAATTTTGACATGTTGAAGATTCCTTTTTTTGATGCGTTTTCCGCAGCACCAACATTGATGTATCCTGGATATTTTCTTCTCCGAATTCCAAGACTTCCTGAAGGAAGGTTTTGAATTTGGAAAAGAAAATCTCCAGATGCCCAATGTTGGAACTGCCCCCTTTATAACGCTGGCAGGAGTCGGCTTCTGGAAGTTTGCCTTCCCCGGCACCTGTTCGACAGGACGCTTCGAACCAAAAGACCGCCTCACCTAAGACTGGACCTGTAAAGCAGATTGCGCCTCCACCTGTGGAGAGGAAGGGTGCAGCGCCGCCGAGTCCAACTGTGAAGCCAAAGCCTGGTGGATGTGAGGGATTGAAGGCAGACCAGCTGAAAACGACTGCTGGAGCTGTCGAGCCGGTTGCTGCTCCTCTCAAATCCAAAAATGCCCCCACAACACCAAGTCTTCTGGCTTTGGCCGTGCGACGCCGACACCTTCAGGAGCAGTTCCTTGGCATTTTTCATTTCAGTCTCGGCTTGTTGCTTGGTTCTTATTGGTATGCATGCCGGCGCCGCATGCAATTCAGGCTCCAGATTGCCAAGATGAGAGCTGAAGAGGCCTTGGAGGCCAGCTCAACGACCGCTCTTGGTTGCTTGGCCGCAGGTTGCATCTTTTCTTTCTCAATTTTTGTTCACCTGAAATCAGCGCGCTGCATGTGCAGGTTCCGCTATGGACGCTGCCACCACGCTTCCTTTTGAGCCTGCTGGTGACATGGCAACTGCAGCGATGCCTTCTCCTGAGCCTGTGTTGAAGTTGCCTTTCGAGGAAAACTTTTCCGCTGAACCGAAGCAGCCAAAAATCGAAGAGATTTCGGATGATGATGTGGAGATGCCAGCGCAGGCTGAGGCTGGAAGCGAGGCTCTGGAACCATCTTCAGAGACAGGGCGGGAGAATGATCCCCCCAAGGAGTTGGAGACTTGCAATGATACGTCTTCTCGGCCAGCCTGCGGCCCTTCTTCTCCTGCACTGGTGGAAGATGCGCATCCTCCGGGGCCTTCTGCATCTGCGGCAAAGGACGGCTTGGACGTTGCGATTGCTGCTGAAGCTTCTTCACTTGCTGAGCCGCTGCAGTCCCCCGAGGAGGATTTGAGGAAGAAACAGTTGGCTTTCAAGGCGCAGAACCGAGAAGCTGCAGCAGCCAAAAAAAAGCAACAGGAATTTGAGAAGGAGCAGAAAGCAGCTGCGAAAGCAGAGAAGAAGAGACTGCGAGAAGAAGTGAAAGCTGCCAAGGCAGCAGCGAAGAAGTTGAAGAATAGAAAGTCAGCTTCGAAAGAGGATAAGGTGGACCCTTCACCAGAGAAGCCCATGGATGTCGAGGCCGATTTGGAAGATGACGTTTCGGAGCCTGTGGCTGACGGAGAGGGTGAAGATGAAGCCGCTGCTGAGGAGGTTGAAGCGGTGGAGACTGAAGTGAAGAAGAAGAGGAGAAGACGCGTGGCTTCGCCGAAAGCAAAGGGCAGACCCCGCAAGATCGAGTTCATCGAATCCTGGTTTTTCGAGCGCTGCCGCTGCTGCAAGCTCGTCCACTCCTGCTGCTGACGACAATGCCAAGAAGCCAAAAACGATTCGCCGAGGCGGTCAATCGGATGTCATCAACAAGAGCCTCGTGCAGGAGCTGAGCATCTTTATGAAGCAGTGGCGCACCGTCTCCTACAAGAAGGACGAGCACACGGTGCACAAGGACGTGCCCGGAATGACTCCATACTGGTCTCGTGATGCGGCTGGCATAAAGATGGAGAAGGAGGATGGCTCGGGCAAATTCCAGGCTTGCTACTTTGCCCTCCGCCTCGACAAGTGCTCTTCGATGGCTGTGAACTTGTACCTGGCAAAGAAGTTCCAGGAGAAGTGCGCTGCGGAAGCGCCTGGGTGGGCTGAGGGCTCTGAGGCAGGTGTCCACTATGGGATTCTTGCTCGGTCGGCCAAAGCGGCCCATGACAAGCTCATCTGAGACGGATTTTCTGGGGGGATGGTTGTCAGCAGCAAAGCGCTGTTGACTCTATAGGGGAACTTTCCGGGCAAGCATGTCAGAAACCAGCAGGCCAAACATGTTTATAGTGAGATCTTTGCTTAGCTTGCCAGGAACTCTTTCAATCCTTGGGGTTGGAGTCTGCTTTGTCAGGTGGCGAAAAAAGTGCTAAGCCTTGCTGTCTGCATCCTGTCTTCTGTGGCAGTATGCATGTTTAATTGGTTGCTTTTTGTCATTGCATCTCCTGTGAAGGCGCATGGCCGCGGTGGCATGAGGCTGGTGGGCTGGTGTCTGCATGCTTAGCTGCTTGCAAGTGTCAAGGCTATTTTTTTCTTCCTTTCTGGTGGAAAAAAATGGCATTGACGCTTGAAAGTGGAACTCAAAATTCAGAGTTATTGGGAAGGGATTTCAGCGCGCCTCCCAGATCTGAAAAGGTGTGTGCTTTTCAGATGTCGGAAACGCGCTGCGGGGAAATTGTTGAAAGGCGGGCATGAAAATCCTTCAGCGGTTTTCACGTCAGCCTTCAGAAGGTAGAAATGTTAGACAAGAAACTCGCTCCGAGTTTCATGAATGACATCTTCTACCCAAGGGTAAAGTTTCAATATTCCCTGGAGGTACCAAGTCGTTGGCTGGGCGCTGCTGTGCTGCTAGCTGTACAAGAGCTAGTCGCAGGCCCACCCTGCTGTGTGCATGCTTGGGAAAGTTGCCTTGGAAGGGGTCTTGATCACTATATGTGTTTGTAGCGGTTTTTTGGGCTCAGTAGAATGGCGGGCAAAGATGGACGGGGCCATGATGGCCGTGAAGGATGGGACGCGCTGGTCGACTCTTGTCTCTGCTTTTTGTTTGAAGATCTTTATAATATCCCACAATAAATTTTGATTTTGGGGAGTAAGCCTTGACATGCTGAAGCCTTTGCCGCTTAGGATTCCCTCTCCCGTGGTGCTGACAGTGGACCTGAAGTCTGGGACACTTTGTGGCGCCTTGCCCAACATGTCAAAGGCAAAGGGTTAAAGCTATGGAGGCGGTGGAGACGGTTCCACACGCTCCCGGCCCTGTGGGATCAGGTTGTGCAGGGAAAGGTGGCGATTCTCCTGGGAAGGGCGTTGGGAGCATGGCTGGCAACAAGGGCGCTGATGGGGGGTCGAAATGCACCGGGGTGCCTGAACCAAAGCATAGCCCGAGACGCCACCTTGGGGTTCCTGAGCCAGAAGGTGAGCCGAAGGGTGAGCCGAAGGGTGAGCCGAAGGGGGAGCCGAAGGGTGAGCCGAAGGGTGAGCTGAAGGGTGAGCCGAAGAGTGAGCCGAAGGGCGAGCCGAAGGGTGAGCCGAAGGGCGAGCCGAAGGGCGAGCCGAAGGGCGAGCCGAAGGGCGAGCCGAAGGGGGAGCCGAAGGGGAAGCCGAAGGGCGCTGGGCCCAAAGGCAAAGGAGACAAAGGCCTCCTTCCGAAAGCCACACCTTTCAAGGGCAAAGGCATGGGCACGGCCACCTGGCCCAAGCCCAAAGCAATGCCAGGCGGGCCTGGGGTGCCTTCCCTTCCTGGACGTGGCATGTGGGTTCAGGCCTGGATGTGGCTTCCTGTACCAGAGCGGCCAGCATCCGAGATGGAAGCTTCTTGGCAGCAAATTGCCTTTCCCTTTGTTTTTTCGGTTTTTGTGAACATGTGCGGTTGCGAAGGCAAAACTGACTGATCCACAGCTGAGGAGACTGAGGAGATCCTCGTGGAGCCCGAGCCCACTGAATATGACTTAGCTGCCGGAGGTGAACCTGCCGGCTCGGCGCCTGGCCCAATCAGCTCTGCGCCTGCTTCCCTTGACCGTGGGGCCCGAGGCGCGCGGATTCTTTTGTTTGCCATCCCTGCATGCGCCTCTTCTTGGTATTTCTCAAACCTCTTCTTATATAGTTCTTCTATGTTCTTCTCAAATCTGTTCTCCTTGCAGGTGCTTCAGATGGCAGTCTTCACAGGCGGGAACATTCCGAGCACCTGCGTTCAGATCGACGTTACAGAAGCCATCGCCGAAGCCAGCGCCATGAGCGAAAGTGCAGGGACCATAGTGAGGGCCGCGGTGACCGCAGAAAACGTAGCCACAGGTAGAGAACAAGTTCTGCGACTGAGTCCAAGTGGAAAACATGGCTGCGGCTTCACTGCCTTCGGCAATGCGCTGTTGACTTACATGCAGAGACTTAGCACTTAGCACATGGTCAGTCAAAGTAAAACATGGCAGCCTCATGTTTTCTTCGAGTGGCTCGCCTTGCATCTGTTTTGAATCTGTTGGCTGCGCCAATACTTTCAAAACAGAAATTGCTGTCAAAGTTGTGTTCTGATTGTCAACTTTTGTCAGGCTGGCGCTGCCGCCGCTGCATGGGCGCGCCTGCGCGAAGTGGCAGGAAGAGGCGAGCAGCCAATGCTGCGGAGCCTGCCTTTCGACGCTGTGCCACTGTCATGTTTTGAGCTTCCTGCTGCATGTGTTCTGAGCCACGTACCTGCATGGTTATTTAATTATCCTTATTAATCCTATTAAAGAGGATAATAAGGATAATTAGTAATTAGGATTTGTATGGATTTGTTTGCTGCCCATGAGATCTTCTCCGGCTCAAAGATGCTCAAAGCACCTCGGTAAACGAAACAGGGACCATGCCTTGCCGTGCGGTGCCTGATGAAGCGGCTTTGGATCGCCTCACTTTGCGGCTGCTTACCATGGGTGCCCCAAAGATATTTGTATGGCTAGTTGTCTTGACATACTTCCAGGAAAATATGTGGCCTGCAGCCCCGCTGCCGTTTGAGATGATCGAAGTGTTTGCTGGGGACGCTGCTGTCAGCAAGTCCTGCCGGCTTGCTTGGATCAGCACAGCAGCTCTGGATGTCAGATACAGCGCTGACATGCGGCACAGCAGGAAGCGTCGCAGGAAGCAAGACCCTTTTGATTTGGCGTCGGCTGCTGGTTTTGCGCTTCTTGGTGGCACTTGTTTCTTTTTTGGATTAAAAAGTGATAATCCCTAACCTGCTCAAGGTTGGCTATCTGGTGCGTGCTCAATGCCGCCCCGGACTTTGTCACATGGCTAGCATGTGTGTGCACATCGTTCAGCAGTGTCAATTTGGGAACGTCTAGGAGATCGCCGACGACACCATTTGGCAACATCAATTTGGAGTATGTCCGGCTGGGAAATTGTTTACTTTCGCGCAGCATTCTTCTGGCGATGTTGGTGACGTGTCTGGGGGGCAAATGGTTCCTGGAAAACCCAGGTTCAAGCGTCCTGCCATGGTATCCCCGCTTCGAGCACCTGATGAGTTGTCTCCCCATCTGGTGCGCAGCTTGGTGGGGAAGGCACTATGGTGCCTTGACGCCGAAACTTGTCTGAATTGTTGTTTTTCTTGGTCTGGGTTTTTCTTGCGCACTTGAAATGCACAACTTGTGCATTTCAAATGCGGTGGAAAAAGCCATTGTGGCACAATTTGCTTCATACTCCGATGTCAACAGCGTCAATGCCACTTATGACACTCATAACCTCTTGAATTGGGGATACTTTGTTTTTGAACATATGGAGGGGCCCTGAATTAATGAAAAGATCCACGTAAGAAGTGTGTCCAATAGAATGTCTGCAGGAAAAGGCACAAAGCTTGGAGCAACTGCTCACTTGTCTCAATGCTTTGCCGGGGCGTCTTGAAGAAGGCTGACAGGGAGAAGTGCATAGTGAAGACCACGAAGAAGACCATGAAAGATGGCCGCGCCACCTACTCTGGAAATAAGTTCCTGAAGCATACCCAGTCTGAACCTCAATTTCTCAAAGTTCTGAGCTGACAAGTTTTGTCTCGTGCATGGTTTCACGCGAAGTTGCGTCAACAGTGTTTAAAAGAATCTTATTTTTGCCTAAGGTCTTATCCCATATCGTTTGGCCTCCGCATCCAACGTCTCTTCTGGCAGACGAAGGGCAGCAGCACTTGGACTCCTGATGACCGAGCTGCGGCTGACGCCCCTAAGGTTTTCTTTGAAACAGCCTGGGGCGATTTATGGGCTGAAGCCGCTGTTTTTGAGGCATGCGTATACTTAAGGGGAAGCTTCCATTTGGCAACCACGGCCAGGTGGAAAGAAGCCTTTCCTGAAACCATGGACTTTAGCGACTAGCGCGAAGTGGTGAAAAATAGGAGTAACCCTGATTTTGGACTTGGCTGTAGGACTCCCCGGACTATCTCAACAGACCAACCCGGAGAAAATACAGAAAAACAAGATATGGATGCAGAAATCCTAGTTTCTTGCAAAAGGAATCCTGGTTTGCCAATTCGGCAGACCGAACCCGGAGAAAATAGGCGCACCGGACTAGGACCGGAGATTCCAGGAGATTGCCCGGAGATTGCCGGAGATGGACCGGAGATTTAGGACCAGAGATTTCATGGTTTGGACCGGAGATTGCTAATTCTTGTGCCATTTTCAACAGGTTTTTTTTGCCCAAAAAAATGCCGCTATTCCCCAAATTCTCATTTTCCCACACCTTTTCAAGGCCACGGCGGCTAAGAGTGTAGATTTTCTCCTAAATTTCTTTCTGAAATGATTAGGGTACAGATCATCACAACCCTGTGGTTTTCAGCCATGGAGTCTTGGATCTTAGATGTTCGGATCAAGGAAATAGTTTGCAAACTAGTCAATCAGAGCTGTAGAACAGCTTTGCTGCGAAATCTTTGGGTCAATCAAACCATGCCGGCTCATAAAGCATGTCAATTGTCCTGTCAATCTGTCACTGGAGGATTCTGGACGAGATGTTTCGTATTTTCTTCGGTTACAACTGTATTTTTCTGGGTTGGTCTGTTGGTGAACGCTTTTATTGAAAGCTGTATCTGGGACAAAGACATTTCCCGAAAATTGGACAAGGACAACTTCTTAAAATATTGGTTCCTATACATCTTTGGAGAAAATGAATTGTGGAGGTTACAGGCTTTAATTTTTCCTGCAACCTGTCACTGGAAATATTCCCGACATGGAGCTTTCCGTTGCTTCTTGCTTTTGAATTCCTATGGCTTTGTGGTCCCAGAATTTGATCAGCCTCAAAACAAATCCAATACTGGACGGCGAATAACATTGACAGTTTCAGGCCATGCTTCCTTGGGAAGCTGGAAGCACCTAAAGATGCGGGATGTCACCATACGCGGTGTTTTGGCTTTGCCGGGTTGCTTGCAGAGATTTTCTCATTGCAGTATATTGCAGTGCTTGGCTTCAAGGTAGGTGTCATGCCTGACAGGTTTCCAAGTAGAGCTTGGTCTTGCGGTGACGTAGTAGCCGGGGCCTCTGCTGTAGTCGACCAGATGGACGGTGCAGCTACCGACCTAGAAGTTGTGAACTACAAGCGGGGCCTCCTGTCCGAGACCAGTGACATGCAGGTGGATGAACTGGAGCAGCTCTTGAAGGAGTCCTATTGTGAAATTATGGGTGTCTAATTGTCTTATATACAATGGGATGGGACGGGCCACCAAGTACCATACCCTGTAGGAGACCGAGCAGGCAATGGACAAGCATGTTTGTGCTGGCCAAAGGGATGCAGTGGATGAGCCCTCAGTTGTTTCTTCGAAATTGGCTCAACGTTCGGTGAAAGCATATGAGAGTAGCATTTTCCCTCGGCTTTGCCTGTCCTGAGGAACGTTGGCTTTTTGTTAAGCACGAGCAGCACGAAGATATGTTGACGCAGCAGATCCGCAACGACCTCTACACAAAGATGAGCGAACCGCCTGTGCCTACACCTGTTCGTGCAGACCATGCCCCTCCTACCGTGGAAGTTACTGGCGCTGCTGGCTTTGACCATTCTGCTCTGGTGTCTTGGCTGTAGCTTAATTATTTCAAATTGGTGATCCTCTGGGAAAATTAACCTCGTCTGTTATAACTTCTGCCGTTGAATGCACGTTTTTCTTGTAGCAAGGCAATCTTAATCATTCTCTGTTTGTTCAGTGCTCGGGCTAGGGCGAAACTTGCACCCCAGGAAACAGTTACAGCAACTTTGGTGGACAGCCCTGCAGGTGCGGAGAAGGCCGGATGCGACTCGGCCCGTGCCAATTCCTTTGGTGACCTGAGCAAAACTGAATGGGATTCCATGGGCATTGACCCGCTTGCCATCATCGACTTGGACGACAATGACGCTGAAGAATCTGCGGCTTTGAAAGCTCTGGAAGTGGAGCCGGATCGCAAGAAGATGACGGCCACGAAGCAAATGCCCGTGAAAGCATCCCCTTCCGCGACTCCCTCTGAGTTCCCTGCACCGAAAGCTCCTGGAATTCCTGCGCCTGCTCAAGGAGATGCCGCATCGCAGCTGGCTGAGCTGCAGAAAAAGTTGGGGGCTGACAAGATGCTTGAGCTTCTGACTGGCTGCGGCAAACCTGTTTCTTGCCCAGGCCTTTCACCACCAGTGCAGAAAGAAATTTTCACCCCATCTGCCAGCACTCCCAAAGCATGTCCTCTGGCCTCGGTGTGCCCAAAGCTGCCCCAGCTTCGGCGAGAAGCACGTCGGATATTTCCCCTCCACCAGATCCGCCTGCACACCTCGAGGGTCACAATGATGCTGGCGCTTCTCCTGAGTTAGGCGATGCTTTTGACCTGTCACAGAAGGACTGATTGACAGCATGCGCGCCATTGGATCATTTCCACCAACGCACGCAACTTGAGAACATGACGGAATCATTTCGCATTTGATTGAAATTAATTGTTCCTGCGACGTCCTGCATGAAGGAGCTTTCGCCACACGCAGTTTACATGCGCCTGAAAAGACTGTGCGAGAAGAAAGCTGGTGGTGCCCTGTCGGTTGATCCTGAAACCCATAACATGTGGGTTTCGGGCAACCGAGACGTCTTGAGTTTGGCGTTGGTGGCAGCCCTGAGGAAGTGCGGAAGCGAAGACACCGCAGCTTGCAGAAAAGCAGTTCGGGCAGGGCTTGATCAAAACATGTGTGCTCTTGGGTTTGCTTGCTTTTTCCCTGCCGCAAGATAATTTTCTGCATAGCCCCTGCAGGCTGAGTTCGCTGCGAAGGTGGTCAAGGTTCGTCAGTACACGACCGAAAGGGAAGAGACTCTCCATGGCAAGTGGTGTACTGAAGAGAGCATGCAGCGGGACTTGAAGTACAGCGCGACGCTTGGCGCGAAAGATTTTGCCATGACGGATCGCAGAACTGCTGACTACTCAATTCATATCGGGACTGTTTAAATTCCAACCATTGGATTTCGTTTTCTTCATGATATGATCTCCAGGAGCTTCCACTCAAGGGAAGAATGCCCCAGGTAGTTTCAAACAAAGCTCCTGAAGGAACACGATTGAAATTGCCAATGGTCAATGGTATTCTCTTCTTTGAGTTCTCCTACAGGACTTCCTTACACGATTAATTACTAGTGATCACTAAATATTAATTTGCCAGTTTCATACTCTCCAGAAACACCAATACATAATACATGTCCTAGTCCATGTGCTGCAATGTTTTCAAGAAAATCCACCCGCAAATCAGCATATGAACCCAGCAAGTTTGCAAGCCAGGACTTTGATCTCAAAGATCAAGGCATACTGCTACCGGTTCAAATCAGTGCTCACCAGGACTGCTGGCGCCACATTTGATTTGGCAATGTTGGCCACAACATGAAAACTGTCTGTTGCCTTTACCCTGCAGGGCTTTCAAATACGACGACAAGGTGACCGAATTTTTCGTTCAAACTGAAGAGCCGGTGAAGATTCGAAAGTGCGACTTGGAAGGCTTCAAGACCATGGAAGGCTTGGACCCAGACGCCCCCGCCCCTGGCCCATCGGACCTGCCTCAGCAAGAGCTTATGCCGGGAGTACCTCAGCAGGACGGTGGTTCTGTGCCTGCGCCCATGGTTGCTGAGACCAAGGACAACTTGGATAAGTTCGTGGAAAGCCTGCACAAAAAGGCAAGCGCCGCAACGGTGTGGGTGACATCATTGGAACCCCCAAACTTGGAGAAACCCAATGACAAGCAAAAAGCGTTTCTTGCTTGCAGCTGCCATAGTTTCTCCAACCCCCAGGATTGCACATAGGAACTGAACATCTGGTTTGAAGTGACTGCAGCCACTAGCTGAGGTTTGTCGCCGATGTGCAGCGCATCCTTGAGTCAATGGAGGCCGCCTTCTTGCAGTTAGCCGAATGCCAGCACATGCTGGAAGAGCATGGCAAAACTCCACAGTTCCTCGGCTATGTTACCTTCATGCGAACAAGTTGGCAAATTAAATAGATGTAACTGCGACAATCTGCAGTCAGTGCTGCTGTGCTGCTTTCAGGGCGTCTTGGCCCAACCGCTGGCTGAGGTTTGACGAGAAGTACCAGAAGGCCAAGGAAGCAGCCCGACAGCCGTGACTTGTCAAAAATTGCCACGCCTTGCTCAGACGTGCGGCATGCAAAAGCTTGATTTATGGGCTGTGTTGGCGTCCTTGTGTTCGAAACAACAAGCCCACACATAACAGGTCGTACCCTTGTGCTGGAAAACTATCCACTGGCAGGTGTGTCAGCTTGCTGGCAAAAGAGCACACCTACAAGCTGCTTCTTCCGGCTGGGCGCAACTGTCCTGGCAAGCGCAAGGATCCCCCTGGTGAGATTCCTCCAGCGAAGTCCGAGCCTGGGGCCAAATCGAAGCCGAAGGCCAAAGCGCAGACTGGCAAGAAGCCTAAGCAGTGATTTTTTTTCGGGCAAGCCTGCTGCAGACAGCGGGCTGCCTCGAGTTTCACAGTGTTCCTGCTGTGGGGTTGGCATGCCAAAACTTCAATATATTATAGTAATTGTAATAATTTAATTGCCAAAACGGGGTCGTGCATGCCATAATCCTCACACGGACCTGTGTCACAGTGTTCCTTTGTGGTGGTTGGCCAGCAGCTTTGTTTTCCAATCGCTGAACTGAACACCATGATTTTGTGGCCATTGGGTGCTGCAGGCAAAACTACCCCTACATATAGATCAGTGTGCGCGTTGTGGACAGTGTTTCTAGACACTGTGCCACCTGGGGAAAAGTAGTGAACAGAGTGAACATGGCGCAGTGAAAATACGCGTTTCGCTGTGTCACACCTTTGCTCAGCGTGCAATTCTTGCTGGCCATGCCCCTTCCAGCAATAAGAATTGCATCGAGACCTGCACCGCCAGGTGTTGCTCAGCCGGCCTTTGCAAAGCGGAAAGCACCTCTGGCACACAGCAATGTGGCCAAAAGTTTGGCACGCAGTCTTGCTCGAGGCGTTTTTTGGTCGCAGGTATTGATGCAGTTTCCTATCAATTTCACCACATCACACAATCGACTAGTATGATGTGGTGACATTGACAGGAAACATGAAATTGCACCACTGCAGGTAAGATGCCGCCCCATCCACCCCAGTATGAAAATCAAAAAACATTTTGATTTTCATACGCTTTTTGGTTGAACATCCGGCGTTCTGCGCTTTTTTTACGGCTTAGGCCCCAGCAGTGCAGCTACAGGAGCATGCCCGTGCAATCCTCGCCGATGATGAGCGTTTGGGCATTCGACGGAAGGACCCGGTGCTGCAGCGCTTGGCGAAGAATACACCAGCGCATGCGGATGCTTGGCATATAACTTTGACTGCTTCTATCAGTGTGATTTTTTGTTTTTTGACGTTATTTGTGTGTTTTTTTTCTTCCGTTCTTTGCTTCCTTAGGCAGAAAGTGCGTTCCGCACTTTTGAAGCCCAAGAGATGCGGGCGCCCATTTCTGTGACTCGTGTGACTGTGGGCTCGGCCGCGAACCACCCGCTCCTCAATCCCACTGACTTTGTCCGAGGCCTGGCGAAGAGCAAAAACTTGGAACTGCTTTTGCCGCACGAGGATCTTGCAAAGTGCAAAGAAACCTTGCAGGAATTTTGGTCCCGGTGGCGGGCACAGTATGGGGAAGACCATACCATCTTCCAGGAGGTGCGGAAGGAGGATTTGTGCCTCACACTCCCGGTTCGATTGCATGGCGACGAAGGAAGAAGCTTCTTGCCTGAACTTGGGGCTGGGTTTCTGTGGCCTCAGTGGATTCGGTATTCCAAGTTTTCTGTTTCATTGAACTTGCCCAGGCAAGAAGAAAAGCCCTATTATGATAATATCGTGGCAGAGTACGTTGGGGCGTGGCACCTCCAAAACAAGTGACCTTCCCGAAGCAGAACAAGATCGTCATCAGAGGTTAAATTTTGTTGGCCATCCTGAAGTCACCCGATTTCTCAGTTTTTGTGCTCTCAGAGAAACCTACGCCAATGATCCTGACGTGCTAACGGACGCCTTGAGGCACATCGTCCTAAATTTTCAGCATGGCTTACGCGATGGCATTGAGGTGGTCTACCGCGGTGAAAAGTTTCGCCTCCGACTTTGCTGCTTGGTCACCAAGGGTGATTGGCCGTGGCTGATAGAAGCAGGTGGGCTGACAAGGCATTTCAGGCGAGCAGCCAAAAAATCGGAAGCTAAGACGGTGCCCAACGCCGGCCTATGCCACTTTTGCCTTGCAGGTACAGAGGGTGTTCCTTGCAGTGACACAAGCGACACGGCTGCATGGATCCAAACCATGGGCTCAGCGGCTGCGTCTTTTGCTTGGGATGTTGAAAGCCCTATCACTCTTGGTCTCGTGAAAAACCCGGCGGAGCCGGCAATGCTGTTCCGCCCGGACCTCTTCCACAATTGGCATCTGGGGATGGGTCAGTGCTTCGTCGGCTCTACCTTGGTCCTCCTTTCTTCTATGTGCCCTGGCTCCAGCATCCCAAAGCGCTTTGAGGAGCTCACTCAGCTGTGGAGGAGCTGGTGCAAGTCAAAGTGGCTTGGGCTTTAACATGTGCCGTGTCTGGAAGTATGCATCTATGCACATGTAGTACATGTTATTCTTAATGTTGTTATTATTGTTCTTCTTATATATATATATATTAGTAATATAGTAAATATATATGCAGTCCTGTTATATATGGAAATATAAATACATATATAATATGTAGTATATATAGTATATAATATACTATTCAATGTAACCTGGAAGTATGCATCCGTGCATCACCAGGTCTTAGATGCCTGATGTAACCTGGGGCGATGCATCCCTGCATCACCAGGACTGCATGCTGTAACCTGGAAGTATGCACCCGTGCATCACCAGGTCTTAAAGGGGCCTGATGTAACCTGGGGCGATGCATCCCTGCATCACCAGGACTGCGTGCTGTAACCTGGAAGTATGCATCCGTGCATCACCAGGTCTTAGATGCCTGATGTAACCTGTGGCAATGCATCCCTGCATCACCAGGACTGCATGCTGTAACCTGGAAGTATGCACCCGTGCATCACCAGGTCTTAAAGGTGCCTGATGTAACCTGGGGCGATGCATCCCTGCGACTGCGTGCTGTAACCTGGAAGTATGCATCCGTGCATCACCAGGCCTTAGATGCCTGATGTAACCTGTGGCAATGCATCCCTGCATCACCAGGGCTGCGTGCTGTAGCCTGGAAGTATGCATCCGTGCATCACCAGGTCTCATAGGTGCCTGATGTAACCTGGGGGAATGCATCCCTGCATCACCAGGACTGCGTGCTGTAACCTGGAAGTATCCAGGCCTTAAATGCGCGATGTAATCTGCAATCTGTAAGTAAGAATCCATGATGTACTCTGCACCAGTGCTTCCGTGCGTCACCAGGACATATATAATTCCGTGATGCGCCTTGGGGAGTTGCATGCATGCATGCCAGAACTTGGATTCATAGATGCGCAAGAGACCGGCAAACCACCTGAGGTCCCGGAAGCCGTATCTCCTTGAAATTACCCGAACATGTGCCTGGCTGGGCCCTTCTGACTGGCCGGAGGGTTGCTGGCAAAAGGGCAGCACCACTACTGACTTGTGCGCATCGTGCCTGCCGTATGAATCGGTTTTTCCTTGTGGTGTTTTTTCCCTGGAAGTGCTTTGGAAATCATTTTTGTATCCATCAGTCCTAGATCCAAAACATTTAAACATTGTATTTGCATGGTTGGAGACAGAAACGACAGGTATGAAACATTAAGTGGAACAAACAATCATGTGGCCATGACTGATTTTCCTTTCTCAGGAATGGCTAGAATGGCAACTGGAGCAACCGGATTGGGCTGTCCAACTTCAAGATGATGAACGGTTCTTGACTATTCTCCTGGTGTTGCGTTGCATCAATTCTGTGTTCCGCAAGCTCTACAGTTCTGGGGTGTGGTTGCCTCAAGATGTTGCTCTTGAAGTTGGCCGCCAAGGATTGATTGCTTTGAGAGGATACGCTAAACTGGCGAAAATCAGCATGGAGATGAATGAGCCCCGGTACCCCTTGTACCCAAAGTTTCACATGTTATTGCACCAATTTTGGTGGCTCATTTGGCGGGGTGCAAAGTCCGAATGGGTCGAAAGCCCTATGTGCGATTCATGCCAAATGTGCGAGGGCTTCATTGGCCACATCAGCAGGTACAGTCGGAGAGTTAGCCCATCCAGCACAGTGGATCGCACAATCGACTTGTATCTAGTTTCGCTATGGCGCCATTGGCAAGGCAACCAATGATAGCGCAACTTTTGAACATATTAATTCTGGCAAAAAAAGGATGGACAACATGAAGAAGGAAAAAAGGGGCGGACCAAAAATCAACCCGGAATTGTACAATTCCTACCGGAGGCCCGGAGATCAACCCGGAATTGTGCAATTCCTCGGTGAGCACCCCGGATTCTCAGGATCGAGGAGGTCCTGGTATATATACAGGTGATATTGTTTAAACATGAATAAATACCGCCAATGTCTATGCACATAATATCTGATTGGTGGTTTGGAACATTTTTTATTCTTCCATATATGGGAATAATTATCCCAACTGACTAATATTTTTCAGAGCTCTGGCCCAGGGACGTTCCAGTCGTAGAGCTGTCCATGCAGACCCCCTGGAGTTTAGTTCTCGTTGTGGTGCTCGTAATGGATTGGGCATTTACTAAGGGGCAAAGAACCTCATTGGTTTTGTCTTTGATCTGTTATGATTCTCAAGGAAATTGGCACCTACTTCAAAGCCAGGATCGAAGGGGATATAAACTTTGGGTCCATGGAAGTATCCCACATGCAGGAACTATCGCTGGTGTCGATCTGCTGGTGACATCTGAATGGCCGTTGCACTTGGAGGTGGATGATGCATCGTTTGTTACACCTGTGCCACCGTGTGACCGTTTGTCCTTGCTGAGGGTGACTGACTTGTGTTCGGGCCTAGGGGGTTTCTCTGTCACTGCTCCCCGCCTTGGATTTACGGTGGGTGCTGGGGTTGATCAGAATGAACGATGGGGTCCTCTGTTTTCTGTCTTGCATCCGGATGCTTCCTTTTTCTGTGGGGACCTCATGGACACTGCTGTGCTTAGGAAGTTGTTGGCACAAGGACACTTCCATGGAGTTGTTTGCTCAGGCATAGCTTGTCAGCCGCACTCAGTTTTGGGAGACAGGCGGGGCATGGCAGATCCGAGGGCACAGTCCCTACCCAAGACTTTGTCTGTCGCATGGTTGTTGCAAGCGGCCATTTTGGTCCTCGAGTGTACCCCAGAAGTTCTTCGAGATGCTCAGGCGCAGGAAGTCCTCCGTCAGTTTTGTGTCTCAACAGGATATCGGATGACTCAAACCATCCTGAGGCTGGCCAATTCTTGGTGCTGCAAAAGGGACCGATGGGTTGCAGTGCTCACTGCACCAGTGCTTCCGATGTGTGAACTGCAAGACATGCCTCAGGAAACATCCGTCCCATGCATCCGTGACCTCATTGCAGAGTTTGGAGTTTGGCACCAATATGATCAAGCCCAGTTGAATCTCAACCTGTATGAGTTGTCCAAGTACTATCAATATGCTGCAGGTGGAATTGATGAGTCGTTTATCAAACTCCATGAGAAACTGCCGACACTCCTTCACAGTGCAGGAAATCAGATGTACACTTGTGCTTGTGGCTGCCGAGCAGCACTGTCGGAGCAGCGCCTCAAACAAAAAGGGATGGTTGGTGTTCTCATTCCTCTGGGCACTACACAGGTGCACATGAACGTTTGCATGCGCCATGCCAGGTACTTGCACCCAATTGAGATGTGGGCACTCATGGGGTGTCACCCAGAAGTCAATATGGGGAGTAACCTTAGACTTGCAATGGCAGGAGTTGGACAAGCAGTGGCACCTTTGATGGGGTTTTGGATTTTTGCACACATTCGCAGGGTTTTGGACTTGGCCTTGGAATTGCCGCCCTGTAACCCCTTGCCGTTGTTTCAAGAATACATGGCTGAGGTGATTCATGCTTGCCGACTCAAATGGCCACCTGCCACCATGCCATGTGCACCGACAGCTGAGGATCCCATTGAAGAGACTGAAGTGGCTGGCCTGATCACACTCTCCAGGCCGCTGTCAGATGAATCGGATGTTCTGGTTCGTGTTTCCCCAGGGTCTACAGGTGAGCAATTGCTTGCGGCCGAGGTCAAGCTAGGGAATGCAGTGAAGGATTTTCAACTCAGAGTCAATGGTGAACCCATGAATCCATCTCAGACGTTTCCTAATGATGCTCTGGTTTCCTTGGTTTCCCCAGCCTGGACTCCTGAACAACTGTATGCCGAAAAGCAGGTCCCATGCTGTCTTGATGTTGATGCCTTTTTGCACTTTGTCCGAGCATCCGATGCATTCGAGCCTGGTCCCATGAATGACCTAGGGCGTCTTAGTGCAGTGCGTCATCCGGACATGCCCAATGTCACCCGTCAGAGTGTTTTGGCCATGCAAGGACCGGTATGGGGTGACGATGAACTCCTCTTTGGCCTTCACCAGATTGCAGATAACACTGATGCAGATCAATGTGTCACCGTTTGGGATCCACTTTTGATTTCAGGTCTTGTGCAACAGGATGTACCTGCAACATGGTCCCAGTTGGTCGCTGCCTTGCGTCCTATGACAACTGTGGTTTCTGCGGTCCTCTTGGGGGGTCATTGGATTCCGTTGGTTTGGAGGATTGACACGGTTGGTGCTAAGCTTCATACCTTGGCGGTTACTGTGTACTTTGAGCCCGTCCTGGACTCTCTGTGTCGGGCGATCGACCTTTACCGGGGAGGGGCGAGAGGTGTCTGGAAAGCTCATGAACCCGGTTTTGTGCCTGGTGGCTACTGTGGTGCTTTGGCCTTGTGCTTTGTTCGCCATCTGTTGTGGGGTTGGCTTTTGGTTGATGACCAGTGTTCTCTGCAATGGGTTTCTGATCAGATGAGAAAGGACTTTGCTGCGCAACTTCCAGAACCATGTCTCCGTCCTATGTTGGCAGGTTTGGGTCTCACAGTCCAGGCACGTTTGGCAGACTTGTTGTGCAAACATGGAGTGCCCACACAAGAGGCGATGGGTCGTGCCACTTTGGCTATCAAGGCTTTGGGTGAAGATGGAATTGGAAAGGCCCTGGACTCTGACAACCAGTGGCGTGAGTTGAAGTGGTTGGGAAATCAATCCAGGCCACCATACATGTTCATCAAGCCTTCTGAGTTGCAATCCCAAATTGAACTGCGAGACAAGGACAAGCCAGTAGGACAAAAGAAGCACAAATCCCGGCCGTCCAAGGGCAAGGGCAAGGGATTGTCGACCCAGCTCAGTGTGGACCCAGCTTCTTTGAGACTTGAGACAGGGATTTTCCAGAGCGAACAGGGTCAGTTGCTTCCTCAGCTTGGTCTGTCGCAGGTTGGACCTACTGCGGTTGGGGTAGTGGTTGTGTCGGTGCATACCATTGAGCCGTACTTGAAGGCTGGCAATCCATTGTCTTCTGGGCCATTGGCCTTCTTTGTCGTTGATTCACCGGGTGTTCCTGCCACTGGATTTCAGGTATCTTCAGAACGAATCCCAATGGTGTGTGCTGTCAATTCAGAGCCGTTGTTGATTGATGGTCACCTTATCCAGCTTGGTGCTATGCGTGTTCAAAGAGCCCCACTGCAACCAGGATGCTCTGTCCAATCCATCCCAACATGCGTGGTGAAGGCGATGATTTTCCGTGATCAAACCCAAGTGCCATGATCTGAGGTGGTCATGCATCCGTTGTTGCATATCTTTGCACAGGTACCTCCTCTTCAAAAGTGCCTTGACCAGGAGTGCTGTGGATGTGAAAGCTGGCATAAGTCGCCAGATTACCCGATGGAGTCCCCAGTTTTGGAAGTTTGGGGGAAACAATGGTTGATGTTGGACTTCAAGAGCGCTGCGCCAGATCGAGCAGAGCTGTTTACAGCCCATATGCGATTGCCTGAATGCATGCAGATGCAGGTTCAACATTTCTCAGGACATGATGGGGTTTTTCTTGAACCGAAGTCAATCGATGGCCGACATCCGTCTCATGAGTTCACTGTCATCTGGATGCCCAAGGTAGATGAAGCTCAGCTGCTTGTCCAAAGGCAGACAGTTGCCAACGTTGTCGGCATGGCCCGTCTAGGTCTTAAGATGGGATTGAGGTGCAGAGCCGAACATGCAGCGGAGGTCTTCTCCAAGTTGCGACCAGGCCAGACTTTCCTGCCGCCAGGCAAGCGACAGACCTTTTTGGTGGGACCCTTTGACTTTGGCACACTGCAGACCTCAGTGACTCAGATGTTGCACTCCATTGGATGGGTTGCAAAACCAATTCATGCCGTGGCAGCAAAGACACACGTCCATGGATTGATGTTCAGGGTGCAAGCAGTGCAGGAACCTCCAAAAAAGGTCATCCGCATGGCTCACGGTGATGTCATGATTGCCAAAGAAGATGAAGCCTCGGTGCCTGAGAAGGTTGTGCCAAAGGTGGTAGCAACTTCCACCACGGAGTCTATGATTTCCAAGGCAGGGGAACAGGACTATATCCAGCAGCATGACCCATGGGCCAAAGCAGCCAGCCGTTTGCCTTCAAAGACAGCCACGTTCCAGATTGGCAACCCTCTTGAGGACATGACGCAGAAGGTCATTGCTGAAGTGATGGCACAGATCCCCAAAGGGACAATGGAGGTGGACTCTGAAGAAGGCCAAGCCAGTCGGGTGGCTGCCCTTGAGCAACAGTTCCAAGAGCTTCAAGGCCAAACTCAGGTCATTGCCGCTGCAACGCAGAAGAATGCTCAGGAGACCGCCACACAGATGCAAGAACTCAGGGGTCAAATTCAGCAACAAGGAACCCACTTTGAAAGTGCCATTGCAGCTCAGGCTTCCACCATCCAGGGATTCCAAGATGCCTTCCAGGAGCAGTTCCGACAGCAGGTGAACCACCAGCAGACCATGCTGGACAATATGTTCAGCAAGCAGATGTGTCAATTTGAAACTTTGCTTGCCAAACGTCCTCGCCAAGAGTGACGGTGCCCAGTTGTGCATCAGACTGCCATGCACGATTGGGTCGCAACATGTGGTGGTCATCTGCTTGGATTGGTAACGTGGGTCATTTGGACGTTGAACTGCATTGGGCTCTTCTTGTCTTTGGCCAGTTGGACTCTCGGCTGTTATCCTTCTTGGGCTTTTGGACTTTTGGCACCAGGTTGTCGGATCTGGACTTTGAGGACACAATCCAGTGGGGCCTGTTATGAACCTGCGGTGCTCAGGTGTGTGCGTTGTGTAGTGTGGCTGGTTTTTTGTTGTTGGGTAGCCTCCAAGAAACGCCTTCAGTGGTTTGGTTCGACCATGCAGGAACCAGGGCAGAGGGTTGGGTGGACTTTTGGCCGCGTTGGACTTTCCTGGCCCTCGGCCTTTTGGATTCCAGGCCACTGTTTGCCGGCGGTGTTTGTTTTCTCTGGAGTTGGTGATCAGATGCTGAGTTGGTGGTTTCAACGAAGTGGTGCACGGTCTATACATGAACGGCTCAAGTACGTGCAGCATGCAATGTGGATCGTCTTTCTCAGCTGGATTGTTTCTACGCAATGCCTCAGGTGGTGTGCTCAGTTGTCACTGCGGGCCATTCCAGGTGTTTTGTGGATTTTGGGCCGCGCTGGACTTTTTTGGCCCTTGGCCTTATGGACTCCAGGCCACTCTCCGTTTTGGGTGTTTGGCCTTTCTGGACTTTGTTGCAGGCTGTTGAGTTTAAGGGAACCCTTCAGATCTGCATGGTATAACAATGAGGTGCTTAAGTGCGTGCAGTGTGCCTTGTGGATTGTTTTCACCTGGTGGACGGTTTCCAAACGATGCCTAATGTGGTGTGCCCAGAGGCTACTGCAGGGCAAAGTAGGCGGTTGGACTTTGGCCTTTTCCACCAAGAGGCAGGTACCTGGGGGTTCCGTGTCTGTATCGACTTGTACAGTTTTCCGAAGGTGGTTCCTTTTGTTTGCACTTTGCAATTTGTTGCGCGTTGGAGAAGCCCTGCATCCGGGTCCGGCCGTTGCCACTTCATGGACTCTTGGAATTGCCAATCCATCCGGGCTTAATGGCAAGTTGGATCAGGTCAACCACATGTCAGGTGATGTCTGGATTTTGTCCGAAACCCATCTTTCCCAGCGGGGCCTGACAGCTTTCAAAAAGGGATTGAATATGCTGGGTAGTACATGGAAGTATGCAGTGCCTGGGGCGCCATGTCAGCCTAGACAACATACCGACACAGGCGTACACTCAGGGGTTCTGATGGTCTCCAAGTATCCAGCGCGTCCCTTGCCCCATGTTTTTGATGCCCAGGTGTACTCTTCAGCGAGAGTTCAAGTAGTTGGGGTTTCCTTGGCGGATACTTGGGTCACGGTTGGCATGTTGTATGGCTACCCCTGCAATGCCTCCCACAAACAGGCGCGGTATCAAACGGATGCCATGTTGGCTGATTTGGTCGACAGGGTAGGCTGCCAAGCATCTGGGCCTAGGGCCATAGGTGGGGACTTCAACTTTGGGCCAGAGGAATTGGAGCAGCTCAGTCGCCTCCATATGCTGGGTTTTCGAGAGGTCCAAGATTTGCGCGCTTGGCGCACAGGTCAATCAGTCGAAGCTACGGGGAGGGGTTCCAAAAGAATTGACCAATTGTGGATTTCCCCAGAACTTCAGCGGGTCTTGGTGTCTGTTCGCGTTGAGTTTGATCATTGGGCTGACCATGCAGCGGTGATGGCTACCTTTTCCCATGAGGGCCTCGTTGTTAATGTTGATTCCTGGCCTGCTCCTTCTCAGTTTCCGTGGCCAAAAGAATGGACTTGCCAAGTTGAACCGCCTGGAAGCGGAGACCTCTCCTTGGCCTATGCCCAATTTTGGAATCAGGTTGAAACACAGGCTAAGTGTTGGGTGCGTCACCAGGGGGTTCCAGTTTTGAAGGGTCAGCTCGGCAGAGCCAGTGTATTGGAACCCAAGAAGGTCAAGGAGCACTTGGCACCTGTGAAGAAAGGCCGACCAGGAGATGTCCAACCCTCTTACCTGGGAGTCAGCTTGCAGCATGCCAGATTCTTCAAGCAGCTTCGGCGTTTGCAGTCACTCTCCCGTATCCTTGCCAAGGGGGTCACAACTTGGAGTGGACGGATCAGCTGTGATGAAACCTGGAGGGCCATCCGTTCTGCAGTTGGATTTCCAGGAGGTTTCGGGGACTGGTGGGTGGCACAGGGTTTGGAGCCTCGTCTTAGGGGGACTTTACCGTTGCTTTGCCCTGATTTGGACTTTGCACAGGGCCTCTTCTTGGGCTTTCAACAGTTTGTTATGAAGTATGAGCAAACCTTGATTAGCCAGAGGTACCAGCATGCCAAGCACCGTCGGGCCCAAGGTTTAGCCTATGTCTTTCAGGACTGCCGTGATTGCCTAAAGCCGACACGCTTCTGGATAGGGTTGAAGTTGGAGTTGAGGAAGTACGTCCTGATGACCAGTCCGTTGTACTGACTCGTCCTGCTCAGCTCTTTGATGACTTGCCAGTGGTGGTTGAGGGACGGGTGGTTGAAGTGGTGGTGCATCATGAAGATCAGGTTTGGCTGACTGCTGTGGATGGCATTCAACCTGGTCATGTGCTCACACAGGAACGTGCTATCAGTTCAGATGAGGCCATTTTGGCAAGGTTTTCCCAAGTCTGGAAGGATAGATGGAATAAACACTCCCACGTCCAGCCTGGCCAGTGGGATCAAATTTGTGGTTTCTTGGAAAGGACGGCCAAACCCATCCAATGGTCTTCCACCCCATGGGATGTTGCCAGGTTTCAACAAGCGGTTAGGCATAAGAAGCCGAAAGCAGCACGAGGTCCGGACGGGGTCTCTCAACCTGATCTGATGGCGTTACCTGAGACGGCCTGTGAAGCCCTTCTTGGAATTTACAGGGCAGTTGAGAGGGGGGCGGGATGGCCCATCCAAATGGCCAGTGGATTTGTGGCCAGTCTTGCTAAGACGCCTAATGCCCAGAGTGTGGATGAGTTCCGTCCTGTGGTGGTTTACAGCTTGGCTTACCGGATCTGGTCGTCAGAGCGTGCACGAGAGGCCTTGCACTCAGTCTCCAGCCTCCTTCCGGCTAGTGTCCATGGGGGTGTCCCGGCCCGACAAGCCAAAACCATTTGGTATGAACTTGCGTCAGCAATGGAACTTGCATATCTTAATGGGGAAGGTCTGCATGGGCTCCTGATGGACATTCAAAAGTGTTTCAACAACATCCCCCGCCAGCCACTGTGGTGGGCTTTGGTCTTGATGGGTTTCCCCGAACCTGTCCTTCGGGCGTGGGTTGCGTTTGTTTCAGGCCAAACTAGGCGCTTCAAAGTCCGTCGTTCAGTGGGCCTTCCCATTTCTTCCAACTGTGGGCTTCCTGAAGGTTGTGCACTGTCGGTTTTTGGCATGACAATGATTGACTGGATTTTGGATTGGTGGCTGGGTGGTTTGGAGGTGGCAGTGGACTTGCGTACTTTTGTTGATGACTGGGGTGTGATGTTTCGATGTGCTGAGGCCTTGCCTAGGATCTGGACTTCCATTGAGCAATTCACTGGCCACTTGGACTTGGCCATTGACCTTTCAAAGACGAGGGTCTGGTCCACAGAAGCTACTGCTCGCCGTGATTTCAGAGGCAGCAGTACTGTCGCAGTGACTTTGGCAGCCAGAAACTTGGGGGCACACCAGAACTTTAGTCGCCATTGTCATAACTCCAGTCTTCAAGCCAGGCTCTCCAAAATGCCGCAGGTGTGGATCAGACTCCGTGCCAGCCAGGGGCCATACCGCTTCAAGGTGACAGCCATACACATGATGGCGTGGCCACGGGCTCTTCATGGCATCTCAGTTGTCCATTTGGGTGCATGTCATTACAAGACTTTGCGAGCAGGTGCTGTGCGTGCACTCAGGGCTGACAAGAAAGGCTCAAATCCCTACTTGCACTTGGTTGCTTCTGCTTTGATGACAGACCCTGAGGCCTGGTCCATTGTTCAGACGGTGCGGGATGTTCGGGAATTGGGGTCTGACCAAGTTGAACCTCTGCTGGGCCTGTTTGCTGGGAGTGGTGAACCCTTACCCCAGAATGGTCCCACGGCTATTTTATGTTCCCGACTGCAGCGACTTGGATGGGGCATTGGGGGTCAAGGCCTAGTGCAGGACCGTTTGGGTACCTTCAGCTTGATGTCTATCTCCTGGGATGAGTTGGTTCTTCGCATTAAGCTCTCTTGGGGCTCCGTGTTGGCTCGTGAACTGGGTCATCGATCTACCTTTGATGGACTGGCAAATGTGGACTTGCCAGAACTCTACAGAGCCCTGTCGGTTTTTGGTCCTGCTGACTTGGTTTTCTTGCGGTGTCACCTTGATGGAACCCTTTTCACCCAGAATGGCCGGGCGAAGTTCCAGCCGGGAGTAACAGACAAGTGTCCATGGTGCCCTGCCAAAGATGGATTTCATCATCGGGCCTGGATTTGCCCGCACTTTGCTGCCTGTCGGTCTCATCTTACTCCTGCGCAACAGCGTGCCCTTGTCACTCTCCCTCCTTGTTTGGTTGATCACGGTTGGCCTGTTTTGTTGCCGGAGTGGGAAGTTTTTGCGGGGATGTTGCTTCGGTCTGATGGACTTTGTCGGATGTCACCAGCAGAACCACCAGCAGGTAGTGACTCGCAGCTGCTGGAACTTTTCATGGATGGTACAAGTGCTTTTCCGAAAGAAGTGAAGCTTCGATTTGCAAGCTGGGCCGTGACCTTGGTTTCTGGAGTTGGGATTTTAGATAACCAAGTCCTCATGGGAGGCCATGTCTCAGGCTTGTGCCAAACGGCATTCAGAGCGGAGCTGACAGCGGCATTACATGCAATACGTTGGGCAGTAATGCACCGCAGGCGTGTGCGCTTGTGGTGTGACTGTCAGAGTGTGGTGCGTGGAGTCAACAAAGCTTTGCAACGAAAACGGTGGAGGCGCAATGGACCTCACTCTGATCTGTGGGGACAGCTACATGCTTGGGTGCGGGGCAATGAAGACTTGATCCAAATCAGAAAGGTTGTTTCTCATGGTGAAATACATCGAGCGTTGGATCCACTGGAGCAATGGGTCTACTGGCACAACAATTTGACAGACAAGGCGGCAGAAGCCATTAACTACCGCCGTGAGCCTGAATTTTGGGCCGTGTGGACACAACTGCGGAGTGCACTTGAATTTTACCGGCAGTTGCACTCCGCAATACTTCGGGTGCTCTTACAGACATCGAAAATGGCAGCAGCCGAACAGCGGCCCGTGCAGATGGTACCGCAGGTTGTTGCACTGCCGACACAGGTTCAAGTGGCACCGGTGGCTTGGGAAATTCCGACATCTTTGGTGCGTCGGTATGGAGAGGTCAATTTGCAGAAGCTGCATGACTGGTGGACAGTTTGGGGGCCAGGTATGTTGACCAGCTCAGTGCCGCTGTCCCAAATTTCAGGGCTGCAGCTTTTTGTGTCCTTCAACCTACACACTGGATATCAAGGGCCGTGGTGTTACAAGAAGCGTTGGTACGACAATGAGGAGGCAGTCCCAGAGAAAGGACGCCAGACTTGGGGCAATAGGTGCAAGCCCTTCTTGCTTCTCCTACGCAGCTATTGGAAAGGTAACAAGGTGATTGTCCCGACGAAGATGGCCCGTCCTACATCCACGGCTGTCGCCAAATGGGTGGTATGTTACCGCCTCAGGTGGGATGCATCCATGTTGGACAGGGTGGACCAGGTCCTTCTCACCCAGCAGGGTCGTCAGACCGTAAATGCGGCTGATGTGGCTCGGCTTCAAGCTGCAAGAAGCGGCTAGGCGCGCGAACAAGTGGGGATGCAGGGTCGCGTGCAGCCCCGTGTCTCATCAACAAAGTGTAATATTTTTCAGAGGGGTTGAAACCACCAACCAGCAAACCATACCCCAGGTAGTAATGGGATGTGGTAGTCATGAGTGTCCTCCCAGATGCAGAAACTCCAAGCAGAAAACGCGCCAGGTGGAGCCGTTGTTCCATTGCATGGGCCAGGCCAAGTCAACTGGGGACGGGGGCCAGGTGGTTAGGCCAGGTTGGTGGGTTGGTAATCTACTTAAGGGAAATTGATATCTGTTACTCAAAACATGGGAAAATCCATGAACATCCTGATTTATATATGATGTACACATGATTTTTCGATCAAACCTCCGTTGATAAGGGACTTTCCATTGCTACCCTTGATTCCTGGAGGGTAAATGGGGGCAAAACATGGTTTTTTGTTCTTTATTTTATGGCCGATGAACAGATTTCATCAACAGAAATGGTGATTTTGATGGGAATTACTACATGGAATTACCCAGGAATCTAACAGTTTGCTACCGAATCACCATCAATGTCCAAACGATCATCGAACTATATGGGGCAAGGCTTCGCAAACTGTTAAATTGCCAGAGAGATCCAGAGAGTATTCTACACTTTAGCCACGGAGGATATGACTCGCAGAACCAGCTAATAAATTCACACATTTCTTGAAGCATAGCGACGATTAGCCATTCTAAGTTTTTTTTCAAATATCAAAGTCAAAATCCTGCAGCACGCCCCCCAAAAGAAAAACATGCTGCACGCTTCACGAAGACAAAATCACAGGCTGCCCAAAGATGTCATCCAACACGAAAATAAGCAACCGAATCATCAAATCAACCATACCCCATTTAATTATATCCATTTCCATCCTTTTACGTATACCCCTTTCTACATCTTTCTACCACGCCTTGCGTGGTTCCAGTCAACTGTTGCAGGGGATTGCAACGTTTGAATGCAATGCCTGGACTGATACCATGAGTCCTTTGGTTGAAGCCTGGCAGTGGATCGGATGGATCGGATCATTAATGGTAGACTGGTGGCTATACTGGGATGATTCTCTAAGATCGCCAAGGCATCCCCAAGGTATATATATCCATATATAAATATAATATTGAATTAATTTTTAATATATATATATATAATCATTAATCCACATATCCAACTATCCTAAAGATCTCAAAGGAGACATGTAAATTTCTGGATTTCTCCGAGATCAACATGACGTTCCTCCCAGGTTTGACGTACGAAGTGTTGGTGACCATTGGCGTGTTCCTGTACCTCGCTTGCCATATGGGTTTGAAAATGGGGGGTCAACCCCCCAATTGTGGAAATGTGATTGGCAGGAAATGTTATGCAGTTTTGGTAAGAACAATATTATATAACCAGTGGATTTGGGGGTATGTTATGTTCAAGCCCACAGCGCACTAAAAAAGGGGTCAACCTTTTTAACCTACAATTTATAAACCTGTATATAGTTGTGCCTGAGTATGCTGGATCTCTAGCCGTGTGATATGACCATTTGTGGTACCATCAACATCCATGACCCTGGGCCCTGGGTTACTGTGTGCATCTGCTGAGGTATGTGATGTTGATCGTGGAAGTGGGAAGCATCTCCATCAAACTCTCTGAGTACCGCGTGCTGTGCATCCATGCGGTTGAGCAGGCCATTAGCGTTCTGCGGTAAGGGGAAGATGCACACTTTTCGAGGCGTTCCAATGGGTTCCAATGAGATTAAGTTATCAATGCCAAAAGTGATCTAGACATTTGAAGGCTTTCAATAGGTTCCAAGAGCCGTTATTGAGAGTAGCATCCGCCATTTCCAGTTCAGTCAATTTCATCAGCCAGTGAAGGGTCCTATAGGGGACGGCCCATGTACAATGGAACATCATAGGTCCCACAGGACAGGCCATTTCAAACCCAGTAGCCCAAAAAACAAAGGTTTCCCAGACTCGTCAGAGATCTCTGTCACTTGAAGTTTCTCAATGTTCCTTTTCAGTACCTTAAATGCAGCTACTCTGCCATATGAGGGCCTTGGAGCGTTTTGGGGCGAGATTCCCTTAGGCCTTAGGCAATTTCGCTTTGACCATTTATTCATGTGAGGTTCCAAAGATTGGCATTGTGGAAGTGGTCGCCCTAATTCAATGATGTAGTTGACATTTCCCGAACTTCAGGAAAGTCCCCAGTTTTTGATAGGTCTGAAATGTCATGAAATGTCCTTCATCATGGGTAGGTTGATCACGAAAGGTAGCTCCAGTGGTTCTACCTTGAGTTTAGCTTTACAAAGTAAAGGGGAGGCTGGCCAGCCCAGTTACCTGATTATTCAGGCGATTGCTGTTCATTTCAGGACCCCCCCCCCCCCCCCCCCCCCCCCCCCCCCACGAACCCTAAGAGCAGACCCGAAACACTGTAATTTACAGTGTTTTTGTGCCTTTGGCATGGAAAAAGTACTGTACTTCTTGCAACATTCTGAAAACTGCGTAAATACCTGTGCTTTTGCTAGGCACTGGCAACAAAAACACTGTAAATACCGTGATTTTTGTTACCGAGGAAAACAAAAAACAAACATCGTAAATACCGTGGTTTTGGGCTGGCTTCCGAGGCGCAAAAAACATAAGTCAGTATTTACGGTGTTTTTTGGTTCCGAGAGCTTCCAAAAAAAAAACGTGACAACAACACCGATTTGACGATTTGGCCACTACGGGACAGAAATAACTGCACGGGTAACAGCGGTAACAGCGGTAACAACAACAACAACAAGAACAACAAGAACAACAAGAACAACAAGAACAACAAGAACAACAAGAACAACAAGAACAACAAACAACACCAGCAACAACAGCAACAACAACAACAACAAAAACATCGAAATGTATGATCAGAGTGTTGCCCGCCGGACCTAAACCACTAAGAATCTGGGAAGATATACCAGATATAATGCCAGAAAGAATTGCAGAAAATATATGAGATAGATGCGAATGCCAGATAGCATGTCAGAAAATATGTCAAGAGAGTGTCACTTGGTGGGGATCACTCGAAGAAAGTAATTTGTTCCGAAGGCTTTAACAAATTGACTTAAGACAGCCAAAATGACGCTTTGTGGTGCCCTGCGCGTATCATCGCCATCATAAACAACGGTAACGACATCAAGCATTTGATCTTAGATTCTTTTGTTTCATGTTTTTTTTCGCTTTGGATGTGGTGACGCATTTTGCACCGATAGGTTTCTACAAACAGACGGCGTTACGCACAGACGCCTTTACACAGAGCAGCTTTTACGCGCAGATATTCTTACACAGAGAGTTTTGTGCACAAAAAAAATCTGTACACAGACGCCTTTACACGGAGGTTTTTACGCAAAGAAGGAAATGCTTTGTACAAAGATGTTTTTTTGCGCACATAAATCAAGGCACACAGGCGTTTTTACACACAGAACCTTTTCCACAGAGAAGCCTTTGCACAGAACAGTTTTCACACATGTTTTTCTACACAAAAAAACCTTTGACACAGAGAAACTTATACACACAGATTGCACACAGAAGTTTTTACAGACCGACTTTTTTTTGCACGCATAAATTTTACCCAGAACTGTTTTTACCTAGCATTTTTTTTGCACAGAAAACCTTTATGCACAAAAAATAATATACACAGCAGTTTTTACAGACAGACGGTTTTTGCACAAAAAGTTCTCCGCACAGAAGTCTTACGCACAGAAGGTTTTACGCACCGCATACAGACGCTTTTACACACAGATGTCTTTACACAGGCACAAATTGCACAGAAACTTGTGCACACAGCACGCGTTTACACACAGCCAACTTTTACACAGAGAGGCTTTGCTTCGTGTTTTCTTGATCACCTACCTTTCGTGTTCCCCCTCTCAAGTGGGTTTTCTTGCTAGCAAATGCTGAAAATCATTCAAAAAAATCCCTGACGTCAATCCAAGTTTCATCAACTCTTGCCGAAATAAGTTGCGGATCTTGAGAACCATCCAAAATCGTAAAATAAGCAGAGAAAAATCAAGTTTCATCACATTATATTATAAAATGTTTATATATTATTTTCATTTATTTTCATGTCTCCGTTTTTTCATGTCTCCATTTTTTTGTGATTGGCACTCATCACATCATCTCTTCCATTCTGTTTTTATAGTCATCTCATGTCATCTCCATGGGCACCTCGGCACCAGATCCTTTTGTGCTTGGGGGTGGTTTTCCTGGTGATCCTGACCTTCGCCTTTGCTATCTCGGGCATGGATCGCGAGGCAGGGCTGGGAAAGCCCGTGTTGGATGTTGGATGAAGGTGAAAACATGTGTTTTCCCAATAATTATTTCCTATACTTCTTCAAAAACCAAACGCTACAAACTCCTGGATTGTTTGTTTCCCTTGCCTGCGTGCCTGGGGTGCAGATGATGAAAGCAACCGCCAAGCACCCACAGTGACTGAAAAAAAAGAGGTCCACAAGAGATGACCCACCATTCCACGAGGTTCGGGGGTCCCAAAATCATTGATCCAAATCTTTTTGAACCCCCCCCCAAAAAAAAATCATGGAAAGAACCCAGGTGCAGGCTATCACGGGCACGGATCCTCGTCGCAAAGCAAATTCGGACACAGTTTCGTCGAACTGACAACTGGTTTTGGTATAGTTCTGGTGGGTTTTTGATGCAATGTGAGTAAAACGTGGTAAAACAATGCCATAAACAATCCATTTGGGAATGGTGTGTACCACCTATAAAAATGGTGATCGTTTGGCATTTGGTGCTATGGACCTAGAGTCTTGGCGATGAGGACCGGAGCCAACAAACATCGAAGTAAGGAAACCATTGGAACCTTGAAAGAGTGGAGAGCTGCAAGGTTGAATTTTGCGGTTCGGTTCTTGCAATTGAACAGAATAGGGTTTTTTCAACGTGGAACCTAAACGACCTAAATATAATACAAATTATATACATATATGAATATATACATATATGCATATAATATTGTACTTTACATTCATTCACATAATTTGCATGCGCGTCTATAGATAGATATGGGGATTTGACCTCTGTTGCCGCCAGTTCTCCCTTACTCGCCACTGAGGGAGCCCTCTCAAACCTGGCTGAAGAGAGTCCGTTGCTGGTTTTGGCAACTAGGATTCGTTCTGGCCGAAATTGGGTGAATCAGTGGATTTTTACGGCGATGGAAAGCCATATGGCACCCCCAAAAAAGTTCCTGGTAATTCCATGGTCAAATCCCACGTTTTCCGCACAGATTTTTCCTAAAATCCAATGAAAGATTCACCAATATAGTAGGAGGATTCTACTTTGCGTTTTTTTGAGGGTTACTTCAATGGATTATAATTATAATGCAATGAGGAAAACCGTCCCTTCCAACAGTGCGCACATCATCAAATATTATATATCGGAGGGAAGGCGCATATGATTTGATGTTTGATGGTACAAATCCAATCATGCACCCTAATGATGGTCTATAGGGGAACATGGGGAAACTATCCCAAGATTGCCTTGTTTCAGTTAAGTGACTTCTTAACATATATATTCAGATCCATGTTTTCCAACCTTTATGTCAATGAAACAAATGCCGGAATGGATTAAATGTGGTTCCTTTCTTATAGATGAACCACACGCAAAATTCCCCTGGCCACCTCTTGGTGGACATTTTCTGGCTGGTTTCTTCAGATTCATCGCCGAGGTAATCCTACTCTTCATGATGCTTGTGTACAGTTTCTTCTTCAACCTCCTAGTTTCGTCCCTTGTCGGAGGGAGGCTGGGGTTTGCCACTGGTGTGGTTTGTTTTGAGCCCAAAAGCTGATCAAGATTCTGACCACTCACTGATGTATGATTCGATGATGTAAATACATTCCCTGAGGTCCAACCATTTCCAAGATGTATGCGGGAATATGTGTGTGAAGTTTTTCCATAGTTTTTCCCATGTACAGGACACAAACACCAAACCAATATGTTTAAATTACTTTCCTTCGTGTGATCCCCACCATGACATTTAGACATTTTGTTACTGGCAAATCTTCCGGCATTCTATCTGACATATCTTCTGGCATTCTATCTGGCATATCTTCTGGCATTCTATTTGGCATATCTTCTGGCATATTATATACCCAAATCTTCTGGCATTCTATCTGGCAAACATTCTGGCACTTTATCCGGCATATCTTCTGGCATTCTATCTGACATTTTATCTGGCATTCTATCTGGCATACCTTCTGGCATTCTATCTGGCATAGCTTCTAACATTCTATCTGGCATATCTCCTGGCACTCTATCTGGCATATCTTCTCGCATGCATTCTATCTGACATTCTATCTGGCATATCTTTTGGCATTCTATCTGGCTTTTGAGGTCCAGCGGTGCGCACTGAGCTCGGAAGGCCCCAGGTTGAGGTCGAGCGGTGCGCACTGAGCTCGGCAGCTCCCAGGTTGAGGTCCAGCGGTGCGCACTGAGCTAGGAAGGTCCCAGGTTGAGGTCCAGCGGTGCGCACTGAGCTGGGAAGGTCCCACGTTGAGGTCCAGCAGTGCGCACTGAGCTCCGAAGTTGGCGAAGAGCTTGGCCAAGAGTTGGCAAGGCAACAGTGGACGTGAAGGTGGAGGCAGGGGTGGTAGAAGAGGAGGAGAAGAAGGAGGAGGAAGGAGAGGAGGAGAAGAACAACTCTGATAAAATCTAACAACCCTCACCTGGCAGGTGGGGAAATATCTATTGTTGAACTTTCTGACGCAGCATTTTGGCAGGGGACTCATGTCCATGTCGCTGTCTAAGCCCGAATTTCGAGACATGTTCCCAGAACTGGACTCAACCCAGAAGGAAAAGGGAAGTCCTGGTGCTTTCAAGTTTTACATTGAAACATATCAGCAGCATATCTAAGAAAGAACAGAAAACCAGACTAGTTTCCATCATTTTCCCTGCACATTTCTCCTTTTGCTCAACACTGAGGCAATTCTGCGGCGTTTACCACTCCTTGGCAGCGGACATCAAGGGCCACGCCAGGTTGGTTGAGCTCAGCAGTTGTCGATGGCGGTATTCCAAAGCCTGGTGGGTTGATGATTCTAGGGAATTATCCTCTGGTTATGTCAAAATAGCTGTTGAAAATGGTGATTTATAGTGGATTTACCCATTGATAGCATGGTGATTTTCCATAGTTATGTGACAGTTTACCAGAGGGTATACTACTCAAACCTACCCAATATACTGGGGATCAAAAAAAATCCAGTAATCCCTATTAGCCAACCAGTATTTCATGGCATGACATTTCGGGATTTTGATCACTGCTCAAGTCAAGTTATTTTCAGTTTAAACTACTTGACGTTCTCATTTGACTTAATTAGCAGTGATCCAGGAATACTTGAAGAACTATCTTGAGCTATATTTGAATATAGTTCAAAATAGAGTTATAACACTGCACATGGATATTTAACTGATTTGTGATATTACTAGTGATATGTTTTGCTTTTGACATTTAGACAATGTAGGAAAATATGTTCAAGCTATTATTCGGTGATTTAGTGGTGGTAGAACCACCAATAATAGGGATAGGGTATAATTCCAATTATTTCATGGAGATACTTGTTATTTGAGTTATTTAAGAAATTACTAGGAGTAATTGTCTAGTATTCATATTGTGAGGTGATTTCCTCCTCTATTTTTTTAACTAAATCTTAGTGAAGTACTAGTGATATCAAATTATCAAACAGGGCATTTTAGCGACAACTTGGAACTAACTATTTAAGAGAACTTGCATTACTTGAACATAGAATTATATCCAAGTTATAGAGATAACTATTGGAAGTTACTACTACTAGTAGCTTTTGTTTTTTGTTTATCAAGGTGTCGCTAGACTTTAGGCGTATATATCTGGCTATATGTGGCGTAAACTTGAATATCACTTTTCAAAAAAAACATAGGAACTGATATTGATATATTCGGACCAGAAATTACGTTATTCTTTTAGGATTTGATTTTATGTGTTCTGCATCTTATTATGCATGTATTTATTTTGTTTATTCTGGTCGCTTCGCGACGACATCCACCCGCACCGGAGTGTTAGCTCTGAAGTTGGGGGTATGTTGGGCCCATGTTGGGCCATCTTAGGCCTATGTTGTGCCCATGTTGGGCCTATTATGGTGAGCCATGTTGGGCCTATGTTGGGCCAATTTGGGACCATGTTGTGCCTATATTGGGCCATGTTGAGCCCAAATTTGGCAGCGGTACCTTAAGAAAAATCGTGAAAAACACAGGGTTCTAGATTTCCCCAAGCTAAAGTGTAATAGCTATTGCAATTGCTTCCGGTTGATGCGTGCACAACGCCTCGGCACCTTCGGTGCGCGGGTTTGCTTGTTTATTTATATTTATGTGTATGCATTTATTTGTTTATATGATGGGGATATGTGCATATATGTCCCATTCATTGCATGTATCTTGCGATTAGGGGCAAACAAGAACGTGTGTTTCCTTCAACATCTTGTATTGTTCTCCTTCACTGAAGCCATTGAAACATCGTTGGCAATCACACATCACCATTTTTGATGGGAATAGAATCTATATCTATTTGCTGTATATATGTGCACATTTTTTGCATTGAATGCCATGTTTGAGTATTTGAGTGCAAAACTGGAAGCTTTGTTCTGGGGCGGTGGTTAGCCCCCATGGCATAGTAAAATGAGCCACTTGACAGAATTCAGCACAGCGATAACTATATATATATATATATGTGTATTAATTTTGATGTATATTTGATTCATGCAATAGATAGATAGATGTATACATAGATAGATAGATAGATAGATAGGATAGATAGATAGATAGGTAGGTAGGTAGGTAGGTAGGTAGATAGACACGCGCACAAACACACACACACACGTATATATATATATATATATATATATGTATTGTACATGCATATCGTCACATGTGTACACGCACATATGGAGATTGTCCGGCAAAGTTCAAAACATGGTTGTGTGAGGAAGAAACTGGTGGAAGTTTGGTGAAGTCTCATGCACCAAGTTTCAAGTTCTGTTGATGTTTTTTTTATTTATAACGTCAAAAAGGGAAGCGTTGGAAAGAGATGATCCGAGGTGTTAGGGATAGGAAAACAGGAAGGTAGAAATCGCTCACAGTGGCTGAAAACATGAGCCTGATATTCATGAAAATTGAATGGACACGTGCTTGCGCAGGCTGAAAACATTGGGCCTGAGAATCATGAAGCAGAAAATGTGAAATGCCTGCATAGGATGAAAACATTGGGCTTGAAATTCATGAAACTGAAAAAGGTGAGTGCTTACACGTTGAGATGTTGGTGTATAGGTTTCTATTTTTGCATATTGTTTGCAACTCTGGGGCACCAGAGAGATCACTCCCTAGATTATATTTTTCTGCCTTTGGACCACGCACACCATTTTTCCCGAGAGCGTCTGAGCGCAGGGTTCTTCCAATAGTGGGGGTCTGTATCTCATCTTCACACCTTCTCATCTTCACATCTTCTCATCTTCTCATTTGCTCATCTTCACATCTTCACATCTTCTCATCCTCACATCTTCTCATCTTCACATCTTCTCATCTTCACATCTTCTCATCTTCACATTGTCTCATCCTCACATCTTCTCCTCTTCACATCTTCTCTTCTCACCCTCACATCTTCTCATCTTCACATCTTCTCATCTTCACATCTTCACATCTTCTCATCCTCAGATCTTCTCATCTTCTCATCTTCACATCTTCTCATATTCACATCTTCTCATCTTCACATCTTCTCATCCTCACATCTTCTCATCTTCACATCTTCTCATCTTCACATCTTCTCATCCTCACATCTTCTCATCTTCACATCTTCTCCTCTTCACATCTTCTCTTCTCACCCTCACATCTTCTCATCTTCACATCTTCTCATCTTCACATCTTCACATCTTCTCATCCTCAGATCTTCTCATCTTCTCATCTTCACATCTTCTCATATTCACATCTTCTCATCTTCACATCTTCTCATCTTCACATCTTCTCATCTTCACATCTTCTCATCTTCACATCTGCTCATCTTCAAATCTTCACATCTTCACATCTTCTCATCTTCACATCGGCTCATCTTCAAATCTTCACATCTTCACATCTGCTCATCTTCACATCTTCTCATCCTCACATCTTCAGATCTTCACATCCTCACATCTTCACATCTTCTCCTCTTGTCCTCTTGCCATCTCTTGCCCTCTTGCCCTCTCCTTCTTTTCTATTTCTCTTCTGAAGGCAGGGGCAGGGGCAGGGCCAACGAGACGGCACGAAACGCAACCCTTTCGCACGCAATGAGGTTCGATCGCCAAAAACTGAGGTAAAATTGCGATTTCAACTTCTCCGGCGCAACCCTTTCGCACGAAATGAGGTTCGATCGCCAAAAACTGAGGTAAAATTGCGATTTCCAAGTCGCCCCGCGAAACCTTTTCGCACGAAGAGGTTCGATCGCCAAACACTGAAGTAAAATTGCGATTTCCAAGTCGTCCCGCGCAACCCTGATCGCACGAAACGAGGTTCGATCGCCAAAAACTGAGGTAAAATTGCGATTTCAAGGGTCCAATCACGACCCTTTCGCATGAAATGAGGTTCGATCGCCAAAAACTGCGGGAAAATTGCGATTTCAAGGGTCCAATCGCGACCCTTTCGCATGAAATGAGGTTCGATCGCCAAAAACTGAGGTAAAATTGCAATTTCCAAGTTGTCCGGCGAAGTGTGTAAAAGGGTCTGTGTGTAAAAGGGTCTGGGTGTAAAAGCCTCCGTGTGTAAAAGCGTCTGTGTGTAAAAGTGTTTGTAAAAAGGTCTGTGTGTAAAAGCTTCTGTGTGTAAAAGCGTCTGTGTGTAAAAGTTAAAGCGTCTGTGTGTAAAAGCGTCTGTGTGTAAAAGTGTTAGTGTGTAAAAGCTTCTGTGTGTAAAAGCTCCTGTGTGTAAAAGCTTCTGTGTGTAAAGCTTTTGTGCGTAAAAGCGTCTGTGTGTAAAACTGTCTGTGTGTAAAAGCACCTGTGTGTAAAAGTGTCTGCGTGTAAAAATATCTCTGCGCAAAAGCTTCCATATGCAAAAGCGTCTCTCTGTAAAAAGTTGTGTGTGTGAAAAGCTATTTGAAAGATACGATGCAATCTATTGTCTTGTACTTGTGCTATATTGTCTTGATACTCCTCTTCTCGTCTGCCTATAACACATCTTTAATATATTGTTTTGTAATATGGTGTCTCCATCCTAACAAGAGAAGACCCTGCTCCTCTACGCTCTCGGGCCATCCGTCGTCTAGTTTTTAGTGGAGCACCTGTGGGGCGTAGCGCACGTGCCTTGGGGCAATTTTTTGAACCACCAGAACCACAAAATTATCCAATAATCAGCTAGAATAATCACTAACTATAGTTATAAACAGTTAAACCCTGTGGGTTAGAAACACTATAGCTAGAATAATGATTATACTCTTTGGTAATTTTACATAGCTATTGAAGATGGTTCATTTATGGATGATTTGCCTACAAAATGTTAACCATGATGATTTTCCATAGCTATGTTGAATTACCGGAGGGGTATTCGAGTTCTGACAGCACCCTCTGCTGAGGTTGGCACGAGGAGAGATCATCATTGAGACCTTTAAGGCGTTCTGAGAGTTTCCCGCGTCGGATCTAGGCGATGCCATGGCATCACCAGATGAACATCTGGGATCGAACCAGCAATATTTTATATGATGATTATCATATATTGATATCCTGTTGATGTTCTCATTGTTCTATGACATTTTGTTGCAATATATTTGTACTACCATATACTGTAGGTACTATACTATTATTTTGATATAGATCACATTGATATGTTATTTGAATTATATTTAATTGTTTATGAATTATCTATAAAATTGTTTTTGAATTATATTAAGTTGTATATGAATTGTATATAGTTGTATACGTGTTGCTTTTATAATTGTATATGAATCATATATGATATTGTTTTATGATTTATGATATGTATTTATATATATATATATATATTTGATATTATATTGATATTGATTTACTACCATATATTGATTGCTATTCTAACATACCGATGTCCACAGGATACTACCATATATGCCATGGATGAACATGTATTAACTATACATGGCATCATTTGGCATCCCTGTATATATTACCCAACCGATATATACATATACAATCATATACATCTACATATACATATACATATACATATACGTGTATACATGTGCATATATACACTAGTATATGCAGATACATGTAGATACTGTATTATTGTATGGATGATATGTATGAGGTGCTTTGAAAGAGTTAGCATTGAAATCTTGCGGAAATTTGATGGCCCCTCAAAGCGGGCTGAACGTAGGATTCTATTGATTTGGAGCTTGTCCGTTGCCAAAATTACAAAGAACCTCCATAAACGTTAATGGTTCTGACATGTCCTTTTTTTTCCGTTGAAAGTTTGATTGGTTTAAAACCCTTGGCTTATCTGGATCCTTTTCAAACACTATCAACATAATATATAGATATACCAGTAGTACCGCACAAGGCGGTGGCGGAAGTTTCAAAAATAGGAGACCTATAGGAGAGGTTGGTTGTTGTGAATCAGGGATAGCAGAGCGAAGCCACTGATGGACTGAAATGTCTAGCTGTCTGCCTGTCTATCTGTCTATCTATCTATCTATCTATCTGTCTATCTGTCTACCTGTCTATCTGTGGTGCAGTGTCATTCAGTGTAATGTAGTCAGTGTAGTGGAGTGTAGTGGGATGTAGTGTAGTGTAATGTAGTGTAGTGTAGTGTAATTTAGTGCAGTGGAGTGTAGTGTAGTTGTAGTTGTAGTTGTAGTGTAGTTGAGTGTAGTGTAGTGTAATGTCGTGAAGTGTAGTGGGAGGTAGTGTAGTGTAGTGTAATGTAGTGGAGTGTAGTGTAGTGTAATGTAGTGTAGTGTAGTGTAATTTAGCGCAGTGGAGTGTAGTGGAGTGTAGTTGTAGTTGTAGCTGTAGTTGTAGTGTCGTGGAGTGTAATGTAGTGAAGTGTAGCGGAAGGTAGTGTAGAGTAGTGTAATGTAGTGTAGTGCAGTGTAGTGTAGTGTAGTGGAATGTAGTGTAGTGTAGTGTAATGTAGTGTAGTGTAAAGTACAGTAGTGTAGTGTAATGTAGTGTAGTGGAAGGTGGTGTAGTGTAGTGTAATGTAGCGTAGTGTAGTGGAGTGTGGTGTAGTGTAATGTAGTGTAGTGTAATTGAGTGTAATTGAGTGTAGTGTGGTGTAGTGGTGGTTGTAGTTGAAAATGCTACAAAACCGTCACGTTTTGCTCACTTTTGACCAGGTGCATAATCCCTGAGGCCTGCCACGCAAAACGACATATGAACGTCCAAAAGTGCTCCGAATCCGTCAGCTTTTTGACACTTTTGACTTCGAAATGTGCTTCGTGCCACAACGGCATGCACTTTTTCGACATCTCAACTTCCAAAAGTGGTCCGACACTGAGGTGCTTTGTACATTTTCACTTCGAAATGTGCTTCGCGCCACAACGGCGTGCACTTTTTCGACATCTCAACTTCCAAAAGTGGTCCGACAATGGTGTGTTTTGTACATTTTGACTTGGAAATGTGCTTCGCGCCACAACGGCGTGCAATTTTTCATCTCTCATCTGGCCAGCTGGCTCTGCACCCGCCGCTTTAGCGAGCCTACTTTTCGACCCTCCGGAGCCCCAAATCATTGGAAAAACACAGTGTTTCGCGACTTTCCTACCTTTTCGCGCATCTGCATCTGCTTTCTTCTGACTCTTTCTCTTCTACTCTTCTCTCTTTTAATCTTTCTCTTCTCTCTGCCTCTGCCCTACTCTGCTTTCATCTGTCCATATTGTCGTTTGACTTCTAAACTTCCTGCGATAATAATAATACTAATTATCATCATTATTATTATTAATATTAATTTTTATTATATATATATAATATACCAACATTGTCAATTCCTCTTTGAACACTTATCGCTTCTTCAGACCAGATTTCAGGCCGTGAAACTCTCACGTTGGCAAACCTTTATGACTTCGTTGAACTTGGACACGCGCGTGGATTTTGAAGAGGGCGACATTGGATTGGCCGGAGGTGCCGGTGGTGAGGTCCTGGGATCGAAAATGGTAGCAAATTGGGGTGGTTGACTTTTGTCCACTTGTGTTTTTTTTCAGAACATCGAATCCCGGAAACTCAGAGTGGAAAGGTTGAAAGGTTGGCAATTATGCATGTTTTGTTCATTCTCCTCCGGGTTTCCTACCGGGCGTATCAAGACGAGTCGCAGGTATCAAGACCTATGAGCCTGCGCTTGCGCATCCCATTGCGAAGGACGGCAAACAATCACGGCCGTCACGGGGCTAGGAGACCGAGTGGATCATTGCTGAAAATGATTGTTTATGTTAAACAGCCTCTCAAAAACCATGGTTTACTGGTTGGTGGTTTGGAACATTTTTCATTTTCCATATATTGGGAATAATCATCCCAACTGAATCCAACTGACAAATATTTTTCAGAGGGGTTGAAACCACCGACCAGCATGGTTTAGGGGAGGATTTACGCATTTTTTTGGTATAAGATGGATGGGATATGACAATATATATATATATATATAAATTATATATATATATATATATATCTGATCTCTGTTCTATATTATGATAATCCAAGATATATAACTGCTCTGTCTTTTTCAGAGTCCCTATCTTACCAAATATTTGATAACTATTTTATATAACATATAGAGAATTATATATGAATATATGCTACATTCTTCTCCGTGGAGCCATCCCCTCGCAGGGCCCCAATCCACCGTAGGATCAGATTGTTCGCTTTGGTGGCCAAACTGATGGCAAGTTGCCGTGGCCCGAAAAGACTGCAGATGAGAAGGACAACATCGAGAGGAAACTTCGGCAACAGTGAAAAACCATGGTTACAAATAGACATAAACTGTACATAAAAAAGTATACCAGGTATAGTTCATACCAGTTCATTGGTGATTTCCCGAATGCGTAGCAAGGGTTCCCGTTTCACTCTGGGGGTCTGGGGGTTGAGGGTGTGTTCGCTCGACGTTGCGTTCACGGTCGCAACCGTTCGCAACCGTTCGCAACCGTTCGCAACCGTCCGCAACCGTTCGCAACCGTCTGCAACCGTCCGCGCTATCCCCGTATGGCCGTGCCTATGGGAAGTTTTGCAGAGGTGGTCCTTTTTGGAGGTTTCAGACGTGTCGTTGCTTCGTTTCGCGTGGCAGGCGTGGCACTTCGTGACATTCAGACGTGTTCTGCAATGTGTCGAAAGTCGTCTTGCGTGGCAGGCGCAATACTTTTGTGACGTTTTCAGAAGATGTGTTGCAGTTTTCGTGGCAGGCGCAGCACTTTGGACGTGTCCATCGTCATTTTTCGTGGCAGGCGCAGCACTTTAGACGTGTCGTGTTGCGTGTTTTTTGCAAATCGCATTGGCAGGGCTGCGTCAAGTGGCGACAAGGTGCAAATTCCGTGGCAGTCGTGGCATTTTGTCCGATGTGCTGAAAATTGACGGAAGCTTCGCACGAAACATCGATTTTGAGGTTGCGAATTTTCAGGTTCTAAGGAAAACTCGTAGGAAAACGTCGATTTTGAAGCTACAAAGTGTGAAAATTGGAGGAAGTCTCGCGCGAAATGCTCGTTTTGGTGCTTCCACCTGTCTCGTCTCGCGTGTCTGGTTTTCCCGTGGCGTCTCCGTGTCTATGGGGGAAGCTGGAAAACTTGTCCTTCGAATGTTTCCAAGCAGGTTGTCATGTCGTTTTGCGTGGCAGGCGTGGCACTTTGTGACATTCCAACCTGTTTGATCACGTGTCGAAAATATCAAAATTGGAGGAAGTCTCGCACGAAATGCTCGTTTTTTGCACCCAGGTGTCTCGTCTCGAGTCTCTGGTTTTCCACACTCTACACACCACACTCTACACTTTCCACTCCAGACTCCACACTCTACACTTTACGCTCCACACTCCACACTTTACACTCCACACTTCACACTCCACACTTTCCACTCCACACTCCACACTCCACACTTTACACTCCACACTTTACACTCCTCACTCCACACTTTACACTCTACACTTTACACTCCACACTCCACACTTTACACTCTACACTTTACACTCCACACTCTACACTTTACACTCTACACACTACACTCTACACTCCACACTTTACACTCCACGCTTTCCACTTTACACTCCTCACCCCACAATTTACAAACTCCACACTCCTCACTCCACACTTTACACTCCTCACTTTACACTCCACACTCCTCACCTTACACTTTACACTCCTCACTCCACACTCTACACTTTACACTCTACACTATACACTCTACTCCACACTTTACACTCCACACTCCTTACTTTACACTCCACACTTCACACTCCACACTTTCCACTCCACACTCCACACTCCACACTTTACACTCCACACTTTACACTCCTCACTCCACACTTTACACTCCACACTTTACACTCCACACTCCACACTTTACACTCTACACTTTACACTCCACACTCTACACTCCACACTTTACACTCCTCACTCCACACTTTACACTCCACACTCCTTACTTTACACTCTACACTTTACACTCCTCACTCCACACTTTACACTCCACACTCCACACTTTACACGCCTCACTCCACACTTTACACTCTACACTTTACACTCCACACTCTACACTTTACACTCTACACTTTACACTCTACACTCCACACTTTACACTCCACGCTTTTCACTTTACACTCCTCACTCCACACTTTACACTCCACACTTTACACTCCACACTTTACACTCTACACTTTACACTCCACGACTTTACACTCCACACTCTACACTTTACACTCCACACTCCACACTTTACACTCCACGCTTTCCACTTTACACTCCTCACTCCACACTTTACACTCCACGACTTTACACTCCACACTCTACACTTTACACTCCACACTCCACACTTTACACTCCACACTCTACACACCACACTCTACACTTTCCACTCCACACTCCACACGCTACACTCTACGCTCGACACTCTAAACTTTACACTTTACACTCTACACTTCACACTCTACAAGTTACAAACTCCACACTCCTCACTCCACACTTTACACTCCTCACTTTACACTCCACACTTTACACTTTACACTCCTCACTCCACACGCTACACTTTACACTCTACACTATACACTCTACTCCGCGCTTTACACTCCACACTCTACACTTTACACTCCACACTCTACACTCTACACTCCACACTTTACACTCCACACTCTACACACCACACTACACTTTCCACTCCACACTCCACACGCTACACTCTACACTTCACACTCTACAATTTACAAACTCCACACTCCTCACTCCACACTTTACACTCCTCACTTTACATTCCACACTCCTCACTCCACACTTTACACTCCTCACTTTACACTCCACACGCCACACTTTGCACTGTACACTCCTCACTCCACACTCTACACTCCACACTCTACACTTTACACTCCATACTCCACACTCTACACTTTACACTCCGCATTCTACACTTTACACACTCTACACTCCCCACTCCACACTTTACACTCCACACCCCTTACTTCACACTCCACACTCCACACTCTACACTTTCCACTCCACACTGCAGACTGGTAACAAGGGAAACATGCACAAGACTGTTCAAATAAACTATTGCAGATAGGTATTGTGCGTGACTGCATAACCATGTGTTTTGACATCTGTACCATTAACATACGTGTGAGCATTCGGGTTCGTGGGCTTCATCTTGTTTTTTTTTATGTTTTTTTTGTTTCATGTTTTTTGTTCATGGGTATAGTTATACCATGGAAATCCATGGAACATACTATGCAAATGATATCTTAGGGATTTGTTAGGGATTATCATGACCCAAGGGCTGGGAATGGGCATCGAGAGATGCCCGATGATTGGTCTAGTTGGACATGCGTGGACCATATTGGACCAATGTTCAGGGCGTTTTTTTCAGCACAGCAACGCGTCACCGAGGACGGTTCAGAAGACGCCTCTTGCTGCAAGGTTTAAGTAAACCACCGGGGATGCTGGGAAACGGAGGCTGGTCCACCCGGCAGAAAAATGACACGAATGAATGCGTGGTTTAATTATAGCTGATTAATGCTTACTTATTATTTTTTTTCAGCAGCGTTCCCCTGATCAAAGGTGCTTGGCAGAGAAATCCCCGTTTCCATTAGCCAGAATATGGCAGAATAGTTTGGGGGGAAAGTATCATGGTTATAATTACTGTTTTTGGTTGCCTCAATGACTTGATTTAAGTTCAAAACTTCGAAGATGCTGGCACTTGAACTGGGCTATATATATATATACACTGTGAGACACGCTGATCTTGGGATAGAACCCATACCACACAAAGGAGATTTGATCTTTGCTGACCAATCATTGGCTAATCATTTTCAGGGATGGCGAAGCGTCGCGAAGCGTGGCGAAGCGTGGCACGGATGGAAAAACATAGCCCCGTTCAATGCTAACATGGCAGGCCATTGGGAAATTCATCGAAAGTAACTAAACGGGTGATAACTTAGGTTTGTTATGGTTTGTTCAGCATTTAATTCGAAGATATTTGAAACATGTCCACGATTTCTATAGATTGTACCATTGCCGTGATTGCCCTATCTCCGTTCGTTGTTTCCACTGTGCCACAGCAGAGGGTACAAAAGTGGAGATCCCATTTGTTAAGAGCTGGTTTCTAAGCCCATCGAATTATAGATACCTCATGATAAATCAACCCGAGTTGACCCAAGTTATCGTACTAAAAAAGCCGATTTGGATCGCTCTACTGATAGATCTATCCCCTTTTGAAACCTAGTTATCATGATCAAAAACGGACTTAGCTATTTTGGGGACCCCTTTGCTGATAGATATTTTATTGGTCATGATATATCCCCCTTTTAAAACCTAGTTATCGTATTCAAAAACCGACTTAGATATCCTGGGTGCCCCTCTACTGATAGCTATCTTGGAGACCCCTCTACTGATCAGTATATATATATATCCCCTTTTGAATCCTTTTGAAACCTAGCTATGGTACTGAAAAGCCGACTTAGCTGTCTTGGGCACCCCTTTGCTGATAGGTATCTCATGATATATCACCCTTTTAAAACCTAGTAATCATAGTTACGTTCACCAACTGTTTGCTGTTCTTTCCTCAGGAATTCGCATGAGTTCGCCGCATTTTGTCCAAGGATTCAAAAGTCCCTGCACAAGTTGCTGGGAGGAATGAAGAAGACCGCCGCTGGAGCCAGCCAATTGTCCAGCGATGTCCAACAAGACGATAAGTGCCGCGACAGCGAGCGAAATATTTGTCATGTTGACCAAGTATCTATGGTTATCCTGGAAAAAGTCTGTAGAATGGAAATGTCAAAAAGAAAACATCACCCAAACATACCAAACTGTTTGATGAAAAACTGCAATATGTTTGACAAGTCCACAATACATTCTGTTTGCTTCAGTATGATTATAATTGGATACTTTTGGTTCTATGTATAGGAGCTAATTATTTGATGTTTTGGGATCTATGTGCCTTCAAATCCGAGAGGGGCCCAGAACCACGGAAGCCCCCTAAAAGACACATCAGTGAATCAGTGACTGGCGCTGTCTCAGATTCTGCTGTTCCATCAGTTCCATCCCTTCAAATCGGATGACCGCTGAGGAGCAGTAGCCACCACAGCAGCGGAAAAGGTGGTGCTGATGTTGACGACTGAGAATCCAAACTTGTCGTATTTAACCCCATGAGTAGTGTCGATCTCAGACCTCATAGGACCTGTTCCGAGTGGGGAAGACAGTTGTAATTTGGCAACTCCCCAACATTGATTTTTTTGGATTTGTGAAATGATATGTTACTGCAACTTGGAGCAAGTCAGGCTGGGATCGCACTGCAACTTTCAATCGTGCTGCGGGATTATCTGCAATTAATTCAATCTCTGGGTTATCATCAAATTCTCCTTTTCACGGAGTCATGCCGTGGAGAGGGTCGATCTCCATCCAAGATCGACTAGTCGGTTTAACCATGTGAGCTACCACCTGATTTGAGAAGGTCATATAATTATTTAATGCATTTTAATGCGATGTTGCTTGATGATGACCCCTGCAACAGCCCATTTGTGGCAAATACTGGCGCGTCTGGCGCATGCTGACCAACAGAAGAACCGGCCCAATCAGTGAGCCAAGCCCGGTCAGTCGCAATAATTTGTCCTTTTCCGGCGCAGGTGGTTTGCTGTCAACTAACTGGATCAGTTTATGCAATGTCCATGTCATTTCACCAGGTGCGGTTGGTGCAAGATATTTGGATATCATCCACACTGTATTGAAATTGTGATGCCCTGTAGATGTATATACTGTATTTGTGTATATATATATTGCAGTATATATATATCTATGTGTGTGTGTGTTTGCTTGACACATGGCCAGTTTATAGTTTGTGACAGCTATTGAAGCAGCTATTGGTTTGTTTTGTTTCAAATTGTTTGTTTCAAATTTGGATGTAGATAGACAATGATGGCAGTTAAGACAGCCTGCTATAAATTGGAACGAACACTGATGTGCTGAAGTCCATTGGGATTATGAAACCAAGGTTCGTATTCGAAGTGTTGAGTTTTTGATAAGTATGTCATGATACCGTTAGCCAACTTAATCCCTTCCCCCCGCTCATTCATCTATAAAATACGTTGCTATGCAAGATAGTTTAGCTGGTTGGTGGTTTCGAACATGAATTTTATTTTTCCATATAATTATTGGGAATGTCATCATCCCAGCTGACGAACTCATATTTTCAGAGGGGTGGGCTCAACCACCAACCAGTGGTGATGTTGCCGTATGTGTCATGGTTGGATGGGACCATTGTCCAGCTTCACCGTCAATGTCCATCAAGAGGCGCCCAGCCAATCTCCAAGTGGAGCTATACAAAGTTTGCATCTCACTTTAAGGCGGTGTTGCACTATGTTTCACTGATCCTAAATCATGCCCACCATCATGGACAGAACTACAGTATGATAGCAGCTTTCACGTTGTTTTTTCTTTTTTTTCACATCTTTGAAGTTTGACAGCCAACAGCCGTCGCTGTTTGAGCATGATTTGTTGCAAAGAGATGCACTCATCTCCCTCTCGGAACATCTGAAAAAAAAAACGAGAGACGGCGTTGAGAAACACTCCGCCAGCAGGTGACAGGACTCAGCTAAACCACCCACCTCGGCAGGGTCCGAGGATGGGTTGACGCGTTCTGCGTTCTGATCCATGTCTGTTCTGTGGCAAATTCAAATATTAAGCCAAGCCATAAAAAAACATAGTTCTATCTGAAGAGTTTCATGGATTTCCATGGCAAGTCTATCCCTGGTAGTTGTCCCTTTGAAATGTCGCCTTCGCCTACGATTCTGAGTCGTACACTGGGTCACCGAGTGATGTCCGATTTGGATAAAACTACCACCCACCAAGCTGCTCAAAATGAACATTGCCACCCGGAAATTGGCACAGGGAGAGCCTCTTGGAAATTGTTAAAGAACTATATCCAGTTTTTTTGAGCAGCTTCCTCCAGTGGGTACCTGAAGTTTGAACTCACACCTTGAATTTTCCGAAGTGACTTGAATCATGAGACACGCGTTGCTTCGTCGTTCCCTGTTTTTTTTGTGCCTGGCCGTTCCAACAGTTGACCCCCCAATTTCCACACCTAAATGATCAACGCTGTAAATTCTGCGAAGGCGTTGTCCGGCTGCATTTTCGACCGCTGGGGGGCTGCCAGTTCGAAGGAACTGGTTTGGTCAGAGTATGAGATGTCGGGTCTGGTGATTTCAAACATCTGAGATAGATAGATATCTCAGTGAAGCGGATGACTGGATGATTCATAAGGTGAACTTTTAATGTTTTTTTTGAGCCAAGAGGGGGCGAAGCACCAACAGGACTTCACTCTGACCAAATTTTTGAAGAAGTTGGATGCCAATCTCATGAACCCAGCAGGCAGTTCAAAAACTGACCTGATGGGCGTGGCACGGCCAGGCGGCTTGTCAAGCCACTTTTCGATGGTGTCAGTTACTACCAAAAAGCCTGTTTCCAGCATGTCTTCGGCCCGTAATGTAAGGGCCGTAAGGTCAGAAATCACAAGCATTGACAGCAACATTTCAGAAACGAGTTTTTGCCCTCTGGTAGTTCAACCAGGCAATGGGAAATCTCAAATATGAGCAAAACAAATCGGGAATTTCCATTGCCGGGTTGGATTACTTTGGGGGGGCCAACTGGAAACACACCTTCTGTTAGCATTCTGGCGCTGAGCGGCGCTGCGCCACACTTTCAAGGCTATGCCAGCATCCACAACTCGTCTCGCCGCGAAAAAATGAGAGTCCTTAAACTTGGAGCACATGTGTTGGATTTGTTCAGGATTCCTCCTATTCCCAGGCTGTTGCAGTATTCTTGTTATCTGGACAATGTCCCAATAATGAGCATCAATGTAATATTAGTATAGTCTGGTTGGTGGTTTGGAACATTTTTATATAATTTTCCACAATATATGGAATCTCATCATCCCAACGAACTCCATCATTTTTCGGAGGGGTGGGCTCAACCACCAAGCAGTTAATACCAGCCGGTTGCAATGCTGCCATCGATGCCATCGAAGCCACTGGGAGATGGCCAAAATATGGGATATGTCGCAGCTGATGACTGTAAAGAGAACCTTCCCAAAGAAATCACAGACATTTTGTTGGGCCTATGATGGCCTAAAGGTATTATAAGGTATTTAACTGTGGGATAGTCTAAGAGCATTGGTCTAGTAACGTTCACCAGAAACATGCTCTTCCCTTGTCTTCCCATGTCCTCCAACTTCAGAAGCAGAGGCGACCGATGCTCTGCTGAAGGGTGAATCTTCGGGAGGCACTCTGCCCGAAGCTTTGGCGATGTTTTTTGGAATCATATATAGTGATATGATGTGATATGTGCGTTTTAGTACGTCATAGTTATAGTGAAATATATGTATATTAGTGATAAACATTGATAAACTGTAATGCATGCAGATGCTTTTGTTGTTCATATGATGTTCAGGATCAGGATGTTTCATCATTATTATTCACTGCTATTTGTTAGCAGTTTTCTTAGGGAAACTGAACTCTTCACAGAACTTAGGAGCCTCGAGCAGCACTTTGAACAGTAGGGTTTCACATGTTTCAGCTCATGTCCATACTGCCATACTATTTTTTTCCCAGTTGCCTTCCAGGACACCGAGAGAAGATGATGTTCTATTTTCTCGCTTGGAATTCTAGTACTTGGAGATCTTATAGGGAATATGTTTGTTTTTTTGGGCTTCCTGGAGCAAATCGTCGTGAAATGTACATTTAATATAGATGTTAGACCTTGCCAACAAGAAACGCCATGATTAGCATCCTCTTCTCCCGCAGTTTGGCTCAACCGCAACAGTCAACGGCTGCTGTGAACGCACGCCGCACATGACGGACTTGGAGCAGGGGACGACTACTTTGGTCTTCAGGAGTGGGGCCTCAGCTAATCCTTGGGGTCCACTGCCCCCAAGAAATGTGGATTTATGGGTGGGGAAAACATTGATCATAGGAGAGAGATGTGAATATGTCATGTTCCTTTTAACATGGGATCCACAGTTGAAGTATTGGGGAGGATTTAGTTGGGTGTACCACATTTTTTCAGACTTTGATTTGTAAAATGGCAACCACAAGTCACCAAAGCATCGGGTCACCATGGGCTATTGGCTGGCATCCTTCACTTGGCAATTGCATCAGAAGGCTACGACGCTACGAGTTTAGAGCGAATTCTCACTATTTTGGGGTACCTCTCGTTGTGAATCAATCATGAATCAAAAGGAAGGATTGACACTTTCAATCAAGGTTGAACCAAGCTGGAATTGTGACTCAAAAAGCCGTGCCAAATCTGCCCCTTTGCCACTTTGGCACTGTTTGGCATGTTGAGCCATAGCTTCAGGAGCAACAACAAACTGACATACGATGGAGTTGCGACGATGCTTTCAAAGATTTGTCAGGCGCCATGGTCTCGGGCCAGCTTGGTGGTTCTAAGGACCTCCAAAGACCACATTCACCAAGGAGGCCCAGGCAATACCCGTTCTGAAGTAATTAAACAAAACATGCCATATTATGCCATGCGATTTTTTGAGAAAAACAAGTTTTACCTGTACTCAAGCATAAGATTTTGTACTTTTTGCCAGCTGGGAATCATGCGGCGGTGCCCCCCTCCCTCCATCGCATGGGGAATAATATGATCGAGTCCAACCTAATCCTGAGATGAAGTCAACATTTTCAGGAAATGCTCACTCCAGGGTTTCAACCTTTCCACGGTTTGCTTGAACCAATCTGATGAATCCGACGGTTCAACTGTAAGATGCTGTTAGATGATACTTAGCTAGGTGCCCAAAACCGACCTAGCTGACAAATGTTGATTGGGGTTCCAACATGTTCCAATGATTCCAATGAATAGTTGATAGGAATCGCAAGAACATAGAAAACAAATGCAAAAAAACATTTTTTTGCTCACCACCAATTTTCAACCATGCTGCATGAATAGTATTGTCAAATTCTATGATTCGATCGTGATCTCCGTATGTCTCGCTGCTCGCCGCTCATGTTTGGTGGTTCACCACCGATGGAAATCAGGGGCATGAGGAGGTCGTTTTTGCATGATGCATAAAAATGAGTACCCTCTGGTAATTTAACATAGCTATTGAAAATGGCCAATTATAGTGGATTTACCCATTAAAAATGGTGATTTTCCATAGTTATGTTAGTTTACCGGAGGGTACCCCCAACTTCCTGGGAAATGCCACTTCACAGTTTGTGAATTGCTGACTTGCCATTGCCAAGGGTCCATTCTTCGACTATATCTATATCCCTTGGCCGAAATTGGCGGTGGTGACGTGGCGAACTCGCAGCTGCAAATTTCTGGTTCATCCCAACAGCATGTGGGGGATATGGATGGATTGGATTGGTTGGATGGTTATTATCATTTTTCCCTTTGATGCCTCAACCCTCCTTGGTAGAGACTGGAAAACTCCCTCTTGATAGATTATTTTCATCAGTTTTCCAGCTCAAAAAGTCATTACCGGCTTTGTTTGCTGCAGGGTGTGATCATTCATGATCTTTGGACAGCTTGGTTGCCTTGTTGCTTTGTGGTCGACCTGACAATTTCCCCGCTTTTTGGATTTTTTCCATGTCAGTTTTGGGCCAAGCCTCATGCCCTGAGTTTTCTCAGGGTGTCTCCTGAACAAAAAAATAAAACAGACGAAATGACCACAAGAGCTGGGTCTCTCAACAGGACTGTCAAACCGTGATTTTGTGTTCAGAAGTCTTTTCTGGTGTCAAGCATGTTTCATGTCTCATCGCAAAGACTGTCAGATGTTTTCAGGGTGGACCACCAATCACCTTTGTTGCGCTGGAAAGGGGGGAACCGATTCCTCCTCTGCGATAAGGTGAACTTCATTAGTCCTCAAGTCTGCGAAGCGGCTCATAAGATCATGACAGTTCTAGCGTTCCTTGCACTCCGAACGGGGGATCCAACCCCCAGGTGATTTTAGCCATCAGGGAACTAAGATTACGCACAGTCCCCGTGGTTTGCCTGGACTGCAACATTGAGGATGCCCTGTTGTCAAACATGATAAGAGAGATTGCAGGAAATGCTGCGTATATGCAATGTTTTCTGGTTTAGGATTCAGAGATATTCAGAGCTTCTTTGGTGTTTAGGGTTTTAGATGGTTTTAGAGTTTAGGGTTTAAGGTTTTAGATGGTTTTAGGGTTTTAGGGTTTAGAGTTCGTTGTCTAGGAAATACCAATCATTGGCCCTGTGCGGGTATTTGAGCATGTCGAAGGATAACATTTGAACACCGTTCTAACCTTCCAGTCTTGCCGTAACATTTTTTTCCAAGTTGCACCTTAGTCTCGACGGCTTCAATGTACAAAAACTGGTGAAATTCCGGCCGTGAAGATCTCCTTGGCGTGCTTGATGCCGCCGAGTCCTCCACACTGACTGATGTCAGAACCTTCTGGGTGCGAAGTCCACGATTTGTGTGGAAGACGAAGTGGATGATTTCAAGAAAGCGTGATGAAGTATTTGGGCAGCACAATTGCCACACATCAGTTTCGGTCTTGGTGCAACCCTTTGGTGTAACCCCTTTGAACAATAAGGAAAAACATGGAAAAACCCAGGTTGGCCAAGGAAGTTGTGGCCACAACATGCCCATGTCTCTGACTGGATGGCAACTGGATCTAGTTTGGAACTCTGCGGTTCGGCTTGTGCAAAGGTGCAGATGCATTACGAGGTGCACGTGGAACTTTGTATTCACTACAAAGTTCCAGATAGCTGACATCAGACTATACATCAGTTGTTTTCCCGGGTGATGCTGGCCACAGCTCTAAACATACAGTCGGACATATTACAGTGCCGGGCACCTTGAGAACCTCATGCTGGAGATCCAACGCGTTGAGCCTGTTAGAGCAACTGAATTCTTGCTGTTCATCTCGCCAATTTCCCAAATCGGAGCAGTATCTCGACCAGGCGTCGTCCCGAGTGTTTCTGTTGTTTTGCACATCTGTCCAGTTGAGAACATGCGAAAGTTGTCATGGACTGCTTCCTTGGCGTGACGGCCAACTTGAGAATTACAGTAGGCCCTGGCTTTGACCTTCGTGACGATGTACTCGCTGGCTTCATGTGAGGGTTTGACAGGCGAATCTTAACAGCCAGCAGCCAGCAATTCTACGGGTAACTTACGGGTGTTCTTAAGCACCAACAACCGCGAAAAAAACGGGTTTCTTAGCTATCTATTATTTGGCTGGATTCGGCCTCCATGCTTTCCCTTGGAAGCATATGGACTGTCAGAACTATAGCAAGTTGAGGTCCCCCAGTGGTCTTTGTTTAGAAACCCAGGTATAGATATAGTTTTTCATAAACTATAGTTAAATAAGTTTTAAGTCAGCCTAGCTATGGTTTGGGAGCGCCACCTCGTAGATCATCTATAGAACTATCATTTCTAGGACATCCTATACAATACAAAGGAGTGAGTTTGTATGTGTTATTTGTTTATTTTGAACACATCACCAGAAACCAATGAGAACCTAATAGCAAGAATGGATGTGGCAATAAAAGTGTTGATGCGCTGATGTGCGTGCACATCAAGCTCATAGAAACAACATGAATGTGTATATACAAATGTCAA